TTAAGATCGTCTTTTGACTGTTATTTAATAACAACAAATTATATTAAATAGGGATAAAGAGAATATAAAAAAGAGATACACACCTTTTTAAATAATTTTTCTTAAATTATATTCTTTTGAAATTTAACCAAACAATATTCAAGGGAATTTATAAAATGTATCAACTAAATGTATAGTATTTCAAGTGTACATGCGTAGTATTTAGCCCAAGGTTCTCATCGTTGGCATCGCGATTGTTTTCTATTCCTTTTCACTTGTTCAGTCACTTGCCCCTCGTCACATTTCACTGCATACTCCCAGGCGCTCACACACACATGCACGCTCTCACGCTCACACTCACACTGAGCCGCAGTCAATGTCGTTTGTCGCTTGTTGTTGGCTTTTGTTGATATTCTTGTTATTGTTTGGAATTTCCCAACAAAAGGCGGCTTGCGAAGGGGGAATTACACTAAAAACGTAACTAATTTGCGCCCGAGGATCTCACGCGTCTCGAATGTATTTTGTGACAGGACTTAGGGTCCTTAAGTGGCTTTGCCGAGACTTAAGGACTTTGTAGCAAAGGAATTTGCACTTGTCAGACGCCCCGAAGACGGAAATCAAAGTGCTTGCCAACCACATCGAGCCAAAGAGGAGCAGAAATATGTGTGCCAAGGGGTTGCAAAGGACGAGGACTTGGAAAACCGCAGCAATTTTCCTGCTCCCATTTGTTGCTTGCCTGCGGTTTTCCAATATACAGATGCAAGCTCGCACAAAGGAAGCCTCAAATGCCAGTTGGCAACATGCAATCATCGGTTAGATGGTCGATCCAAACTTAAAGAAACTTCTAAGCATTTATTTTAAACACTTTGTGATCTAAATTACCCTATGTAAAATGTGAAGTAATATGATTTCTTCTGAAAATTGTTTGTTAGAAAAATTAAATATGACCAATACGTTTTTTTTCCAAGCAAATATAAATTGTAGATTGTAGATTTTCATTAAAAATGTTTAAAATTTGTACAAGTATTTTCTCTAAATGTAAAAATATCCGTAAAAAGACCTTCTGTAAATGGAAGGTTGTATTTTTCTTTGTTTTCTTTCTAAATCCCAAGGATTCCAGAGATCAGTAATTTATTCCTTAGTCAAGCCGGAAATTGAATTCACCTGACCTTAAACACACGAGTTCAAAGCTAATATGAGAAAAAAGAGCTGAGGGAAACGAGCTTATTATATTTTTATTACATCCCCGTATTGAGCAGCATGTTCAGCCATGTGTAAATCTATTTGCGAAACCGCACAGAAAGTAAAACACACATGACTGTGCAAAATGAATGTCGAATACCAATCAAAAAGTTGCCAACTTTCACAGCCGGAACTCAGTCATCGCATCGCATAATTTAATATGCAATTTTATTTGCAGTCTAAACTTTGTTTCACTTTTCGCTTCGCTGACCCGTGGATCAACTAGTCAAACTAGTTATTTATTTAATTTCGCACGTTAAATTTTTAAGCTTCTCTGGGAAATGGAAAATGACACAGTTTCACTCTAAGCATAAATCGCATTATTATGAACTGCTGTTAAAAACTTTTATAGCCCCAAATGGTCAAGCATTTTGTTCTGTAGCCAAAAAATCCTTAAGCCAATGTCCGCAAGCTCTTTATCAAAGTTTGGGAACACATTTAACCGAAACATCCGTCGGTTTTCGGGATTGTGTCTCCATTGTGAGCAGAACAATGCGAACATGACACGCCCGACATGGTCATGGCTTATGGCTTAATGAAGCGAGCACGTAAATGAATGTCAATATGGCCAAAACCAACAAGGGCAGCTGTGGCAACAACAAATAACCGGATGGGCGGAGGTCAAAGGATGTGGATGCCCCTCGTAATAGTTGCCACGCAGCTTTGACACCATGCCCCAAACTCCAGGGGTTAATGGCCGGATCGTGGAGATATCTATTCCCTAGTCGTCGGCCAGCCAACAAAATTGATGAGCATTTTTCCAGGCCATCGGTAATTCGATTTGGCGTGCGTGCGTGAATATAGTTGGGCAGGCAAGTCCTCCAGTTGGAAAACCCTTGCCAAATTCTATTAAAGTTTTGAAAAATTACAGCGATTTACACTCGCTTCAATGAGTCTGCCTTGTACACTAGAAAATTTGTATTTAAATATTTAATTAAATTTTTTTTACATTTTTACTCTGTCAGTTTCAATGTGCTTTGCTTGGCGCACAGGGCGTATGAGTAATAATTTTTTGTTATGTGACTCTCAAAAGTATGCTTTACACAAAATATAAAAATTTAAATTTAATAGGGGTTTAAGGATATTATCAAATGTTTCCTTTTAATACATATTTATTTTATCCAGCATTTTTAGTTTTGGGACTATTTTTCCTTAAAGGATCCTCAATTTAATATCCCCAGTCCCTATTTACCCCATGTAATAAATGAATTTCTAAATTTCTGAGCGTGTATTTGTTGCCTCTCGGCTTTTTGGCATGCGGAAGCTCGCTTAAGCCGCTGTAATACGTGCATATAATCCTTTATGCCAGAAAACACATCAGCAGTCGGCAGGCGAGTGCTTGGCAGGCGACTCAAGAGCTGGATGATGACGATGATGATGGGGTTGATTTGCTTGTCCCGCCTGCTGTCGTATTTGCAAACAGCAAACAAACAAGAGGCGGCAACAAAAAAGCCGCAATACTTGTACATTGTGATTCTGGGCTGTGTTTTTGGCTTGCTGACGCTCTCAATTTCCTTGTTATGCCGAGGAGCACGGGGCGTATGAGTAATCATTTTATTACGCGACCCCCAAAAGTATGCCACACACCGAATATCAGTTGGCAACACATGTTGACCTTTCTGCAATGTACTTTTGTGTGTGTGTGGTCTTTATGGCAACCCTAAATTACGTATACGCAAATTTGTCTGGCCCCAAATTAAAATAAATGCGCTAAGCATGCCCGAAAAGTTGCTGAAAAACATTTGCACATTTCCTCGTTTACGACCCCAAATCGTATATTTTCGTTAATTCGACTTCCCGCCCAAAAACGACTTTGTGTGCGAAATTGAAAAATAATAAAACCATATGATTAGGTAGTAAGACAGGGATTGCGCTTCGAGAATATTAGTTTTATGGCAATTTTGTGGGCTTTCTCAAGCGCATTTCTTTAAATTGTTAAGGTTTAACGATTTATTATTAATATAAAACAAATATAAAATGCCTGATACTCTACTATTAAATGTACATAAATATTTAAACACATGAGGAGGTCGTAAATTTAAAGGAGTTAGATAACCAGCTGGCCAAATGAAACCTAATGCCTTGCATCATTGACTGCTTCATCAGCTAGAAGCTCAACTTTATGCATTCGCTGCTTTATAGTTGTTATTTATGTCGGGCCATAAACGAACGAGTTTTGTGTGCTCCACTTTGAGTTTCCCAACCCACCGGATCTCCCAAGGCGACGTCACTCGTTTTTTACCCGCTCTGCATTTCCCCCATGGCTTCCTGTACTACGTGTGTTCAGTGCTTGAGTTTTTCTTGGCAGCCAACTGATTTCGAATTTTCACATAATCGCATTTTCCCCACCGCCACAAGAGAAAACAAGAGAGAACGCTATAGTCGGGTTCGTGTCCCGACTATCTAATACCCGTCACTCAGCTAACGGGAGTGCAAACGCTGTACTCGGGTTGGTGTCCCGACTAATAATCGAAACTCAACTAAAGGGAGTGCGAGGGAGATAGATATAGAAATTTTGATTGCGAATAACTTTTTAATGAATGGTCCGATTTGAAAAATATCTTCTACATTTCGATAGGTATAAATATGCACAACAAAATTGCATTTATACTTCTCGGAAATCTTTAAAGGTGTGGGCGCTAGACACATTTTAAAATCGTTAGTGGGCGATTGTGGGCGTTAGAAGGGGCGTGGCACTCGGCTGAAATAAACTTGCGCTGCGTAGGAAGCCCAAAAATATGCGTGGAAAATCTCAACCTTCTAGCTTTTGTAGTTTCCGAGATCTCAGCGTTCATACAGACAGACAGACGGACAGACGGACAGACAGACGGACAGACGGACATGGCTAGATCGACTCAGCTAGTGATCCTGATCAAGAATATATATAGTTTATAGGGTCGGAAACGCTTCCTTCTACCTGTTACATACTTTTGCACGAATCTAATATACCCTTTTACTCTACGAGTAACGGGTATAAAAAGGGGACACCTAGAGAACGTGCCCCCGAGAGTAGATACCTTTTGAGATGTGGCTGCAATTTAGGGAACTGCAATCATGGCTTCCATTCCCACCATATAATATTGTTATTATTTCGGAACCACTCTGAAAGGAGAACAAAAACGTTACGAAATTCTAACACTGAAAATAAACTAAACTATTCTAATTTCTATTAAGTTTTAAATCAAAAATAATGAAATAATTAATAATTAATGAAATAAATAATGAAATTAATGTAAGATTTAATCACTCTTTTATACCACATCTAGTATATTTTTCACACAATGAGTAGAAAATTAAATTGGAAATTTGAAAGCTTTTTTAAAATAAGTAAGAAAAGTTCCTTAAATTTTGTTTTGGTTTTCTAATTACTTTTTTTTAATTTTTTTTTTTTTTTATGGTGTAATTAAGCGAAGCGGATAAATTACACGGACGCTGGCCAACTTTCACCATGTAAATTGCTCGACTGGGGGTCAGCCACCACATAAGGGGGAGCTCTAAATTCTGATTTCTGGTCTCCCCGTATGTAGTAGCTGGCTATTCTATGCCACCCCTATTCCAATTCCCAATTCCCATTCCCATTGAAGGTGAAGCTTTTGCGCAACACTCGAAATCAAATTCATTTAAACTGGCACCGCTGATGACGATGACGTAGTCGCCACCCCCCAAAGCTTTCGTATCTGAATCCGTATCTGTATCTAAAACGGTATCTGTATCTGTATCTGTATCTGAGCTGTAAGTGCACGGGTTTAGGGCACACGTGCATGAACAGAACGGGTTTGACCGCCGGCCAGACGAGAACGATTCGCGTCGCGACTTTGATAGATTAAACTTGGGAATCTTATCGCCATTCGGAGCACTCGAAGATGTGGTCACTGCCATAAATCTCAACGCGAGTGATTAGAAACCCAGAGTTACCGAGTTCCAGTTGCAGTTCCATCGCGATCGCCCTCGAAAGCAGACGCAATGTCGGTGTCCTGGTCCAAGACCTTCGTGACCTTCGCCGTCGCCTGGCTGAGTGCCCTGTGCCTGCTGCCCGTGGAGACGCACTGCGACACCTCCTACTACGAGAAGTACTACGCGGCCAGGCGCTATGTGCCCCTCAAGCGGAATGCTCCGCTGATCTTCAACTTTACTTTGACCCTGGTGGATGTGGACCACTGGGCCTCCTTCGAACGACCCGCCTTGGTGGGCAACCTGCCTGTTCTGGGCTCCTGGCAGGCGGGTCAGGCGCTGCTCCTGAATCGCACCTCCAGCCACAATGTGTGGACGGGTAGCGTGGAAATCCCCCAGAACAGCAGCGTGGAGTATCGCTACTTTGCGGCCACAGTTGGCCAATCTGGAGGAGTAGTTCACATTCGCCGCTGGGAGTCACATGTCCAGGCGAGGAGCTTCAACACCACCAAGTTCAATGGCAATCGCAGCGATGAGTTTGGACTGATAGGAGGAGAGCGACAGTTGAGTCGTGGATGGCTGCAGGATTCAGGGAATATCCTACAACTGAAGGTGTTCCGTGAAGCTATAAGTTTGGAGGAGGAGCAGGGACAGGGAAAACTGCGACTGCGCCTGCAGCCAGTGGATCCCAAGAGCCTGTCACCCATCCTGGGATCAGCTAGAGCCAGTGTGGAGTATGTAAAGATGTCGTATGGAGATAGTAAACTTCGCGTTCCCCCTGAATATGGAGTGCCCTATGCCTCGGGCGATATACTCATGTTCCATGTGAGTTTGGAACAGCTAGAGAGAGTGGGCTATCTCCTGGAAGTCTATGCGGAGCAGGAGGAGGAGCACCTGGTTCGCCTGCTGGGCTACGCCCATCTCCTGCCCGCCTCTATCGCCGCCAGCGAGGGAAAGATCTCCCTGGATCTGATATCCCCTCTGTGGCAACGCGTGGTGGGTAGCCTCCAGTTGGAATACCTGCTCATCCGACCCATGGAGAAGGATTCCTTTGATTTGCGCACCAGCTTTGCCAACTACTGGCGATCCAATTGGACAGCCCTGGAGATTGGCCATCGTGGATTGGGCAAATCCCTCACAGTAACTACGAATGCGGCTCCTCTGATCGAGAACACGGTGGCCTCCATGCTGGCCTCTGCCGAGTTAGGGGCCGATCTCGTGGAGTTCGATGTCCAGCTGACCAGCGACCTGGTGCCCATCATCCATCACGACTTCTCCATTCGCGTGTGCATCGATTCCAAGACCCCCACGAGTAGGGATGACCTCACCGAAGTGCTGCTTAAGGATATATCCTATGAGCAACTGAAGGACCTAAAGACCTACCAGATTGTGGGCAATAAGATCGTGGAGTATCCGGCGCACAACAATGTGGAGCCGCCGGAGCAGCGACTCTTTCCCACGCTGCAGGACTTTTTCGAGCGGGTGAATCAGAGCACGGGCTTCGACATCGAGATCAAGTGGCCGCAGCAGAAGGCGGATGGATCCTTCGAGAGTGAGCAGACGCTGGACAAGAACCTCTTCGCGGATCGCATCCTGGCGGTGGTGCGACGACATGGCTGCGGACGTCTGAACGTGATCAAAAGCTTCGATGCGGATCTGTGCTCCCTGCTGCGCTTCAAGCAGCACATGTACCCGGTGCTCTTCCTCTCCAGCAGCAAGGAGAACTCCTTCACCGATCCGCGAACGAGCAGCGTGGAGCAGAGCATCAACTTTGCCCAGGCCCTGGATTTGGGAGGCGTCTCGCCCAATGCCGTGTTTGTGAAGGCGGATCCTGGATTGGTTCGCAAGGCCTTGGATCAAGTGCCTATTGTTTTGCTCTGGGGCTCGGACCTCAAGGATCGCGAGTCCATCGACTGGTTCCTGCAGCAGGGACCCACTGGCGTGATCTACGATCGACTGGACTTGTGGCTAAGGGATGCCAACCGGACGAGCGCCTTCGAGGCGGAACAGGACCTTCCCGGCTACTTCCAGCTCCAGTGCGATCCGGCGCCCAAGGAGCGCGAGGTCAATGCCACCATCGAGAGCATCCTGAGTAACGTTAACTTCCTGTAGTCCCCGATTTCTGTAGCGACCCCCTCAAATGTTATATAATCCAAGCAATAAACGAACTAGAAAGGACTTAACAGGGACTATTTCTTCATGGAGGAAGCTCATTTTGGAAACTAAGTATATTCGAGATAATTATCTTTAAATTATCTCTTTCTTAAACCTCAAAATATAACATATACACCCATAAAAAGTAAGAACGAAAAAAACCAAGAACAATTGTGCTCAATTTGAGAATTTTTCTTCTTGAAATCGAGTTAAATGTAAGAATATTTTGTTTTTCCGAGTCATATATATTTTATATCAATATATTGGTGGCCTTTTCCACTTTTCCTGACAATTTAAAGAAAATCCCTAAAGAAAAAACTAATTTCTTGGTATTAAACCAAGGACTTACATCTTTCTCCTTTCCTCCGAAGAAAAAGAAAAAGGAAAGCCATTAAACTCGGGATATTTCCCCTGATTTATATGCGCAATTTGAGCGCAACTTTTGACAGATACCGCTTTATTGTTTTTGCGCTGCTAAACATGAACGTGAACTTGAAATTTAAATCTTTAATGAAATCATTGCCATCAGCATGAGCATCAGCCTCAAACATCAACCGCTGTCCCACATGTCATTCGTCGGTGGTTCGCAGCCACTTCCATTTGCATTCGCATTCCCATTTCCATTCAGTGGGGTGGATGAAGGGTAGTGGATGGGGATGATGGGTAAGCTCGCTTCTCTCTTTTTTACCTCCGTGCCACCCAAAATGCTGGGATGCCAATTACCTGCAGAGCGATTTGCTGTTTTTCCGGAGGCGATTAGGGGTATCCATATGCATATGCAAATATTTCGGCATTTATTGCGGTTATTTATCCGCTCAGTGGGTAGTGGGTGTAAATTCTGTTTGGCAATTTGTTGCAACTTGAAACTGGGACGCCTAATTGGATTTTCAGAAATTCGCCAGCAAATTGCCGCTTAGAAAATCTAAAATAATTGCGGCTATGCCTGTTTATCAGCACTTGAAACAGCTATTATTTGATTTATTATATTATTACCTTGGTTCGTAATCTTTGAGTGACTTTAGTAAACAATATTGTTTTGGGTTTTCTGCTTGCAGCGCCAGCTGATGGAGGCCTACATCCGGCAGAAGAGGGCCTCGCCGGGAATGGTCCAAGCGAGTGATCTGCAGATCAACCGACCGATGTCCGGGATGCGGAGCAACAGCCGCGAACTTCACGCCTACGATGGACCCATGCAGTTCATCAGCTCCCCCCAGAATCCCGATCAGATCCTCCTGACCAACGGCAGTCCCGGCGGCGGCGGCGTCGCTCCTCCTCCTCCGGTTGCCATGAACAGCAGTCGCAACCACTCGAACAACATGCGCAGCCTGAGCACCATCAACCAGGAGGGTAAGTGGCCGTACACTCGCACCAAAGGTATTATGACATGATTACATAGTATATACATTTTTTTTAGTCCCTATATTAAAATATTAAAACTTACTTACATAGTTTTAGTATACCACTAGAATAGCATTGATTAAAAAATATTTAAATTAAAGGAACGACAGTGCACGTAGTGACGAATCACACTGGGAGTGTGCGAAAAATATTAATATTTGGACTAAGAATAAGGAAAAACATTTTGTCTGCGATTTTTCGTGGTAATTCTGTTAAAACACGTGTACCAAGTAAAAGAAGAAATAAAGAAAAAAACAAATAATTTTTAAAATATACAAAAATATCACAATTTCTAAAGTCCAAGACGAATTATGGTTGAGTGTGTGAAAGGTAATAATTAAAATACAATAAATCCTGTCAACTAGTTCAAATTTCAGGATGTTTATTATAATCAACAATAATGCACAATAATAACACGTTGAAATAAACATATCTTTTCATTAAAATCAATTAGTTAATCATTTATCATTTATTCATTAATCATTGTATTTTTGTGCGTTTCTTTATAGCTGATCTTATAGAGGAGATCTCATCACACGAACTGGAGGACGAGGAGAGCAGTCCGGTGACGGTGATCGAGCAGCAGCAGCCAGGATCGCACAGCGCTAACTCGACGCAATCGCAAATGCAGAAGCCGCATGCCCGCCAGCATTCCTTCAGCGACAACCTGGACGAGGATGACTACACCAATCGCAACGTGGCTGGAGCTGCGCCAGTGCGTCCAGCGGGAATGGCCTCGTCGCCTTACAAGGACGCCACCCTGGACGGAAGCAACGGAACGGGGAACGGCGGAGGAGGAGGTGGTGGGGAGTCAGAGGGGGATGTCATCGGGAACATCGATCAGTTCGTGATGCAGCCAGCGCCGCAGGGAGTCCTCTACAAGTGCCGCATCACCCGGGATCGCAAGGGCATGGACCGGGGTCTCTTCCCCATTTACTACTTGCACTTGGAACGGGACTACGGCAAGAAGATATTCCTACTGGGAGGTGGGTTTTCAAATACTCTTTCTCCTTTGAAGAACTGTCAACCTTAACTAATCCGTTTACTTTCACAGGTCGCAAACGCAAGAAGAGCAAGACCTCGAACTACATAGTCAGCTGCGATCCCACGGACTTATCGCGGAATGCCGATGGCTTCTGCGGCAAACTCCGCTCCAATGTCTTTGGCACGTCCTTCACCGTCTTTGACAATGGCAACAAGGAGAGCACGGAGAGTCCTCGACTCGACCTGGCCGTAATCATATACGTAAGTGTTGTAGGAGCTCAAAAATCCACGAGTTTAAAGTTTATCGTTACTTAAACTTTTATTTTCCCAGCCACACTTAAAATATGGCTCAAGGTTAAATTGGATTATACTTCATTAACAGTCATATACTTCATTCAATTGACTTATGGTTCGAATAAATGATTTATGACATAAATAAAATAATAATAAAACCAAAATATTATCTAAATAATAATTTCCCAAATAGCCTGATTTCAACTAAATCCATAAACTTTTATCAATCAAAAAGGTCACTAAACACAGATTTCTGTACAAAAATTAAGAAGAATGAAAATGTAATAAAAATGATAATGCAGATTTTCATTTATAGGCTTTTCAATTGAATTCTTAATGTGTAAATTCCAAACTTGATATCAAAAGCTGTACTTATTCAAACGAATGAGGTTTAAAATACATGTTGATTAGATTAGAAATTATAAAACAATATTTTTAAACATATTTCTAGTAACCTATATGAGTATTTCTGTAAATCTCTATTAGTTTGCAATAGGAAAATGTTTAATTTTCCAACAAAAAATGCATTAAAATGTATCTTTATCTCAATGCAAATCCATTTAACTGGTTAAAATGTATTCACAGGACACCAACATTCTGGGCTTCAAGGGACCTCGCAACATGACTGTAATACTGCCGGGCATGACTGAGGACGATCAGCGTGTCAAGATCAGTTCAGCGGATCCCAAGCAGCAGGGCATTCTGGACCTGTGGAAGATGAAGGTGAGGGGATTAAGGATTACGGATTGAGGCCATACCAAATACTAACAATCTTACTTTACAGAACATGGATAATATTGTGGAGCTGCACAACAAGACGCCGGTGTGGAACGACGAGACGCAGTCGTATGTGCTCAACTTTCACGGACGCGTCACCCAGGCGTCGGTGAAGAACTTTCAGCTGGTCCACGACTCCGATCCCGAGTACATAGTGATGCAGTTCGGCCGCACCTCGGAGGACGTCTTCACCATGGACTACCGCTATCCACTGTGCGCCATGCAGGCCTTCGCCATCGCCCTCAGCAGCTTCGACGGCAAAATAGCCTGCGAGTGAGCTGGCTCGGATCCCCGGGATCCGGATCCCCTGCCTTATGTACAGCTATATATGTCTGGAGGGATTGACCGGATCATTGTTGCAAGTAGTATCAGAAATCTAGTCACTGGAGGAGATTGGCAGGACATCGTTGATATAAGTTATGTGTAGTGGCTATCATTGTATGACATCTATTCAGAATGTGCTCACCGATTTTATAAGAAATTATTTAGGACAGGTCCTACAACTTTGTAAATCTTAATGTGCCCCCTAACCGATAAGTTCACTTGTAAGCGAATCAAGGTAAATGTCATTTGAAGAAAATATCAATTTTATAACCAGCATATAGCAACAAATCGAGGACGAATGTAAACTATTTAAAAGGCGAGTACTATTAGTTTTTAAGAGGGATCACTACTAACTTGTGCTAGGCTCTAAATAAATATAAGCAGCTATTAATCAAAGAGTACATTTTGTATTGTGTGGGAGGAAAAATTAAAAAAAAAAGGATAATTTTTATGAAATTATTTTTTGAAACACTTGTAAGTACGGAAATTAAATTATCGGTATTCTATTTTTCCACTTAATTGCACTCATAAAAATAATTTTCTACATTTTAGAAAATCGCCCTAAAAAAAATTTCGCCCTTGAACTGAGAAAAATTTTCTATTTTCACGACAAATTTGCCATAAATTCAAGGCAGGTGACCATAAAAAAATATTTTTAGGGTTAATTTTTCTATTTTTCTAATATTTAGGGCGATTTTTTTTCGATTTGCTTCGTTTTGACCTTTTCTAAATCCAACGGCGAATTGCCCTAATTTTTTTTCTAAAATTTGTCTAAATACAAGGGCGATTCGCCTTAAAAATCACTCCAAAAGTGTGAAATTCGGTAGCCCAGCGGTCTAATCACTTGCGCTTTCAACTTTGCTATATGAGGACTAAGGTCGTGGGGTTGTGGGTTCGAACCCTGTGTGATTCAACTTGATTTTTATGTTTTTTTTTTTTTTTTTTGTAAACGTTATAATACTAAGGACATTTTTTCGTCCGAATTTTAAATTAAAGTAGTCTTTAAACCTTAAAAACGTATGGGAGTTCTGAGTTAAAAGCATACTTTGTGTTTGCTGGCAAGAAAACGGGACTAATTGTCACAGTCGTCAGGAAAAAAATATTCGGTTTAGTTGCCTTTAGTCAAATTATAACGTAGACCTCAGGAAAATAAGATGTCTGCAGAGTTTCTTCGTTGTCTTGCGCGATGGGTCTGTGGTGCAGCGGTAGAACGTTAGACTCTAAACCGAGAGGTCGTGGGTTCGATTCTCGCAATGACCAAAAAAAGTAAGTTGTTTTTTCTCCTCATATTTATTTCCCTAATTCGTTTACAAACATGATTTTTCAGTTCTAACGGCTGTGTTGTATAGATCGGGCCCCCTCCTAACGCAGCTCCCATATAAGCTACACACCAATACAATAATATGCAACGGTCTCCTCCGTCGGTGTTGTTTAATTAAAGCAGTCCCAGTTCCCAGAATATACACGACTAAAATTCATGCTTCCCAAATTCAGTTAAGCATGCTCAAACACGATTTTTTTTAATTTGCATAATTTTTTAGGGCATTTGCCTTTAAAAACAGAAAGTTCGCCCTTACTTTTAGAAAAATACGCCTTAAACTTAGGGAAAATCACCCTAAAAAAAGGAAAATATTTCTCAATACAAGAAAAATCACCCTAAATTAAACCAAATTTCCATAGGGATTTTTTAGAACATTTTTCTAAATACACGGGCGAATCGCCAGCGGATACAATTTATGGGCGATTTTCTAAATCCACGGGCGAAAAGTCAGTTTTTTAGGGCGATTTAGGGTAAAAATTTCTATGAGTGTGGGTTAATATACTCCTTCGACAACTTTCCATCACTTCAGAAATGTTATTTCAAGAAAAATAATTGGTTACACAGTCGTTTGCATTTTTATTTTATATTTTATAATTGCTAGTTTAATAAGTTAGGAACACTTTTAGCTAGTTTCTAATAATACCAAGATAACAGCTTTGAAAATATTTCAACATTTTTGTTTAATCTATATAGTTTGTATATATTTTGGCACATACGGTTTGAGTCTTTTGGTATTGATATCAATAATATTGAACTTATACTTATTTAAATTTGGCTTTTATAATGTTATTGAGGTATTTTTTCTTGGAATGCAGATCACTATGGGACGGCAGTACTCGTACACGTGCCATTGCGATAATTAAAACATGATTTTTTAAACAAAATTTTTTTACTACAATTAAATCTTTGTAAGTATTAAATTCGTCAGTATTAAGATTATAGTTTAAATCCAAAAGGAAGTTAACTGGGAAACGAGGTAGAAAGTAGTGACAATCGCAATCCATAAGTGGTATTGCGTCGCATTGCAAAATGCAGTAGAGTACACAGAAAAAAACTCGATATGAAATAGGGCCATTTTTTTTGTCTAGGATGACCTGAGATTATATACCAGAAGGTACTCGTATACACATGAAATTCCTGTTGAAGTAAAATTATATATTATGTCTTAATTTGAGGTATTCCAGGTATTCTTTGCCTAGAAACAAGTCGAATCGTCAAGTTGCATGGTGTAGGAAATTAAGCTCGACAAGCAAAAACAATAAAGTTCGTCTGCAGTTCCCAAAAGGGTAGTAAGAAATATTTCGTAGGTTTTATTGACTTCCTGCTTCGTCGCACAAGCTGTTCGCAAAATGTAACAGAGAAATTTATTATAAAATAAATGGTTGATGAGCACCACCAAAAAGTTCCGAATAGTTAACGAAAAATTTGAAAAAACTAGGGCAATGAGGACGAAAAAATACATGTTGAATATAACGAAACGGTAGGGAATAGCTGACCCTGAGATGTCCTCAAGTTCAGGTCTAGTTAGACACTTCACCAGCATCATAAAGATGCGTGTCGAGGTGAGCATAATTATCATCATATAACAAATTTTTTCGGGCTGGTTGGATCTACCAACTGAAGTAAGCAGGGTGAATAAGATGTATACCAAAAGAAATCCAGCAAATTTCTGGACCTGGGAAGATTGCGGCAGTTTCCAAAGATCCTGCATTTTCAACTCGTCCTCTGCCGTGGGTTCTCGATCAGCATTTATCTTAAAAACAGCCACTAGCATGGAGGCTGAAAAAAATAGCGACCCAAAGATAAGCAGAAAGATGGCCAGTATGTTGATTCCTTCTTCCAGGAAAGCAGTCCTTAAGTATTTATTACGGAAGTCCAAGGATTTCCATGCGAATAACACCAGGTAATAGCCGGCATTTTGACCCACAATATTGCAGATGGGATTATATTTTAGATGGCAGGGTTGCAGAATGGTAGAAGCCCAATTATGCACTTCGATGGTCTGGATGGCAACCAGATAGTACATCAGTGGGAACACAATTGAGAGCAGCGGGACATTTAAGGATCCTCCATTTTCAATCGCATGTAAGGAAAGAATGATAATAAGAATAAACTGACCGAAGCCCGCTAATGTCCAGGACAAGCAACGACCGATGCTGTGGATGATTGAGTTGTTGAGGAAAGGAATCCAGAACAGCTTCCAAGTAAAAGCCCAGGGTGCGAAGAGCATGACTAGTTCTATACGGCCTACTCCTCCATTCTTATGCAGCCTTGCAATAACTCCGATAAGTCCGATGGGAATACCTAGTAGTGCATACAGGAACCCAAGGCGTACTATTTTCCATAAATCCTCACGAATCCCAGGTTGCTGCTCCTCCGTTTTTTCCTTGACGACCACTGTGGTATCGCCCTCGGGACGCTTTTCCTCTGCAGCCGACATGGTGAAAACCTATGACGTAAAAAAACCCAAACTTTTAACAAATAACACTTAACACTTTTCCGATCAATATGGACCAAATGCTTAGGTTTTATTTTTAAAATCTCTAGCATTTTTAAAGTATTTTTCTTTTTGTAGCAGAAGTGGCAAGTAGGCAAAGGCAGAATGTTTCCAAGTTAATATTAATTTAAAGATTCCAATTTTTGAACACGTACGGAAGTTTGCATTGTAAAGAAAGAAAAACGTTACTTCTTCAGATAAAGGTTTTTTCTAAAAGGTTGGTTCTTGTAATTTCATAGTGCATACCCTTAGTTAAAATATAAATTTTTATTGACGACGATTGGAAAACTTTTCGCTCACCCAACATTGCCCTCCGACTCTACGATTCAGTTTGGCGCCTAGTTCCCGCTGGGGGCCGTTTTTATACTAATCTCATTAGAAAGAGGGCCTTTTGATCATCCCCCTCTCTTCCTGTTCTCGTCTCTCGATCGAAGACTTCTCCCGCATTAGCATGAATTTATAACTTAAGTTACAATGGAATTACATTTTATTTCCGCAGGTCGTAATTTGTAGTAGTTGCCCTTACGTTACGCGCCGCGACATACACAACTTGGGCTACTAAAAGATATTGCAGGCATGGAAAAAGACAATCTAGGGTGTAACAGAACCAGTGACGCATCAAAAGTTATAATTTATAAAAACACACTTTTAAAAATGAAGAGCGGAACCAATACGAATATTTTGACGGCACCTGTATGATTTTATGTTTAATGGCTATGTTCTCCTTTATTTTTTCGAAAATAATAATAAAATGCTTTGACACCACACCAAAATAAGAATTTGTTGCCTGTAATACTCCCGGAAAGTTTGCCATTTCTAGCATTTTTCCAACTTTGGGTTCTGTTTCTCAGAATTTCTCAAAATGCAGTTTAGTTTAGGAATTTTAATTTTGTAAAACAGTGGAAAGCGTCCATCTATTGAGAAATTAAGATTTTAAAGCACAAAAAGCGAATGCAAAAAGTTGAAGCTCAAACTTAAAACATAGACTAAGAAACATTCACGAGTATTAATAAATAAATTTCAATAAAGGGTAAGACAGGCTTCACAGCTTTTTCTTTGTCTGAAATCTACATAAATCACATACACAACCCTGAACTCAAGAAAATTTGTGTTGGGTTTTAATAAATACTTGTAAATATTATCTTACCTGTGTCACCTGTAGCTTTATATGATGTTGACAGAAGTTTCCTCGATGCGAAATACCATGCAAAATAACGATCTAGTGAATGATAACCACCGCTTGGTTCAACGGTTCTTATAAGACTGGACAGCCTACAGACAAAACTATAACTACAGCTTACCCTCCCTCTCTTAATCATTGATCTTCTGCGGACCCATGTGCTGCTAAGCTTCATCGATAGACAAACTCCCGTAATAATAATCTCCCGAATCTCTTAATTAGATCGTCGACCACCCAATTCCATGGGAGAGGCTACTACTAACTTGAGCTATGCTCTAAATATATTTAATCAGCTATTAATCAAAGTGTAAATTTTTTATTGGGTGTGTGAAAGATCTAACAAAATTAATATCTTTGTCAAATTATTTAATAAAGCAGGTTTTAGTGCAGAAATCAAATTATTTTGATCAATTAATTTTAATTGATTTTAAAAGTTTTCAGCACCTTTTTAGTTTTTCCACTAATTTAGATTAATACCTCTGACCATGGGAGTTTTCAAAAATTATTTTCTGTAGCATACTTCTTCGATTAGACAAAATGGCTAAAATGTTATTTAAAGTCGATTAATTGCATTTATTTAGCATTTTTATTTTCTTTTGTTTATTTTATAATTGATTAAGTAAGGAACACTTTTGGCAAGTAGTTTTTCAATTGCTTGGATTAGAGAGATACATTCACCATAGTAAAAATTTAATACTTGTAATATTGCTTAATACAAAAACCTTAATAGTAGTTAATGATCATGACTGGCACATTCGGTTTAATTCCCCTTTTGAATACATGGTCTTTTTAAGTTGCTCTCAACAAAATTAAGTATACGATCAAAAATGTGTTTTTTTTTAATGTTGTCATTTGTATCTCAGTTGAGATCTTCTTTGCCTTATGATGGAGATCTATAAATCTCATTTTTATACCCTTGCAGAGGGTATTATGATTTCAGTCAGAAGTTTGCAACGCAGTGAAGGAGACGTTTCCGACCCCATAAAGTATATATATTCTTGATCAGCATCACTAGACGAGTCGATCTAGCCATGTCCGTCTGTCCGTCTGACCGTCTGTCTGTCTGTCCGTCTGTTTTTTCTACGCAAACTAGTCTCTCAGTTTTTGAGCTATCGGGATGAAACTTTCCCAAAAGTCTTCTTTCTATTGCAGGTAGTATATATGTCGGAACCAACCGGATCGGACAACTATATCTTATAGCTCCCATAGGAAGGATCGGAAAAGAAAACGTTAAAAAAATTCTAGCTTCGGTGTTTTTTGAAATATTACCTTCTACTTTTGGGGATGTTTTTTTTTAAATATTTCTGAATTTCGAATTAAATATTTAAAAAATCGGACTAATATATCATATAGCTGCCATAGGAACGATCGGAAAATTAATGGAAAAGTAATAGGAAATAAATTCTAGCTTCTTTGGTTTTTATTGTATTATCTTCTACTCTAGGACATGACTCTTTTTAAATATTTCCGAATTTCAATTTTAATTTGATCAAAATCGGACGACTATGTCATATAGCTGCCATAGGAACGATCGGAAAATTAATGAGATTAATGAAATTAATTGAACATTTTTGCGATTTGTTAATTAATAGGAATGATCTGCAAGGGTATATAAGCTTCGGCTGGCCGAAGCTAGCTTCCTTTCTTGTTTAACTCGATGTCTCCATCGGTTTTATTGTATTGGAAATGAAGCTCAACAAGCAATAATAATAAAGCTCGTCTGCACTTTCCAAAAGGGTAGTAAGGAATATTATGTAGGTTTTAATTTCTTCGTTAGGTACATAACATGATCGCAAAATGAAGTATGTTAAGATCATGTAAAAAGAATGGTTGCTGAACACCATCACAAAATTCAGGAGAGTTAATGAAAAATTGGAAAAGACCAGGGCTAAGATAACGACAAGAAAGGTGTTGCAAGTAATGAAACGGTAAGGTATAGCTGTCTTTGAGATGTCCTCAAGTCCTGGGCCAGTTAAGCACTTTGCCATCATCATAAGGATGCGTTTCGAGGCTAGCACAATGGTCTTCATATAAAATATTTCCTCGGGTTGGTTGGGACTACCAACTGCAGAGAGCGGGGTGATAAAGATGTATGCCAAAAGGACTCCTGCCAATTTCTGCGCCTGCGAAGTTTTCACCAGCTTCGACAAATCCTGGGTTTTCAACTCGTTCTCCGTCGTGGGTTCTTGGTGAGCATCCTTCTTAAAAAAGGCCACTAGATAGGTGGCTACAAGAAATATCAAGCCGAAGATAAACAGAAAACGGGGCAGTGTGATGATTTCTTCTTCCAGGAATGCAGAACTCAAGTATTTGTTGCAGAAGTCCTTCGATTTCCAGGCGGCTAACACCATGTAATATCCGACATTTTGACCCACACTATTGCAGATGGAATTATATCTCAGATTGCAGGGTCGCAGCATCGTAGAAGCCCATCTATACACCTCGATGGTCTGGATGGCAACCAGAAAGTAGATCATTGAGAACATAAGGGCCAGCAGCAGCACTAAGTAGGTTGAGGCTCCTCCATTTTCAATCAGACGAGTGTCCGCGTATAAGGAAAGGATCACCAATATGATGAACTGGCCGTAAGCCGCGAATACCCAGGATATGCGACGACCGAGGCTGTGGATAATGGGGCAATTGAGGAAGGGAGTCCAGAACAGCTTCCAAATAAAAGCCCAGGGTGCGAAGAGCATGACTAGTTCTATATGGGCTACCCCTCCATTCTTATGCAGCCGTGCAATAACTCCGGTAAGTGCGATGGGAATTCCTAGTAAGGCATACAGGAACACAAGGCGTACTAGTTTCCATAAATCCTCACGAATCTCAGGTTGCTGTTCCTCCGTTTTTTCCTCGACGATCACTGTGGTATCGCCCTTGGGTGGAATCTTCTCTGTAGTCGACATGGTGGAAACCTAATGGTTTGTAGGACATAAGTAAGCATAGATATAGAATAATTAGGTTGACCCAAACTTTACAATATTAACCATTATTATAAAAAATTTCCATTTAAGGTTTCTTAAAATAACTAATATTTTTCTTAGTATTTGAAATGCAAAAAAAAATTACAAAGTAGAACAAATTTTAATCATTTAAATACCCTAGATTTTGGTGTAAGCCTGTAACTTTTTTTGACGAACTAACTGGAGTTCTTTAAAAGCCTTAGAAAATGGGTCCCCAGCTTAACAACATTTTATGATTATAGATTCGTGAAAACTCCCATGAAAGGAAAGGAGATTTGGACCATCCCAATTTCACAACTTGACTTACGACATTTGAAATCATAAAGATCCTTGAAAATAAGATGCAAATAACCTACACGACTGAAAACAAAAAGAAAAGAAAACAGAAACCCAAAGAACTTTGATAAAAAGAGAAAGGGACTCAAGGTGACGCAGTTTATAACCGGGAATAAAGTAGCCAACGAACATGTGAGTCCATGGTGAAATTAGCTGGCCACATGGGCCAAATAAAGCACATGGACCAAGTACAAAGCAAAGCAACGACAGATATGACGTCAAAACAGCAGACGAGTTTAATATGCAACTGTGTAGTAAGTTACTTTTGTTGTTATACATTTATTTTTAGTGAATCGAAATTTAAGCTCCACGAAGATCGTTTGCATAAACATCCTAAATCTCTGAGTTGAGCATTTGAAAAGTTATGGGTAAAGGAAAAAACACGCGCGCTAAGAATGCAACTGGTCATTCACCCTAATTATTGTACACACAAAAAAATTAGTGACCAAAAGAAAAAGTTAAATATATTCAACACATAGATCAATAGAATATTCACTTTCTACAACATTAAAAGATACACATAACATAAACATAAAAATTAATAAAGTTTCATAATTTATTCAATTTGAACAAGCTAATTTTTTCGTGTGTAGATAAACAACAAAACTTCGTGGTTTTTAAACATATACGCGTATTTCAAATGACGTCGGCTTTTTGTCGATCCCACAGATACAAATTCACATCGAACTGATAAAACACGTGCTGCACTTGGTTTTTGCTTTGTCGGCAAGGCTTTTCATCTTACCTGTTGCTTTCCTCGGTGTGAAATTTGTGTAAATCCAAGCGGAATGATTGTTTTCAATTAAATCAGGTGGTGTGCGGTTTTTTTTCCTTCTTCTAACCAAGAGTGTCGGGACCACCCGCTCCGAGGTGGAACCTGTGCGATTTCCAGCAGCCAACTAACAAACGAAAAGGCGAACCGATCTCTCCTAGACGACGTGCATAAAATCACACGACACAATTACCACCACACTTAAACTTGAGAGCGACAGTGCAGCCCCTGTCTCTTTGGGGCATCGGATGGTTAGGGCCGATGCCCAATGGCCGATCCTCTCGTTCCATATAAGGCTTAGAGAGTGCTGATAGTTAAACCCACTCACTCTCACTCGCGACTTGGCTCAATTGAGATATTTGAATGGAAAAAGGAATGCCGGTGGGTGAAAACTGTGAGTTCTCTGTGCCCTTGGCCGAATACCATTGCCATGCCAATGATTACACTGATAAAAAAATAGAATAGTAAAAATAAATATTTGCATATTGAATGCGAAGATTCCTATTAAATTTTTAAGTGAAATAAAAAAACGTAATATTTAATTGAATGATTAATTTAACAAATGGAGAAATTTCAATCAATGTGGAAAATAGTATTTTACTTCATTAAAAAAGATGTTCACATTCAAACCAAGGTTTTGCATTTTTAAAATTAACTATAATTGTTAAATGTAATATTTTCATATCTACATTTATGGAAAACCGCAGTGGATGAAAATCAAAGCGAAAAACATGTTGATTAAATATGAAATCTATTGATTAACTACGTTTTTTTATCAATGTATAGTCACACAAATAAAAGCCATCATGTCATTCTAGTGAATGTGCGCAATGTACTTTGGGGTCAATGACCTTCTTTTGTTCTAAACCTAAATATGTATATCAAAGTCATTAAAATCGGGATTTCTAATCACAAATACTTCAGGTTGATGTGCCGTTTTGCGGCCCCCCACCTAAACATCTTTTAGCACAGGCTTTATAAAATCAATCGAAAGATCAAATTTTTATTTTATATTTATCATTTATTTTAGTACACGTTCTTAAGTTAATTCGGTAAATGCAAGACTGCTAACCCTCCACATATAAATTAGATAAGTTATTTACAAAAGAAATATCAGTTGTTGCATACCCAAAAGTTGTATAAATATCTTCAAAACGAGTATATGATCAAAGTGTTAAGGTAATAACTAATAAGTACAACGGAATTGTGTGGAATGCTCCACTTTTTCACTTTGTGTTATCTTTATCAGACTCTGTATGTTTCACAGAATGCGGATGCTTTCGCTCCATTAACTCAACTCTTGTCTTTTTACATGCTTATAACTGGCTTACTTCTGCTACGATCGTTTACGCGACTTATGCGAGGATGGTCGATCCTGGGGCAGTTTAAACTCGAGGGGATCATAGTCCTCGTACGCGAGCTTTCGCTCTGGCGCCGTCTCAGGTAACTTGTTGATTTTCTGCAGCCGTGCATGAACGATCTGCAGATGCCGACCGATGTAGTCCTCGGCGGGCGCCAAGCGCTGGGCGTACTGCAAACAGGCAGCAGCTTTGGCCAGCCTCTTGCGCTCCACGAACACCACACACAGGTTGTGCAGTCCCTGAGTGTTGTGGGGATCGTAGTGAAGAATGCTTCGATAGCACTTCTCAGCTGCGTCCAGATCCTTCATGTGGTTGATGTAGATGTCGCCCAGCAGAATCAGACCCTTCACATGCGAAGCGTGGTGTCGAATTAGTTGATTCAAGAACGGCACGGCATCCAGGGGCCGTTTTGTATCGGCCAGCAGCAGAGCCAAATTAAACAGTGCACTGCGGAAGTCGGACTTTAGGTGTATGGCCCTCTTGAAGAACTGCTCGGCCTCATCGAAGCTCGACTCGTCCATGGCCAGCATGCCCAGGTTGAAGTAGACCTTCTCGTTCTGATCATCCTTGGCCAGAACTTTGTACAGACGGGCGCGGGAAACCCGTCGCGCCTCCTCGCCGCCCAGCTCCTGCAGCAGAATGGCCGAATTGAGCAATGCCTGTTCGTGCTCCGGGTACAGTTCGATGGCCTTGTTGAAGTACACCTGCGCCTGCTGGCTCTTGCCCTGCTCCAGGAAAACCACTCCCAGGTTGTAGTAAATATCCGCATTCTCGTTGTCGTACAACAAGGCCTGCTCGTACACCTCCTGTGCCTGAGCTGTGCGATTCAGCTTCATGAGGATGTCGCCGCGGTTGATGTAGGCCTAAAAGTCACAAAAAAGTAATTAAGGATATTAACAGAAAAGCATCTATTGTTCCTACTTGAACATAGTCACTCCGCATGCTGATGGCCTGTCGATACAGATGGTCAGCCTCCTCCAGACGCGTCTGATTCTTGGCTATGAGATTCGCCAGGTTGATGAAGACATTCAAGTGATTGGGCGCTATGCGCGCATGGTAGCTGACGCCCGGCTTGGCCTGTGGAAACAGGGACTTGGCCTGAACGTAGGCCTGCTCCGCCTCGGCATAGCGCTTCAGGTTGTTGAACGTGCGTCCCACATTGATGTGGGCCCCGATGTCATCGGTCTGAATGCGCACCGCCTGCTGGAAGTAGAGCAAGGCCTCCTCGAACTTTCCCTCGTTCTCCAGAGCGTGTCCCACGTTGTTGTACAGCTTGGCGTTGCGCTGATTAACATGCACGCCGGACATGAAGAGGGAATACTCTGTACGCCAGTCTGCGTTGCGTTGATGCGTCTTCAGCGCGTGCGTGAGCAGCAGGATGGCCAGAGTGGCCTGGCCGAAGCGTCGCTTAGTCAGGCTGCCGCGAATCTGCAGCTGCCCAAAGCCGTAGGCCACCAGCAGGCAATAGCCCATCGAGGGCATGTACAAAATGCGTTCGGCCACCACAAATCCCACGGGGAAGAACAGATTAGAGGCTGGGAGGAAGGGCAGCACCATCCAGCCGAGACACATGATGAGCGTTCGCGACTGGGCCAGATTCCGGGTGAAGCAGGCTTTGGCCACCAAGGCTCCAAGCCCAAGGAAGGTGAGCAGGGTGGTCAAGTTGCGAGCATCCGCAAATCCCTGCAGCATGGGAACGGTGCCTAAAAAAAGGTGGTGTTATAAAAAGTATTTCCTTTTATAGTTACAGACTAACTCACCCATTGTCCAGTCGCAGCAGAGCAGCGAGGGGCACAGCAGCAGCCAGCAGTTGAGGTAAATGAGGTAGCCGTAGGTGAGTTGCCTCTCGGGCGCATCCGCTGCAGAGGCTGGATTGTCGAAGCGCGTGAAGATGGGCAGCTGGGAGCCCATCACGTAGACGCGTCCCACGAGCAGGGCCAGCGTGATGCCGCCAAGGAAGATCAGGCGTTTCCACAGCGTCGAAGAGGACCATCTTCGAATGCCCGAGGGATTTGCCAGCTTGGGCGACTGCTGTTCGCTGCGCTCCTCGAAGAGGCGCAGCACCAAGTGGCACAGATGCAGCGGCCGCAGTTTGTGCACCACGAACAACTCGTACACAACACAAATCCCGGCGATGGTGATGCCCTGCTCCTTGCACAGCATGGAGGCCAGCAGGCAACTGCCAAAGCAGGCGAAGAGCGCCAGCCAATTGGTGCGACGCGGGTCGCCGACGGACCTCGCGTAGCTGAGAAAGGCGGCCAGGAAGCAGATGGAAGAGAGCAATTCAGCGCGCCCGACGACGCCAGTAACGGCCTCCGTGTGAATCGGGTGCACGGCAAAGAGCAGCGAGGCCACAAAGGCGCATGTGTTGAGCTGGGAGGTGGCGTTACTGCCCGACGACGAGGCACACTGGCGCAGCAGCAGCCGGCAGACCCGACGCCACAGCAGGCAGACCGACAAGTGCAGCAGCAGGTTGACGAGGTGGTAGCCAAACGGCTCCAGCGCATGCAGCAAGTAGTTGAAGCGGAACGTCAGCACGGTGAGCGGGCGATAGGACTTGTGGGACTGCTCCTTTCGCATCGGCGTGCCCCAGAAATCGTTCAGGAAGACGTTGCGCAATGGCGTGTGGGGCCTGAGGTCCTTGTTGTCCCTAATCGCACTGATGTCGTCGAAGACCAGGCCGCACTGGGTGCTGTTGTAGTAGCAGGCGATGCAGGCCACGCAAATGGACAGGAACTCGAGCAGGTTGCGCTGCGAGGAGGAGGAGCTCGACGAGGAGGCGGAGGAGGAGGAGGGCGGTGCATGCTGAGGGGCTCCGGGGTTGGGGTTCGTTGACATGTTGACTTCGCGTTCGCGTTACTTCGTGAAAGGTTTCATGTATCCATAATTGTTCGGTCAGGCGGCGAAATGTTGCATGCAGGGTTTTTCCCAGGCAGGTCCTTGGATGTCCTGGAAAGGAAAAAAACCATTAGTTAACTGGAAATTATAAATTACTAAGGTTTAAAGTAAAGAAACCCCTTTGTAACCAGGTTACTCTTAAGTAAAAGCCCTTAGATGTATGCTACAAATATTTATTTTCCAAAGGGGATGGGGAATCCCCTCCTATGGTCAACTAACTTGTGCAGTAATGTATATGTAAGCTACTTGCAACTTTTGTGGATACACACCCAACTCCTTTTACTTTCCGGACACCGGATTCAAAGTGGTTTTAATGACAAAACAAACTTTCCACCGCTTTTTATAAGCACTTGCAAGTCCTCTGCTACAAAGAAGCAAAAACTGATTGCGGAAAAAATCAATTAATGCGCAACAAAGTAACTCCTTCCCGGTTACTGTCCTGGTTACCGACTGCCGCTCACACAAAGGCCCGAAGTTAACAAAGTTGTAAGCTCCGGATGCGGACTGGGAATACGTATACGTGATATTGGGACGACGGAGAGCGAAGAGAGCATAAACTGTTGTAAATACTGAGGGGCATTACTGATGGGCAGATGGGCGGAATGGGCGGATTGGGCGGATGCCACAATGTTTCACTCAATGTCATCGATTTTCCGGGACGGGCAGTCAAAACAAACCACCACCAGAGAATCGGGAGGAGCCTTTTAGAGAGGATGGAATCTCAGCTGAGCGCAACTTTGTTGCACGACCGACTTTTCCCGAAGGACGACACGTGCTCCGTTTAGCGCCGCTTTCCCGTTTTCCCGCCACGAGCGGCACATGCGCGCTCCCGCATCCTCGTATCCTTGCATCCTTGCACTTTCACTTGCCAGCTCGCCCCGCTCTCGCCGTGCTCTCGGCTCTCCCGCTCTCTCTCGCTCTCCGGGTCGCAGATTAATGGCCGTGCGTGTTTTTGTAAAATTACTTTGACCGAGATACGGAGAGGCAGGAGCAGGAGAGGGAATCGGCGGAGCCGGAGAGCCAGGCGGCCGCGTGTCCTCTCCCAATTTTGATGACATGGACGCCATTACATCGGCGGTGGCCCCTCACACACACACGCACACACAGGCTCACTTGGGTGCAAACAAACCCGATTTTGCCAACTTTGTAGCAGTTTGGCAATAGTTACATTGTTGCGGGCCAAGTTCACCGAATGCCAAGACGAGCAGTACCTATGATTCCCTGTCAGTCGAGCACTTGTTGAGGCAGTTCCATGGCCACGAAACGAAGTTACATTTTAATAAAAATCAGAGCCAACAGCGCGACTTGGACGTGGTTTGTTGTTGTGTTATCGATTGGCCGCTCTTCCTCTTCGCAGCCAGCCATTCCCAGCGAACGCTTATCGATATGCGGCGATAGTGCTATCGTGTGTCTGCCACCACTGCCGCGTTTTCGGTGAAAAAGAAGAAGAAAGGAAAGAAAAAGAAAATAGCATTTTTCTTAAAGTGTTACTTTTTTACTTACAAAAAGACAACAAACATGTCCACGGAGGACTTTTACTTGCGCTACTACGTCGGCCACAAGGGCAAGTTCGGCCACGAGTTCCTGGAGTTCGAGTTCCGGCCGGACGGCAAGCTGCGGTACGCCAACAACTCCAACTACAAAAACGACACCATGATCCGCAAGGAGGCATTTGTGCACCAATCAGTGATGGAGGAGCTGAAGCGGATCATCATCGATTCGGAGATCATGCAGGAGGATGATCTGCCGTGGCCGCCACCAGATCGCGTGGGTCGGCAGGTGAGTTCTACGCTCTTTCCCTTGCAGCAGATCACCTCACTAACCATGTGTCTTTTCGTAGGAACTGGAGATCGTCATCGGGGACGAGCACATCTCGTTTACCACCTCCAAGACAGGATCCTTGGTGGACGTCAATCGGTCCAAGGACCCCGAGGGACTGCGGTGCTTCTACTACCTGGTGCAGGATCTCAAGTGCCTGGTCTTCTCACTCATCGGCCTGCACTTCAAGATCAAGCCCATATAAGCCGAGTATTCCGCCCTAAACATAGCCTATTTATCGGACGCAGTGTATTTTGTAATGGAACCTCTACAATACTTGTACTTGTATTAGCTATAACGCCGTACTTTTGTGTACAGTTTACAGTGAATAAATAATGATCATGATTGGAGAATATTTCAAGGCCTTGGCAAATATCAAAATTAGCTGAGTTGTAAACGGAAAATATATATATAGTGATCCAGTTCAGATCCTTGTCTTAATATGCCATTATAAAAGTAACGAAATCTGATTTCAAAAATCGTATATTAATCAGAATAATGTATACTTTGTCCAAAATCAGTTTTATAGCATTCCACAAAATTTTATTGAAGAACCATATTAAATCCCAATAATTACGGTTCGCTATAGTTTAGAAATTTGATTACCTAGCAGCTCATGGAATGTGAAATGTAAAAGGAGTCGAATTTCAGTGGTTTCATTAGCCAAGAGATCCCAGTCATAAACATGAATTCAAGCTGTACTCCAAATGGGTCCTTAAACTGAAACCACTCGAGATGTTTACATTTGAAAACAGAATGCCGCTCCGAAATTTTAGCTTAGGAAGCAAAATTTGCCTGTGGAGAGAACGTAGTCTCAGCCATAACAATCCGCTCGGGTTCCTATATAAGGTTCAGTACATATCCAATGGGTGGGGTCTTTTGCATACATGTATACAAAAATCGACGGAACCGCTGAGACGGCTTTTCAGGGCAGGAAAAGAGCCAGAGTGGAAGACGGATTTCAGTGCTCAGGAGCAACTGGAGCTAAGCAGACTTCGATCGTAAACAGAGGAAACTTGGTTCGTAAAGTGATCTTCCAGACTTTATAAACATTGCAAAACTAAACACTCATCATCCACAGATTTCATTATGAGTGGCTGGGAGCTGAACAACTGGGACAATAATTACAATGAGTTTAACGACCAGTATTATGATCAGGATCAATATGATTCTGGATTAAATTACCAGGATTACCAAGATTACCAAGACCAGTACGGTTATGAAGACCCTTACAATTCCTTTTCCAACGACGACTACCAATACAACTCTAATCGGAATGGAAACTACCAAGGTGGAGGTCGAAACCAGTCATCCCATTCCCGATCCAGGGCATCCATTTCCAATTCACGCGGATCTCGTGCAGCCCGGGGAAATAATGCTTCAACTTCTCAGAGCACTATGTGTGAGACATCTCATATCGGTTTAATTGAAATTGGGCCTGCCCCGAAATCTACTTCGCAAGTCTCCAATCCATCAAAATCAACCCAATCGAAATCTCCTTTGGACGGTAAAAATATTATTGTAAACATTGTCAATATTAACCATGAATATTAATTGGAAGCTATTTCAATAAAATCATTTAAATCAATGGTGGAAAACTAAAAATTCTTTCATAGTTTTCAATTTTTATGGAGAGTAATTTTTGGGGCATTCTTTTTTGGAACAGAATCTGAAATCCAAGAATCGACTTTCTTGAATATTTTTTTAAAATATTAAATATTTTTCTCATAAATATTGGATGTTTAATAAATTTAGGAGAATTTTTTTATTTTGTCTTCTTAAATTTAAATCCGAGTACTATATTTGAATTTAGTATCTATAAAATGAGACCTAACACAACCAAAAAGGTATCTTTCTATATGAGAGCATCAAACGTATTAGCTGATCCAAGCAAAAATGCTTTTAAACTCAGAAAAATCCCTATTACAAAATTCATGTGGATATGGGCATTTTCACAAAAAAGTGGGAAGAGTGTAAACTCAATCGATTTGAGCGACATTATGGAATTGTCCATATTCTTATATGTACTTAAGCAGTTTTTCATTTCAGTTCCGTTTTTACATAGATATGTAAGTATGCATGTATATAACTCAGCCGAATTGCTGGAACAGAGGGCAGACTATAAAACTCGAACTCCCACTCCGCCCAAAGTGGATTGGACAAAAAACTCAAACAAATAGTCTCACAAATGTGCCTACTACGGCAATACTCCTATGTGTTTAAGCTCTGAGCTCAGCCAATCGGCTCCCACTATATCAATCGAACTAGCTGATCCAAGCAAATATGCTTCTGAGATCACATAAGTCCCCACGACGTTACATGGATTCCGTTGTACATGCATATAGATATCATTATATATGAAGAGAGTTTTCCATTTCAGATTGGTTTTTGTATATAGAACTCATCCGAATTGCTGGTCAGGATCGTTGGCTGATGGAGAAACAGATTTCAGTAGCTTCGCGAAGCTGAAAGAGTACAGACGTTTGTTCTTCGAAAAATCTTCAACTGGTTCGTAAAAGGAATTTTTGTGCTTCAGTAGAAACTGAAATATTTTGACTTAGAAATCAAGATGAGTGGCCGACAAGTGGACAACTGGAATGGTAGTGGCCAGGGCCACAGTTACCAGTACCAGCAGACCACCTACTCCAACCAGGTGGCCAAGCCAAGTGCCGCGACTTCTAGGCAGATCCAAGCCAACAATCGACGGGCTGTCGTGGAAGTGGAGCAGATCACTCGTGCCCTGGCCAACAATGCTCCGCCCAACAGTGTCACCTACAACTACATCAACATCAACCACAGATATGCAAAGAAGTAATATCTACTTAAAGTGCAACTTGATGGCTTGTATTTTCCTTATTTCGTTTCAATTTCCAAGTTGCAAATAAAATAAAGAGAAACGAAACTAAAAAACTGTTTTCAATAATTACCTTTTCTATTGTTCCGGTAGATAGAGAATAAAGACCATTGTAATACGATTATTGACTCTATAATGTGTAGGTATATTTGAAAAATACAACTTAATGTCTAGCGTGATTGAATAACATACATACTCATGGTAAAATATTTAAGTCCTATACATTTGTACAATTCTAATGTGTCTAAAACAGTGTATAAAAGTCGGTAAATATCTCACAAACTGGCGAATTCTCTTAGCGATTAAAGACGTTAAATGGGATCCTAAGAAACTGGTATAAATACGCAACTCGCATTGGGTTTGACTTATATACGCTACTAAATTCAGTCTTTGGGGTTGGTACTCTCTGTTTTTTAGAGTACAAACTATGGGCCTGCAATCGATCGTCCAGCATTAAAGAAAGCTCTTGTAGAGCCGAATGCGTAGGTCTCAGAGTCATAATTGTGGCTGCTGGTGCAGCGCCAATGTGGCTGCGATATTGTTACTGGGTCGCTCCAAATAGGTTCCGTTTCCAGGCATGGGCATTGACATGGGCATCTCCAGATGGTGATGGCTTAGCTGCTGCTGCTGCTGCGACTGCTGCGGCGGAAGTTGCTGCTGCTGCTGGTGGGCTAACTGCGCCTTCAGTAGACTGGGAGATGCCTGTAGAGTTGGAGTATTGCTCGCCACCCCGGCACTACTTCCTCCGGGACTGGGACCGCCCTCCTTTAGCGGAACGCCGATGGTGAGCCGCACATGCAGACCCGACTCCTTGATGAGATTCACCACATCGCCGTGCGACATGCCGGCTATTTCGATGCGGTTCACCGCCACTATGCGATCGCCCACCTTGAGCTCGCCACAGCGATCCGCCGGACTGCCGGGTATTAGTTTGCCTGGAAATTATATTTATAATTAAAATACCTTTCCAAGAAGTACAAAATAGAGCCCTGCATGAATCATTCCATTTTTGTTTTATCATTGTATGCCATAAAAATATATTGAATGTTTTTCTAATTCATTTCGAACTGAATGAATATTTTTTATACATTTTTTGAATTTGACAGATTTGTTTTGTGCCTTCTTTTGAGAACAAAAAGTGGAAAATTTTTAACAAATCAATGTTAACTGCATAGTAAATAAAATTCAGGCAGATTTAATGACAAAATTTTGGCCCTTTCTTCTTCAAAATAAAATGTCGTTTGAATTATTTCGGAATTCATGCCATTCATTCAATTCTATTAAACTCAAAATTCAAATTCATTCAATTCTATTAAACTCAAAATTCTAATTAATTCTTTCATATAAAACAAAAAAATTCCAAATAATTCTTTGAATCCATTCATACAGGGCTCTAGTACGAAATAAACAACCCACCTATTGTCGAGCCGTAATAGTGGTTCGATGAAGATATAATGACAAATCCAAAGCCCTCGTTTTCATGCCGGCTGACAATCACATCGTAGGGATAGCGACGCAGTTGTGACTGACTAACTGGAGCCTGCTGCAGCAGCGGATTCCTCCGCCGGCGTAGAATCATGGTGACCTGGCCGCGCAGCGCTGATTCCCCCACCAAAGAGACCACTTTGTGGTGCGAAGAGTTGAGCTGTAAGATTAAAACAGAAGAATTAGCTAAGATGAGACTGTTTAAGCAAAAGTTAACCTACCACATTAATGCCATCGATGCTGAGAATCTCATCGCCGGTGGAAATGCGCTGGTCCTGATCGGCGGCACCGCCAGGCACAATGTGGCCCACGGTAACCTGGGAACCCTCCTCAGTCCCACCAACGATGCGAAAGCCAAAGCCCAGAGCCTGACGCTCCAGCGTAACCTCGGTGAGTTCGCACTGGTCCGCATCCTCGGAGGCGTCCAGCAGAGCTCCATTGCGCCAGCTGGGCGAGTGCTGCAATTGCTGGGGAGGATCCAGGTTGGCGAAGCCCACGCGTCTTCTATCACTGAGCAGCTCGTTGACGCGTCGCTGGATCCGCTCGTTCTGGAGATGCGCCGTCTGGAGCGGCGAGTACTGACCGGCGGACGCCTGCTGGGCCTGGACAAAGTAGCCACCGGGACGGTAGCGCTGCTGCGCCTGGCAGTCATAGCAGTAGCAGGACTCGTGGTGAGCCAGTGGCAGCGGGAGAGGCTGCATGCTGGGGGGTAAACCATAGATGCCATTTGGGTCTCCCTGCAGCGACACCTCCGCCAGACGCTCGCTCAGCCTGCTGATCTTGGGATAGGGATCCATGTACGGGATGTCGTCCAGCTCCTGCAGACTGCTGTTCGACTTGCCGGGCGTCCTGTTCTCCCTCTCCGCCGCCGTGGACTCCTCTAATTCGTTACTGGGCGTTTGAACTCTGGCTCTCCTTGTATCCACCAGTGGGGTTTTCGGACGCATGGGCAGCACCTCCTTCACCTGGGTGCTGTACAGATCCGCCGTGGGCGTCTTGCTGCGGAAGAGACCGCTGCCGACAAAGTTTTTCCGCAACTTGGCCACACTGCCCACCTGGTTGTTGGCCGACTGTTCAGGCGGCGTTCGCTGAATCTTCACCGCCGTCGGCGTCGTCTGGCTGCACTCCTTGAGCAGCTCCACCACATAGAAGTGCGGCTTGTTGCGCACATTCAGTCCATTGATTTCCAAGAGGACGTCGCCCTCCATCAGCTGAGTGCAGCAATTGCGATCGAGGATCTTCTTCACAATCTGACCGCAGGCGGAATCGGCGATGGTGAAGCCAAAGCCCATGGAGCCCTTCATGATCGAGAAGGTGTAGAGCTCGGGCTTCTTCATCAGGATGAAGCCACAACTCGCCTTCTTGGCTCCCTCGCCGGACAAGTCCAGGAAATTGTAGTTGCCGTCCATGTTCAAGCGTCGCTGCTTGTCCGCATCCCGTCCGTCCACCGCCATGGTGGTCACCACCTCGTTGTTGGGATCATTCGGATCGAAGGGCAGCGGGTAGCCGCGACACACCTCCAAGGAGGCCCTTTCTCCTGGCAGAATCGACTGGAATATGTTGACCATGTCGTGGTGCGTGTAGCCCAGCACACAGGTGTCGTTCACGTAGACCAGGACATCGCCCGTCTGCAGCTGACCATCCAGCCAGGCGGGACCGTTCGGCACCACCGTCTTGATCTGCAGGAACTCCTCCACATCCCCGCCAGCAGCGCTGCCGTCGCTGCCCACGATGGTGAAGCCCAGTCCACGCGATGACTTTAGCAGCGTGGTGTTGACCCGCTGGCCCTGCAGCTCGGCGGGATTGCGGGTGAACTTGTAGGGCAGCTTCATGGGGGCCTCTTCCTGCTCCGGATCCTCCTGACTTTGCTCCTCCGCCGCCTGCGTGGCCAGTGTCTCTGGCAGCACAGTGGGCGTTTTGGAGCGCTGTTCCTGAAGCTGCTGCTGCTGTTGCAATTGCTGCTGCTGTTGCAACTGCTGTTGTTGACTCTGCTCCGCCGCCCGTCGCTTGGCCTCCAGCACTGGGTTCTCGTACTGCGTCCGCCGGTTCACATGGTCGATAAAGTACATCCCGTACATGGAGTCCTCTATCTTCTCCCAGCCGTAGGGCAGCTCGTCCTCGCAGCAATCCTCTAGGGATTTCTTTTGATACTTGGAGAGTCGCGGATCCAGCCAGTGGGAGGTTCCGGTGTTGTGACTGCAAGGGAGGGGATTTTAGATTAGTCATTGATCATTTTATTTAATTAAATGTTTAAGATCGATGTGGATAATAACATTTTGTTTTGATACTGACAACATTTGTGCTTTTACGGTTTTAAAGAGCAAGTCCTCTCAATTCAAGAAGAAATGTTCTCAATTCAAGAACAAATGTTCTCAATTCAAGAACAAATTCCCCCTTTACAAGTTTTACTCACTCAATGAAGTACAGTTCTCCGCGTTCCGTGTAGGCAGTCTCCCATTTGGGTGGCAGGGGTCCCAATCCGTCGCCCGGATCATCGTTGTTCTCGTGGTTCTGGTGCTGGGCATCTCCAGCTCCGCACTCGCTGCCCAGACTGCTGTCCCCCGTTTCGCCATTGTAGTAGGTGTTCTGCAGCAGGTTCTCTGTAAAATATAGAGTGAAAACCCCAATCAGTGCATCATCCATGTAACATACTCGTAAAATCGTAAAAATCAATCACCAAACCCAAATCGTTCAATGAACTCCACACTCGGCAGGTGGAATTTTGCCAAAACGAGTCACGGAACTGGTGGAGTTTGATGCTCAGCCAGCCGCAAATAGTTTGGTGTGGTCTTTTGAAATCGAACCTCATACAAAAGCGAACCCCAATCCCTAGTCCGCATCTCCTGCCACTGGCCATTCCCCGCCAGCTCTCGTCGGCAATCCGGTGAAGCGTAAAGCGTTTTCGATTGGGGCAAGCCAGAATAATAATTATTATTAGCAGTTGGCAGGCTGGCTCTGGTCAGACGGTGACCTACTTTTCTGGACCACGGCGATAATGGGACGAGATGGCCACTAAGCACTAAGCACTCTCAGTCCAGTCCCCCACTCAAGTCGGATGAGTAATGGGGAAATTTTAATTATGGCCAAAGCGAAAGAAGTAAATGAGTGGCCTATGCTTTCAACCAAGGCCGACGTGATTTCGCTTGACAAGCCGTTGCGAGATGATCGAATGATAAGCCCTAGCCATGAGTCAGGTTTCCTCGGAAATCTCTTATGAAGTAAACATGTAAGAATTAAAACTCTTTTTATGTAAACATAGTTTTGGGTAAGGTATATTGTCATCAAATAACATTTTTACATTACCAAAAAAAATATTATTAAAGTATGTCATTGATAAAATATTCTAGAATATTAATAGCAAAGATTTTTAAATATTTGGTATTTCTACTATACAAAAAAATCATTTAAAATATTAAAATAAAATATAACACAGATAGAATATTCAGAAATATTTGTGAAAAAAAACTACGACCTAAAAATTAAGAACTATTTGCTATACAAATATTATAAACTTATCCCAAAGATATGATATTCTGGACACATTTTTTCTCTTTGACAGTTTGCATTATAGAAATAGGCCTAAACCTATGCTAAATTATGCTTCGATGCTCATTAAAAAATGGATTATGTAGACCACTCGTCGTTAACCCCTTTTGAGGTGCATGCCCCAGCCCAGATATATATAAGCATATGCATACATCCAGCGATAAAGCCATGCGAACAGGGCTAATCGAATGTCGGGACTGTTGGAGAGCGAAAAAATAGACCCACCTGAACATCATTCAAAACATATTGCGAATCATTTGCATAGGAAGATGAATATTTATGGCAGACACTTCCAATTGGAACACGGAAAAGGGGGAGCGAAAGGGCGGGCAGGTGACACATCTTTAAACGGTAAAAGCGCCATCGTCTCGTGTTTGCATTTGGGGCTGAGGTAGTGTGACAGAAACGGCGAGAAGCTCGTTTGAATAAGTACAGAGAAAGAAATAAGACTCTATATCAAAATAGTATTTGCAGGTCAACTAAATATTCCCACACAATATGATTCGAATTTGGAATGATTCGAAACATTTATTACAGTGTGATTGGAATGATTCGAAACATCTAACACAGTAGTAGTATGATTCGAATGATTTGAAACACCTTTTACTGTGTGATTCAAATGATTCGAAACATCTAACGCAGTGTAAATCATAGTAGTATTTAAAGTAGATACTTACATTCTTCAATTTAAAATTTTAATAGTATAAAACGATTTTAAAATATCAATAAATTACATGATTTTTTTTTTTTTTTTGCGATATTTATTATTAATATTATTTTGGTATTATATTTCCTTAAACCTCCTAAATAGTGATAAATAAAATTAAAGATTTATCCCAAATTTCCCTGCGTGCAGTCCACATGTTTGTGTTGGTGGAGTCTGCAGAATCCATAGAATGCTGAAGAACCTGGTTCCGAGAGAAGGGAGAAGGAACGGGGGGTAAGGAGATTTTTCAGTACGGAAGTTGTTGGCGGCACAGTTTGCCTTGGCCTCCCATCACCACCCACCCATCCACTTTGTTTTCCTTTGCCGCTTCGTTCGCAACCTCACTTGCTTGCATTGTGTAAATATTTGTAGAATGCGAGAGCGAGAGGGCGTATTTGATCAACAGATGTAGCACAGAAATAATGCTCACAGCTACAGCTGAATGTGGAATGAACCAGGGCTGCGAGCGCAAACTAGAATCCGAACTAAATGCTGTTTACCTTTCACCCATACCAATCCGGCTTTACTTTCCATGGGTCTTCGTTTATCTCGTGCTATTGGACAAATATAAAAAATAAATATGTAGCACACGTTGCTCCAAATCTGCTGGACATGTTTTCTTATCTGCAACTTCTCGATAAGAAATGCAAATATTTTCCGTTCTAATGAATTACACATATAAGATCGCGAAAACAGATGATGCCAAGATGGTTAGGAAAAGTATAAGGTAATAATGAATTGAAAATCTCTATAGATAATTTTTTTTTTTTGGAAGAAAGGCTTCTTCCTTAAAAAAACAGCCCTGCTCAATCAATAAAAATTGCTCGCTCGCCCAAAAAGATCGCATATCTTGAATGGCAGTACGAAAAGTGACTCATCTGCTGGGAATGTTGGCCCGAATGGATCTCGGATTGAAAAAGAAGGAGACGAAAAGAGACAACGAGTATCCATTACTCATAATAACAGGGATTGCCGTAGTCCCAAGATGTTGGTAATGATTGACAAACGATTATTTTCCGAGATTGCGGCTAATTGCACACGAGATTCAAAGAGAAATTCGGGGAATCGTTTAGCCCAGATCATATCGAGACAGTTCAATCTGAACCCTGATCGGCAGTGGATTAATGCCTCGGTAAAAGTCTAAAAATAATTAAAACAAAACACAACAAAGAACAGGGAACTCTTGGCCAACATGTGGTACAATTGAAGCAGACACAAACAATCCCCGAAAATGTAATGTGCAGGCTACAAGTTACGTAAAGTCGAACCGAAATACCCGCCAGTTCATTGACTTTGACCCAAATGGAAAACAAAAGTCAAACGAAAAGCTGCGCACGCGCCTTTGTCGAGGGTCGGGGGGCGTGGCAGGTCGTGAGTGGAGTACCAGGGGGCGTGACGGTAACGGTGTCGAGCTCCCTAAGTACCCTCGAGTAGTAGTAAAAAAGTAGTAAAACAACCTTTACCTAATTGCCAATTTTCCCCATTCTGATTTCCTCTACATATCATTGTACTCTTCCTCTGATCCGTAAAAATGTTTGCAGATTTACATACTATTATACTTTTTTTTACAATATATCACTGGTTAGTTTTAAATCGTTTTAAACTAGATTTATAAAACTCCAAATTATAGTTAAAGATTTTAAGCTATATTATATTAAATTTCTAAATTAAAAGATATTTTTAAATGTAATTGAAAGGTTATGATATTACTGGCTCTATAAAGCTCTTAACAATATTTAAATATTTTTTACTATTCGCTAACCCGACTTTTTTTCCAAAAACTATGTAGTGATCGGGTCAATTTTTTTTCTCTCTGCTGCTTTAAAGTTTATACATGTACATTTGGTTTACCCTTGTAAGTTGTTATTTGGATCGTGTTTTTTGGCACGATCTTATGAGAAGTTGACAAAAACAGAATTCAAGGAAATCGATTTCTAAAGTGAGAAAGTAAGGGAACCTCAGCTTTCTGTTATTATAACTAAGTATTTAGCCATAAAGAAGATTTGCATAAATAAATCCCTCTCAAAAGTGGTTTATTTTCTTGAGATTTCGCAGAGTTTATGAGTTAATATCCGGGTTCTGTTATATTTTTCTCGAGTACAAAGAACTTAAAAATGCTAAAGTGAAAGCCCCATGTCGTTCCAACTTTAATTTGTATAATTCCCGAGTAACGTCAACATAAATTAAGCAGTAATGAGATGCGTGTTCCGCCGCTTTCGTTGCCGTCTGGACCGCTAGATTTTGCTGCTGTGGCCAATGCAATTCCCCTAGTTACGCAATAAGCACTTCAGATGACTCCAAGTCGTGGCTCAGTTTTCGCAATTTACTTGCTGTCCGAGTTTGCTTTGTAGCGGATCCATTGAATGCTCCCCGACAATTAGTTCGCCCGCGTTTGGAATGCAGGGCCCTTCTGGCAGAAGAACTGCCTCCAAAGACCATTCCACTCAATTGATGTCATCGAGTAGTCTGAGTTCCTGCTCCCCTTTAACACATAAGTCTACACAGAGAAAAAATTGTATATGAAATAGGATCATATTAACCTTATTTCATATCAATAAAAAGCCGATATGATTAATGTCAAATTTATGATTCAATCATATCAATTTAATATTTTATCATTTCATAAAAGTTATAAAAAATACTGTTTAAAAATACCAAATGTAGTATTTTTTAAACAAATCTTGTAAAATAAGATATCAAAATACCATATCAAAATGATACCAGCACATATCAATTTGATCTTTTGTCAATTTTTTTCCGTGAACGTCTTTGTTCTCTCAGGAAAAAAGGGGACGGCCCTCTGTGTGTCATTTGTGACGACTCCTTCACGGGCTCCCTGCTCCGCCTAATGATAGCATTTGGCTTTGCTGCTTCGTTAACCTGGCTTACTACACATGGCACGCCATAAACTAGAGTTACCCTTCTGCTGTCGCAATCAAGAAATTAATAATCGCAGCATGTGATGCCGGGAGGAGCAGAACTTGAACTCCAACGCCACTGCCTTTGCTGCTTTTCCTGCTTTTGCTAATTGCCACTGACGTGAGGCGTAAATGATAAGCAAAAGATACAATGTAAGGTGTGTGGAATGGTGAATAGATTTAGATCCAGGTGGGTGAGTTTCGAGCTGCCGAGTTCGTTGCCACCACTTGAGTTCCGAAGTTCATTGAAACTCCTGGGAATCCTGGCTCCGAAATTCCACCCCTTTCTCGCATTCATCTAATGAAATCCACTAATTTAGTTGCTTAACTCGGGCCCAAAAAAGCGTTAACCACTTAACAATGGGACCAAGCCAAGCGGCAAACGCTTAACAGATGATTCAGATACATACTAACCACCTAGTATCTTGCCCAACTTCCGAAAGCGATTTCCCATCTACACCTAGATGGTGTTGTCCAAAAAATAAATATAACGAAACGAGTGTGAGGGTTGTGTGTTTTAAATGGGAGCTCTGTGAAACTTGAAGAGTGTTTACAAACGCTAACAACTTAGTTTTGATCTTTTAAGGTTATGAAATTTTTAGATATCATATGAACTCGACTATCTTAACCGCAGGTTATTCAAAAATCCATTAGTTTATCGCAAATATGGGTATAGTTCGCTCTAAACGCTCGACCAATAATTTGGCTGAACATTTTAATTTAATGGCCCCAATCACACCTACAAGTTTAATGTCGCTGGGGTATGGTATTAAATTCCCACTTGATCTAGACCGGCAATTATATGAGTTAAGTCAATCAGCGACACAATCGAGGTTACCTAAATCCCCTCCACCTTTCCACTCGTCGACTCTAAAAGAAACCAGCTTTCTGGGTTTCATTCATGAATGTCGTCTTACGATAATTCATTCGAGCGACGAAACAATGCAGCTTGGGTTAGATTTAGATGGCAACTGGATCGACTGGGTTCATGGGGCTTCCACTGTTTTTGCGAGAAAGTGATGACGGGTGGATTAAATGAAACGGGAGTAGAGTAGAGTACTTAGAGGGTGAAACCGAGTGTAATATTGAAAGTGTAGCACTTAGTCCTCTAAGAACTGGCTAAGAACGGAAGACCCACAAGAAGAAGGTTAACAAGAAGTGGGTTTTGGTTTACAAGCGAAACATTTGTAGCCTTTCTTCGTCTTTGGCACGTGGCTGTCCGAAAAGTTCCACCCGCTGTTTCAGTACTTTGTGTTTACTTTTTCGTTAACCACCCGCTGATAGCAGACTAATTTCATTCCACTACACAAGTGCATTTCAAGTTGAAATTGAAACCGAAACGAAAACGTAATTGAAACCGAAAACCAAAGTGGGAGTGTGTGTTTTGCTTTTTTGGACGAATCACTCGCTTTCAACCATGTGGGGGCGGAAATGAGTCACTTGAGACGAACGCCCTAAATTAGGTTTAAGAGCTGGCCCACAGCAAATTAATTTTAATATTTTATGAGGCGCAACGAAAATGGAAATTCGATTTGGAGCACAGGTTCTCGGGCAACCACACATCTAGCTCTCTGCATAATTGATAGCTTCATGCGACAATAAATTTGAATTAACATGTTTGAATAATAAATATTAGATGATAAAATAAAGAGAATTTAGTGTGCTTAAGATCATGTATAAACATGTGATTTGGGATTTAATGAAAAATATATTTAAGTAAAATATATGAGTTATTATTTTAACTTGTTTTACCTTTTCATATAATATTAATTTAATTCAAACATGTTATTGCCTTTCAGTTTAATAAATTTAACACTAGATAATTGAAATGATTTTTGGAATTTATCAACATCATATCAAATGTAGTAGTCACAAAAAAACTGTGGGAATATTGAAGAAAAAATGCTACAAAATCAATATAACTCAAAATATATTTTTCTCTCATGCTTTCAACAATAGGACGAACAAATATATGAAATATTTTAGCAGAAAATTGCATTTTTCATATGTTTAACCCTACAATTTAAATTAAATTTTCTTCCTTACCCTTGCTGCCCTTCAGAATGCTGCTCGGAGGACCATTTCGTCCGGTTCCCGGGCCTCCTCCGTTGACTCCATTGCTCCCGCTACCGCTGCCAATGCCATTGCTCGGCAATCCGGAGATGAACTGATTATGCACCGACATCTGGCTGTTCAGCGAGGAGGTGCCACTCAGCGAGGCGACATCCTCGCGCGAGGCGGAACTCGCCCCGATGGCTGAAGTCGGTACGACGGATTTCTTGAGTGCCGGCGGCGGTGGCGGGCGTAGATGGTGATGATGATGGCCAGCTGGTGGCGCTAGACCCAGAGACTTGTCCCCGTTCCCATTCCCGATCCCCAGGCCATTGCCAACCACATCGGAACCTGAGTTTAAGCCAGCTGACAATGTCTGGGAAACTGCCGCTAGTTCGCCGGCATCGGCGGCATTATCGTCCACGTTGTCGCGGCTGCAATTGAATTTTCTGCTGCTTCCGTTGGCAAGGCTAGAATTTAGATTCGAGTTTCCGTTAAATGTTGCAAAACTGGTCGGAGCAGCGGCAACAGGATGTGGATGTGGATGCGAGTGGTGGTGCTGTTGGTGGGAAGCATTCAGAGGCGCCAACTGCTGCGGCTGCTGTTGCTGTTGATAGAAGTGATTGCCGAAGAGCTGTTGATGTTGCTGCTGCTGCTGTTGCTGTTGATGTTGCTGCTGCTGCTGTGACTGTTGCTGCTGGTACATTAGGTAATCGGTGGGCGATTTGGCGATTGCCACGCCCCTGGCTGCCACACCTGCTACTCCGCCGGCTGTCGACGTTGTCGTGGCCGTGATTATTGGCATTTTAAGCTTTAGCTTCTATCACGAATTGTTCTCAAAACGATCTACCAACGACTTGCGTTTTTTCCAACCATTGCATTCGAGTCTCGTTATTTAATACTTTTTTGTTGGTTTTTCTTGTTTCGGTTTCGCTTTGCTTCGCGCTTGTTTGCGGGAATGTTTAGATAAACTTTGAACGCTTCTTCATTTTGCCGTTTTATTAATTCATTTGTCATTGAGCCTCCATTCCGGTTTCGGGAAGCTGCAAAAACAGAACAATCAAAAGAGAAACCATTAATTAGCAATATGCAAAGTAATATAAACAATTACCGAGTATATAAACAATAGAATAGTTAGAGCCACCATAACGAAACAATAAAGAACGCTACAGTTGGGATTTGCGTCGTTAGGGTGCAACTATTCATTTTATAAAGGTCTAAATCCTAACGAAACGATTTTTATGTATTATTTATTTCAATATTAAATATCATTAAAAATAAACCTTATTTATCATGAAATGTTTTTTTAACCATCGTTTGTTCTCTTACTTACAAAATAAGGAAATGTTCCCTTGTTTTTTAAAATATGAAAAATAAAATGTTAGAAAATTATTGCCCAAGGAATATCATTTATTTGGTTATATTTTTTAAAAGTTCCCTAAAATTCTTTAAGAAAAATTTTCCCACAGAAACTGAAATAACTGAGAACCGTAGTATCCATTAACGTTCTCGGTTTCGGTTTCGACCTTCAACTATTTTCGCAATTTAAACTGCGTCGCCTAAGATGCTTTAAAATCATCGTCGAATACTTTGAATATCTAACATTGTTTGGACCTCAAACCCCGCTCTTCTCCTCTTAGCCAAGTTCCAAAGCCAACTATCCAGTTAGACAGCTCCGGGCCAGACAAGCTCATTGTTCGGCGGCCAACTCCATCCAGACTGCAGTTTGCAAGCGGTGCCAATCAACAGATTGTTCAGTTAGGCTTGTCCCGATCCCCTTTATATACCCTCCCCATTTTTATTCCCCATCATTGTTGACATTGCAATTTTACAGAGGCTTGCTTCGACTTTCCCATGACAGACGTATAATTATAATTATTTTTCTGTGCATTCCATGGCAAAGTTTTTCTTAAATTTTCGCCAGTTAAAGCCATTTTTTGCACTCTTCAAGTGCGTTTAATAAAAAAGAGTAAACCAGCTCGGTTAATTTGGATTTATATCAAAACAAAAACTTTCTTTGTTTAATTTGTTTGTAGTTAAACTTCGTAGTGAACTGGTTTAAATACTATTTTCGTTTTAAGAGGAGATTGAACCAATTTTCCCAACTCTCGCTGCTATTAAATATATGTATTTATAAATATTTAAACAAAATCATGGTTTCCCCGAGAGAAATATGAAAACGTTGACTCACGACACACACAATTATGAGCGAGGGGAAAGGAAAAGAATAAGAAAATTAACTGTGCGAAAAAAGGGGCATCAAACACGGCAGCAACATAAAATTCCTCAAGCGAAAAATTTACTCCAATGAGAAAAAAGGCAGAAGACGATCGACGGAGTCGATGGAGGGCAGAAGGAGTACGATACGTTGAGGCATTAAAAAAGAGCTGCGGGCACCGCCAGCCAAGAATTCCAGAAACGACAAGCAAAACAACAACATCGGCGAGAAACGAGTTTTTTAGAGCATGCCACCAGATCGCCAGAAAACCGAAAACTCAAAACTGAAAACCGAAAGGCAACCCCCACAAATACACAAAGGGAAAATAATGGTATAGGTTCTAGCAATGCGATGTCCTATAAGTTTAAAGTACGCTTTAGGATACAAAATGTTTCAAAAAATCGAAAATACGCAAAAAAAAATATAATTAAAAAATTTATATAAATGAATAGAAAATATTTTTGAAGGGTTACCAATTTTTGTTTTATTTTTACTACTTTAATGAAACTTGTTTTTTAACTTAAGCCACAAGTTTGTAAGATCTCTTTAAGTGGTTTATAAAGTTAATTAAATTAAATCCTAATATTTGAACACAATTTTTCTATTGTTTCGAATATCAAAGTTAGGAAATTCTGAAGATTTAAACCAGCGGTCGGCACACTCATACAATGACTTTTTGTTTTAGACTTGTGTGAGTAAATTGCACGGGGCAGCTCATTAGTGTGTGTGTGCAGACCGCTGTTCTACAGTGTACGTGAGAGGCAGAGGATGGGCAGAACAATTTCCTATGCTCACTTAATAGGGCGCTGCCGACCGCTGATTTAAACTATAATTAAGTAAAAACAAACCAAAGGATCTTTTCTCTCTCTGTACGAACACGTAACAGGAACGATCTGCTTCTGCTGGTAGCGATGGTGGTTGATTCACTTGCCACAAAGAGACCCAAAACAGAGACCTTTTCGAACCGCAAATGTGCCCAGCCACCTGTCGTTTGGCGGACAGCGAAAACTGCATGGAGCATTAGAGAAAAGCCGCGGAAGGAGCGAAAAGTAAAGTTAAGTAAACCGAAGGCAGGGAAAGGCAGGGCAAGAAAGGAGGAACGGGGCACTTTCGACGACCAGGCGGCGCACGACCAGAAGAAATACCGAGTGGCAATCAACAAGGGGAGCGGCGACTGCAAACCAAGTGAAAAGCGTATAGTTAAGCCCACAATTTCACTCCATGGGGAAAATTCATCATCTGCGTTTATGGCCGCCTGAGGTTTTCTGCGAAGCGAGTGCAGTTGGGTGCAGTTTGGATGCAGATCCAAAACAGCTTGGTGGCACTTTGTCAAGAAATGCATCGTACTTTATTTATTTTTCCATTAGAGTTTGGGAAAATTAAAATGGAGTTTAAAACATTTTTAGCACTGGTATTAAAATTTAAAAACTTAAGTTTATACCCAAAAATATTTCTAATTTATTGAAAATACAATTTAAAAATGTTCTTTATAAACAGATAAGAACTAATATACTAAGATATGCAGGAAAAACTCATAAAATTTCGGTACTTCCAGGAACCAATTTAGAAATCGTTAGAGATTTCTGGGAAACCCCGATAATGGACATTTGCAATTTTATAAGTCTTATTTACAGTGCCGTTATTTTAGATTATTATTACTTCCTTTAATACAATCGAAATTTTTTGAAATTTTACTTTTATGATAAACTTATTTTTGGTAGGCCTAATTAGTTATAAATACTAACAATAACAAGCAAAAATCGTTAAGCAAAGTAATCAGCAATCGCGGTTGTCAACTTTCAACGCTCGAGTGCCAGATACATTAGCAAATATTTATCTTTTCAAGCACGCCTCGCTAATTGCCATCGATCAGAGATAAACTTTCTATCGAGTGGTGGTCAATGCCAATGGCAAATATTGGAAAAATGTCAATGAGGGAGATAAAAACCATTTTCAGTCGCTTTCAAAATTCGCACCTCTTTTGGGTTTGTTTATTTGTTTGGCTCGAAAACGGGGTCCTAAAACGATGATCGTCGGGGGGCACTTTCCATTTTCATTCCGATTTTGATGTATTTTGAGTTGAGGTTTTTCTTCGAAAACGCGTTTTTCAAACACACACATACTGTGTTTATACGATGCCGAATTCACGCTATCATTTCACGCTTTCGGCCGATTCGTGCTTGTATAAACGCCATTTCGTGAATTCGGCAACACACGAAAGTTGACTATGATTTCAGCCCAAAAGCGTGATTTGGTGATATGCAGTATGGTAACTCTGTAAAAAATTATCGACGTTGCCAGATCGCTAGAAATTGAAGGCCTTTTATAGGCTATATCTCTAATCAGTGGTATTAAAAATAAGATATTTTTGCTGGTCCGGCATCCCTATCAGCTGAGAGTGAATAAAAGCATGAATTCTCGGCTGTCGTATAAACAGGGGTTATTTCTATTTCGCGCTTTCAAGAAATCGTGATTGCTATCGTATAAACATAGTAACACACTAACACGCACACTTGTCAACACTGCGATGCGGTGGCACTTGTTAACTGTGATATTATGGCCAAGTTTCAGCTTGTTATGGGCCAAAAACCTCCTGGAAAACCCGTTGGAATCGTCGCGCGACGTTCCACACCTGCGATACTGCGATACCTGCGACGCCGAATAAAAAAACGGGTTGCTCACTAATGGCTCGTCTCGTTTTCCATTAAACGCAGCATTAAATTGCAATTCGATTTTCCCGCAACGCGAACCGCACTCCACCGACTATCGAAAACAAATGAAAACTGAAAAACTGAGGTGGCGCGCCGAGTTGACTTGGAAAACCTGTTGCTGCTAGGCCCACGCACACAAAGGTATTTGCACACCGACAACAAAATATAAATGCACTCTTTGTTTGTCACTAGAAAAGCACTGGAATGGTTTAATATTTCACTTGTTCGGCATTGGTAAACCTCTTATTAAACGATTGTCCCAACTTAATTTACAAATAAACGTAGGAGTTAATTAAAAAACGCGAAACGAAAAACAAAACAGAAAACAAAAATAACGCGACGCTCAACAAGGTTGCGTGCCTGGCAGTTATCGACTATCGGCTATCGGTGACCATTCACCACGATGGTGTGACCACACACCCGATAGGCAAAACTTGGCGCCTTCTTCGATTTCCTATCGTTATATTCAAATTCAAAATGAAAATAGCAAGCCCTTACATATTTTTCAGTTGCAGAAAGTGTAGCACATAAAATTAAAAAGTAAATAAAAAAGTAAACAGCAAAATTATTAGTGAAAACCGTTTGGAAGTGCTGTTTAAATTAAATAGTTATTAAAATTAAAAACCATGGAAGTTGGGAGTAAGAAATGCGTAGAATATATCCTATCTTTTCGTTTTAAACCTCATACCCTCACCAGTTACCCTGAACAACGAACTTGAGACTCAGATTTCGGAAGCCTTTTGCATCTTTGACACGCATGGTGATAAATATATTGACACCCGAAATGTGGGCAACGTCCTCAGATTTTTGGGCTGCGTTCCCACCGAAAAGGAGGTCGAGGAAGTTATTAAGGCCACCGAGTCCACGGATTACCCAGGGGAGACCCATATTATCAAATTCATAGGCCATGTCTCCCAGCTGCTAATGGACCGCCAGTAAGAAATGTTTATTAGGATTTTATAAAACTAGTTTCACTTGATTTTAATCCCAGAATGGAACCTGCGTCGGCTGAAAAGTTGCTGGAGGCCTTTGAGATCCTGGATCCAGAAAACAAAAAATTTCTGACCAAGGAATATTTCGGGAAACTGATGTCGGAAGAAGGCGAACCTTTCACTCAAGAGGAACTAAATGCCATGTGGCCTGTGGCCATTGCCATTGATCCCATCACTGGAACTGAAAACGTTCCCTATACCTTCTACATCAATCAACTCAGGGTGAGGCAAAAATTTTCCTATTCATATACTTTTAATTTCGGTTTTTAATCTACAGCACAAACCGAAAATCTACGAAATCGCCGAGGTTATTAAAGAGGAATTGGCCCAAGTTGAAAGGGAAAAGGGCAAGAAACCCCCACAAACTATGTTTTCTTAAAAAAATATTTTGTTTCGATGTCTTCAAAAATTAAATTGTTTATACATTTTTGAATTGTATAACCTATTTTCTTGGTCTCTCATATTCCACCGTTCCACATTTCGAACTAGATGGTAACTCTGGCTAGTAATGGACCAACAATACATTAAAGAAGAATAACCGATAGTATCGTATAAATTCTATTAAATTTGTTCAATCATTATTTTATATGTTAAAGAAGGCTTAATATGGTTTAATTTTTACTTCAAGGACCATGATATATTTAAGTAAAGTCCCATTGCTCTCATTTTTTATTTCTTAATTTATGTGAAAGGGTTCTTAAAAACTATCGGCTGTTCTAACAGCACCCAAAGGCTTAATCGATAGTTTATAGCTACTTTTCCAGCGCTGAAACCACCACCAGAAAAACACGTCAGCTTTTCACAGCCATTCGGAAAAGAACACGTCAGCAGAAAGGAAAACCAGTTGGTAGTGGGTCGATATTGCAAGGTGGATGAGAAAATTGCGTGAGACGGAGCAAGAAAAGCCCGAGTCGGAGGCGATGAAGAGGTCCAAACCCGCAGAGCGTCCCAGAAGCGCAGTCGAAGCACAAGAGACGACAACCTAAGATAAACAAGTTAACAAGTTCAAGTTAAATCACGGATAAGCCATGCAAATCTAAAAGTGCAGAGGCAGCAGTTTATCATTTAGCCCCCAATCAGTTATTACCATGGCCCCCACAGCGAGTACAGTGCTCATTGCCGTGCCGCGGACAGCAATCACATCGAATAGTCTGCCCAAGCTGAGGCCCGCCCCCTTGACGGCGGCGCTGCTAAAGGCGGCGGCCACGCCCTCCGCCTCGCCGACGCCCTCGAGCTCGGGCTACGCATCCTCGTCCAACATGGAGGACGACAGCCCGGCCGCCTCGGCGCCCAAGGCCAAGAAGCGTCGCCTGGACCATCTCACCTGGGAGGAGAAAGTGCAGAGAAAGTAAGTAAAAATCATATCATTCAATCATATCATTTTGATATCAATAAAGTCTTTTTTTATATTATCTGCTCAAAAAGTACCAAATTTGGTATTTTTAATGATATGATCAAATATCATGTTGATATGTTTGAATCATAAATTTGACATAAATCATATCGGCTTCTTATTGATATGAAATAAGGTAGAAATAACCCTATTTATTTATTGTTCTCCTTACTAAATCCTCTTAAAATCCCCTACAGGAAGCTAAAGAACCGCGTGGCCGCCCAGACATCGCGCGACCGCAAGAAGGCGCGCATGGAGGAGATGGACTACGAGATCAAGGAGCTCACAGACAAGACGGAGATACTACAGAACAAGTGCGACAGCCTGCAAGCCATCAACGAGTCGCTGCTGGCCAAGAACCACAAGCTGGACTCGGAGCTGGAGCTGCTGCGCCAGGAACTCGCCGAACTAAAAGAACAGCAGCAGCAAAACACCCGGAATATCAACAGCAGCATCAGCATCAGCCAATCCAACGCCTGCGCAGGCGCTGAGGGCTGTGCGTCCACACACCTTGGATCTGCAGCATCCAAAGCTGACCCTCTGCCGCAGGGTACACAACAGGTGGACACACAGTCGTCAGCGCGTCCGCTGGCGGAGCAGCTGAGGAGCAGCAAGAGCCTGGCCTCTCTCTGGAAGGTTGTGGCCCTCTGCCTACTCTACAAGACCTGCTTGGCGACGTCGACGAGGAGTTCGACGTCCGGCGGCTCGAGGAGCTGGCCGAAAGTCTGCTCGCAGATATCACCACAGACCTGGAGGCAGGCGCTGGAGCGGGCTGCCCAGCTGCTGCCCAAGATGCAGGCGACGCAGAGCGACTGCCTGGACCAGTGGTGGGGTCCGCAGCAGAGTGCCTGGAATCCGACGGGCATAGAAGTGATGGCGTGAAGGAGGAGACGGAACAGGATGAGCACACAATCAGCCTGAATGTGCAGGTGTTGGAGATGAATGGAAACCCACAGACAGCAGCGCCTCCCTCGACGACAGCCACCATCAAGGCGACAGCGGCCGCCTCCCTGCTACAGGCCACCCCCGATACAGTGTATGGCACGTACGATGCCAAGACAAACTCGATCACCATCGTCATGGACGGCGATGCGGTGCCGGTGAACGAGGCCGTGGAGGAGATCTACTGCGACGGCGTTTCCGCTGGCGACGACGCGACGGACGTGATCATGAAGTGTCCGCCGCCAGCGACGTCGCCGTCACAGGTCTACCTCAATGTGGTGAACGCCGGCGACGACTCGGACGACGACGAGAGCAGCAGCTTCGATCCCATCGAGCGCTTCCTGCGTCCGCGCGTCAAGGCGATCTCCCCGCTGGCCAAATCCCCCGCCTTGTCCCTCCACTCGGCCACCTCGGACCACGGATACGAGTCCATCCTGGGCTCGCCCATGTCCACGGCCCTCACTCTGCCCACGGACGAGGAGGACTTCCCGTGGGAGAGCAACTTCGACGAGCTGTTCCCCAGTTTGATCTAAGTTATGTCTCTCTTGTATCGTTAAGTTTGGCTGGCCGCCGCTTTTGCTTAAGTGTCTTAGTTGATAGGCTGTAAATAAGTTCTTAGTCGAAGGCTTTATAAATGATATTGTAGTTCGAGGCGCTAAGCTTAGCTGTAGGTTTCCATTTATGTTTAACAATCTCTAACCACATAGGCTTACGATTACTTGTATTGTGCTCAAAGAATTTGCGAAAACATTCGAGAAAAAAAAAGATAATATATTCAAAATATAAACCAAACCAAACCACAACTACTATTTGTTTTTGTTTACTGAATTTCTTCTAGGTGGAAACTGAACTTTGGACGGTGCGTATGATAAAATTGGTAATCACGCCACTTTCTTCAAATCACGCCATATTTTCTGTCGTCATTGCTGCGTAGATTGTGGGTCTTTAAATGTAATCCCATGAGTCATTTCCCCCTAATTACGTACTATGTGTATTATGAGACTGCGCATCACTGAAGTTGAATGACTACAAGTAATACAGATAGATGAAATTAGAACAGCACTTGTTCTATGAAAAATATTATAATTACGTTCTTTAGAAACTGGGTTCGTTGGAAATATTAGTACCCATTTTAAAAGAAAAAGATTTATTGTGGGGTCTATAGTTTATAATCGATTGGTATTATTCAACAGCTATGTATGTATGACAGACATTCAAATTAAAGCTAAATATAGCATTTAACAATGCTGCTAAATGTTAGATTAAAAAAACATACATACATACTTATATATTAAATATTTTGCTGCATGGCTATAACGTGAAAATATTTAAAAAATGACATAGACAGTAAAATAAAGTAGATCTTTCTATAAGAGTTTTTTAAATATTAATTTTTAGTTTAGGTTTTTGATCCACAATAATCAAGTACAAAAAAATGGCATTTTTTGTCTAAAAAATGTTATAATATTTAAATAACAAAGTTTATTTTTTTTGTAGTAAGTAAATATTGATCCACCCTAGTAGAATACAAAATTCCAATTCCTTAATGAACTAGTTCCGAAAAGGTTGTTTATAAAATTGAACTAGTTTTTGGAACCGTGTGTTCTGTCTACGAAATTTGACCAAAACAAAACAATTTTAAATGCAATAGGCTCCCAATCTATTAAAATATGACGGAGCCAGCCAACGAGACCCCAGATGCGGTGATGGAATCACCCGCATCCCTGCCCATCGCCTCCCAGTCCCTGGACTCGGCGGCCATCGAAGATTTGGAGGAGGACAAACCGGGAGCCAAGGGAAAGAAGAACAAGCCGAAGAACCCAAAGGGTCGCCACTCGGAATCCGATGTGGGATCGGAGCTCAAGAAGCTGGCCCAGCGCAGGATCAACGTGGCCGGAGCACCGAAGATGCCGCTCAATGGCTATGTGAGATTCATGAACGATCGCAGGGAGGAACTGCGTCGGGAGCAGCCAACGCGCACTGCTTTGGAGCACACGAGGATCATCGGCGAGGAGTGGCACCAGCTGCCCGAGGAGCGCAAGGTGCCCTACATGGAGGCAGCCGCCAAGGATAAGGCCATGTAGGATCATAATTATACACACCTTTTACAACCTGGCACTCATTTAACTCACATATTTCCTTAGATACCAAGAGCAACTGCAAATGTTTCTCAAGGAACACCCCGAAATTGTGGCCAGAGAGCTGGCCAAGGCCAAAAAGGCCACCAAACTGGAGAGTTCGCCCAAGGAGAAGACGCAGAAGGGTGAATCCAGCTTGGGCAAGGCGAAAAAAACCAAGGCAAAGGCGGCGGCGGCGGTAAAGCGGCAGAGCGAGGATCCGGATGATGTGCCACTGGCCAAGGTGAAGCGGGCCCAGACTCCGCCGCCTGCTAACCCAACTCCTGCTCCCGTTCATCCCCCTCCGAGCAGCGTGGCTCCACCACCGGCAGCACCCGCACCACGACCCCTGCAGCCCGGCGAGATTCCCATCTACACCAACGAGTTCATCGAGCACAATCGCAGCACGGAGAACGAGCTGCGGACGCTGCGCAAGGCCAAGACCGATCTGGAGCAGCAGAACGCGGTGCTGGAGCAGCATGTGGACAACACCAAGGCCGGCTACGCCAAGGTGATGGGCGAGGTGACCGAGCTGATGGAGGAGAACCGCCGCCTGGAGTCTTATGTGCGCGGTCTGCGCCAGAAACTGGTGGCCGCCCTCGGCGGAATCTTGCTGCCTCCGCTGGAGCCCAGCGGTCCCAGTGTGGGCAACATTGACAAGTACATACGGCACTTGGCGGGACTCGTTAGCCAGCCAAATAATGTCACCCTAATCAAGGCTCGCGAAGCTCTGCGCAAGGTGGACACTAGCAGTCTGCTGAAGCCTTAAAAAGCCCTAGATATTAAAAAACATCGAAATTTCAATATTTAAATACTTCTCCCATTAAAAAAATCGATATTATCGAAACAATATTGTGCAAATATCTAAAATATCGATCAATTTCAAGCTCTAACCCCTTGAAGAATCGACATTCTTAAAAAACATCGACATTTCGATATTTAAATACTTTTCCCATCAAAAGCATCGAATTTATCGAAATAATATTGTGAAAATATCGATCAGTTTCAAGCTCTGACCCCTTGAAGATTCGACAGTATTTATAGAAAGCCTAGTTTTAAGTTCGCTTACATCCGTATTTATATTTTGTTAAATTAATCAACTAAACCCAAGGAAATCTTGTTTTACCAGTTAAGTTCCAATCTTTAGAACCTAAAACCCATTATCCTTACTATAAAATAAACTAAAAACCATAGATTTAAGAGCGCTCATCTGTGTATTTGAATTAACCCAAGGAAATCAAGTGTTGGCCAGTCATCCTATATCCTATATACCCTCGCTTAGTTATCGTTAGGTGCCTCGTTGCTAAGAGTGGAGAGGTTCCCAAAGCTGCGAAAAGCGGGAAGGCGAGGAGTACGGGGGACGTACGGAGTCCCTGGAGTCTTCAAGAGGCCATCGCTATCCACCGAGTTCTCCAACCGCGGGCTCTTTGCGCGACGATACCAGCAGTTGCGCAAAATATAGTAGCCCCCCATCAGCATGGGAATCACCATCAGCGGATGACAGGCTACGCCCAGCACAAACAGAAAGGTGGACATCATCAGGTTGATCACGGCCTCTGTGGAATCAGTTTGTTCACAAAAGGATCCATCAAGGATTCTACCCACTTACGTTCAACACTCCAAATGGTGGCCACTGTTGTGTAGATCGCATTCGATATGGTTTCCAGCACACCATATATCAAGTTTAGCAGCATTTTAATTGATTTATTTTCTGTATTTTCCCCGAGAGTGAAAAGTATAGCTCTGTGAAACCGAACTGAGCTGGGGAAAAGCCGAATCCTACGTCTCAACCTAAGGTTGCTATGAACCAATAAGGGAAATCAAGCAAACACAACCAAAAAGTCAACAAAATCATATGTACTTGCTTCTTGCAGCGAAAGGTTATTTTATTATTAAACAAAATAGTCGACGTTTCACTTCTCGTAAATAAACCAAAGCGTTTCTCTTAGTTGTTTTCGATTTTTTGTTTCTTAGGAACAGCAGAACTAAACAAAAATAAATTAAAACTTAAAAGAAAATCGTTTTCGTTTGATGTTTGTGGGTTTTTCAAAAATGATAAGTTCTAAATAATAGCATACACTTAAGGTTTTATAACAAAAATAATTTAATGAGATAATAAATCAAGGGCGCAGACTTCAAAAATATATATTCCATTGAGTTGGGGGGCCGAGGTCATGCAGGACAGCTGCTGTCCTGGTCGCCCCCCGATCAAGGCCATCACTAAGGTTGGTCCAACTCTCTCACAGCGTTTGGTAAAAGAATGAAAAACATTGTACAAAGGATCGCGATTGCGGGTAGTTCCTTCTTGGCTTGCTTCATCAATTAAAAATACGAATTGCCATTTGCATTTTGTTATTATTTTTAGAAATTTTTGTGTTCTGTTCTTATTGTTTTCAAATGTGTCTCGGGTTTCGAGCTCTCGAATCATCTGGTTAAAGTAATCAATTACTTTTCGTGTTAAGAGGGAGATACTGAATGTGTGTGTGGTGTGTGTTGTGTTGTGGTGGCGGGGCAGCTTCAAGAGAAATTTCAATTGGAATGCCAGATTCAATGAGGAAACTGATTGTGATTTTGGTTGGAGATTTTCAAAAACATTAGCAATTTTGAGCTGCATTCATCAGTGCTGCCGGCGCTTCTGTGGCGGTGTTTAAATTTTAAAGGAAACTGCTTATTCATATTACGGACATTCAGATATTGTAGGCAAACTCTGCTCATCGTTTGCTGTGGCGACGGTTGCTTGCGTTTGTTTTCCCTAATTCATATAAAGTATAATAATCTCAAACTTGTCGTCGCAGATGCAAATGCGAGGACGACGAGGACTGCTGCTGCTGCTGCTGCGGCGGCTGCTGTTGGCGTCAGGCATCCGTCCCGTTGTTGTTCAGGCCCACCGGCGACACGACCATCATGTTGCCCGTCTTGGGCGTGTACACGCTGGCATTGGGATCCAGCGTTGAGCCGTTGTTTCCGTTGGCGGCAGCCGCATTGGCCGCAGCCACCTGCAGGGCAGCGGCCACGCTGACGGGCACCATTTGCTGCTGGGAGCCGGGACCACCGCCTCCCTGCTGCTGATGTTGATGCTGCTGGTGTTGCTGATGTTGTTGATGCTGCTGGTGTTGCTGATGTTGATGCTGTTGGTGTTGCTGCTGCTGCTGTTGGTGATGTTGCTGCTGCTGGTGTTGTTGATGCTGCTGATGCTGTTGATGCTGCTGGTACTCCTGCGCAGCGCTCAGGCTGAGCATGGGCGAGGACGGCCCGGGTCCCGACTGCAGCGGCGGCGTGTCGTTCATGCGCAGCAAGCTGCTCGCCGGTCCATGCGGCCCGGTGTTCATGCACAAGTTGTCTGGCATCACGGCCAAAAGTTGGGCAATCTTTGCCTTGAGATCGATGACCTCATCCTCCTTGGAGCGACGATGGTCTGAAAGAGGGGATAAAATCAAATTAGCTACAGTATCGCCCGATTTTAGATCGCTACTCACTGTCAGATATTTCAATCTGGCGCTTGGCAGCGCCCAGAGCCGAGAACAAGTCCAGCTTGACTCTCGTCTCCGCGGAGAGATTCTTCTCCAGCGTTGCGTTCTTGTCCTGCATGGCAGCCAGGGCGTTCAAAAGCATCTCGGGGTCGGGCTGCGACGATTCGCGATTCCTTAGTTTCGCCTCCAGCATGCGGTACTACAGATATACAAGTAAATACATTTAATAAGGTAAGAATAATTTCAATTAGTTAAATTTTCTGCCCACCTCTTGCTCCACTTTGCGTCCGTGCTCGACGGCCAGTTGCTTGGCCTCCTCCGTCTGCTTGAGGTCGCCCCGCAGTCGCTTCTGCTCCTCATCCATCTGCTGGCGCCGCTGCTTGCACTGGGAGCTGCACTCCGGCCGAGCGGCCTTCTCCTCGGCCGCCTTGCGAGCCTTTTTCTCGTTGGCCAGCTGCGAGTCCAGGGATTGCTTCTGGCGACGCTCCTCGTTGAGCCGCCGCTCCACCGTCTGCAGATTGAGCATGTCGGCGTGCCGAGCGTTGTTCAGCTCCTGGATGCGCTTCTCCAGGTCGTCGCACTCCTTCTGCTTGGCCTGCAGCGTTGACTTGCTGGTGAGATTGGCGTCTAGTTTCTGGCGCAGTTCGTTTTCGATTTGCTTCATGTGGCTGATTTCAGTGCGATACTTCTTCACATCGGCCTCTAGTTTAAGACAGGTCTCACAGATCTTGGAGACCACCTTGCTGGCCAGGTTGGCGATGGCATTGCTCGAGGTGGAGCTGGCCGAGGATGAGACTGAGCTTGCGTCGTTATTGTTGTTGTTGGCCGTGTTCTCCTTGTCCTTTTCCTTCTGCTGCTGAGCCAGCTGCTGCTGATGGCTGTGATTGTCCTTTGCTGCATTATCCTTCTTGCCGCGATTGCGTCGACCTGGAAAGTGAGTTTCGGATTAGTTGTATATAACGCTTTATGATTTCCTTTTTGAGTTTACCCTTGGGTGCCTTTTCAGCAGGTGGTGCTGGCTCCACACTGGCCGTTTCCTCGACCTCAAGGTGATTGGCATTTCCGTTGGGAACAGCGTTAGCCGCCTTTTTGTCTGTGAAATGTGAAATGGAAAAATTAATAACCACATGTCATCTAAATAGTACATTAAATATATATCATATTAAATAGATAATCTCTCAAAGAAGCATAATATTAATTATTTGAAAATATTTATATCTATGTCTAAAATATTACATACAATATTTGTCATATTTACTTTAAATATTTAACGTCATTAAAATCAAAGTTTAACATTTTTAAATCCACTATTTTTACATTAAATTTAATATTTTTATATTTATTTTTCTTTTTCATATCAATTGTATCTGTGTAAATTAATTTTAATTAATTTTTATACCCTTGTAGAGGGTATTATAATTTCAGTCAGATGTTTGCAACGCAGTGAAGGAGACGTTTCTGACCACATAAAGTATATATATTCTTGATCAGCACCAATAGCCGAGTCTATCTAGCCATGTCCGTCTGTCCGTCTGTCCGTTTCTATGCGAACTAGTCTCTCAGTTTTAAAGCTATCGCGATGAAACTTTCCCGAAAGTCTTCTTTCTATTGCAGGTAGTACATATGTCGGAGCGAGCCGGATGGGACCACTATATCTTAAGGCTCCCATAGGAATATTCAAACATATATAAGAAAATTCATTGTTACTTTGTAGGAAGTAGGCGTTTTAATTCTTGACTACTTAAAAACAAAATTCAAAAATAGAAACGCTGAATCTGGAATCCCTGGAACTGCACCGAGTGAGTATTATTTTATCTGCAAGAGTATATAAGCTTCGGCTGGCCGAAGGTAGCTTCCTTTCTCTCGAGCGAAATAGATTATTATTAAACACTTAATTACGCTGATTACCAAACGAAATCGATAAGATTAATAGCTATCTGGTTGCGCTTTTAAAAGCACTCAAATCTTAGGTGGGAACACCACTCACCGTGCTTTTCCTTGCCCCCCTGCTGCTGCTGTTGTTGTGGATAGTTGGTGCTACTATCCCAGTCTGACTTCTCCTTATCCTTATCCTTACTATTACTTGATGTAGCTGTTACTGTTGTGGTTGCTGTGGCAGCGCCGCTATCGACTTGGTGATAGTTGTTGTTGCTGCTGCCGCTGCTGCTGCTATTTTTACCCCCGTGTCGCGCTCCATTGTTGTGCTCATTATCGGCGGCGTCACCCTTGTTGCGATGCTTATCCTTGTCCATGCTGCGTCGATGGTTCCTTGAACCACCAGCGTGACCATTGGAGGTTGCTGAAAGGATATATTAATAGATCATTAAGTGCATGTTTATTTATACGCGTCGACGGTGGAACATAATTGTGTTTTATTGATTCGTGACAGAGGGAAGAGGGGACGTTATTAGTTGTTCGGGCGACCTCCTGCTGGCAATCGAAATTAGATTTGCATTGCAGAAGGAAGCATAATGATATGAAGGGGCTGACAACTGCCGACTGTGGTTGCTGTGGGTTAGATAGCCTCGCTGGAGGTCACAATAGATAGATATTGATGGGTTCATGGGTTACATGCGCATACAGAAACATACAAATGTCTGTCTGGTAGAAATTAGTAGTGGGTTCGTTCAGCAGAAAGCAGCAGAATGCATTATTACCACCACAACAACCGTCAGCACCGTCGGCACCGTCGGAAGTGCAGGAGGAGGAAGAACGGGCGGAAGAAGCCCCCGACGGATGTTGCTGCTGCTGCTGCTCAGCAGAGAGAGCTGAGACGGGAGTAGTAGAAGAAGAAGAAGTGGTTGAGGCTGCACCTGTTGTGGCCGCGGATGCAGCAGACGCCGCCGACTGCTTGCCCGCCGTCGCCGACGATGATGATGATGAGCCGGTGGACGCTGAACCTGCAGATGCTGCCGTTCCCGCTCCCGAGGAAGCCGCTGCAGAGTACGAGGAAGCAGCCGCCGCTGTACTGTCGCTCGTACTGTTGTCCTTGCCGCCTCCGTTGTGGTTGCTGCTTCCACTGCCACTGTTGTTGTTATGATGGTGGTGATGGTGATGATTGCTATTGCTCGAGCTGCTGCTGCTGGCGCCGGCGCCGCCGCTGTGATGATGCTCATGATGGTTTTGTGCTTGCGTGGCAGTGGCCAAAATTCCATTCGCCGACGAAGATGATGATGATGATGCGACCAGGGCCGCCGGCGTGTTGGCTGATCCATTGGCCACCACGACGGTGCTGCTGGATGCGGCTGTCGCCCCCGCAGCCGCCGCCTCCTCGGCCGTCGCCTCCTCAGCGGGCAACGCCTGCTGCAGGAGCTGCATGTAGAACTCGTTGTCCTTGGCCACCTCGCGCTGCTTGCGCTGGCGCATGCGGTAGCCCACGTAGCTTTTGAAGCCGAATCCGAGCGTGACAACCGGATAGCCAATGCTAAAGGGAAGAGTATTTAGTAATAAGTTTAGTTAAGTTTGCTTTCATCTCACCAATGCGCTGCGAACGGCCGGCAGAGATCCAGGTGCGGCATGTGGCGACTGTCCTTCCATCGGATGCCCACCTCCAGGTAGACAAATAACATCCAGAGTATTATGGTCGGCAAACAGATCCCCTTATCTGCAAAGAAATGGGTAAATGGTTAGGCCAGAAAGCAAGAGAGGTCCCGAGAATGACGCACCTGTATGCCAGACGTACTGCACCCAAACATATGTGCTGGCCGCGAAGAGCAGCCAGTGAACGGGGATGAAGAACAAACAGACCAGATCCGACGTTATCGCTATGCACACGAACAGTACGGAGAATGCCTGCAAATGAAGTTGGCCCGTATAGATTCGTGGGTAACTCAATGACCCCATCTCCATCTCCATTCACTTACCAGTCCCTTGTACTTGAAGGAATCGTGCACGGAGCGAAGGAGCAGCCAGAATGGCCACAAGAACTCAAAGCGGAACATGAACATGAAGTCGGCAACCATCACGATGGCCCAAAGGATCAGAAACTTCATGTACAGAACTGTTGTGCTGCAATGATAAGGGGAAATGTTTTAGAAATTGATCTAGTAATAATAATAAATAAATATTATAATATATTAATAAATATTATTATGCTAAAAAGGTGTAATACTTGTACCCTTTCCTTAAAGATACACAGAAAAAAATATGGTAATGGTCAATTTGATATTTTTGTAAGATCAAGTTATTCATATCATTTTGATATGAATGAAGATTATGTTAATCTTTTTTATATTATTTGCTCAAAAAATACTACATTTGGTATATTTTATGAAATGACGAAATATTATGTTGATATGTTAGAATCAGGGACCGTAAATAACAGTTATTTGTGATTTTTATTTTAAAAAGACTACTGTGATATTTGGTTTTAAACGTCAAATATAAAGTTCTTTTTACTTTTGTCCACAAAGTATATGCATTTCAACAAATCTGGAAAGCAAATTAACTGTTATTTGTTCATGTCTATAAAGTGCATAAAAACCAGTTAAATTGTTGATTAAATCTTGTACAAATCTCAGTAGGTCTTTTAAAATAAAAATCACAAATAACTGTTATTTACGGTCCCTGGTTAGAATCTTAAATTTGACATAAATCAGATCGGCTTTTTATTGATATGAAATAAGGTAGAAATAACCCTATTTCTTATAGGTTTTTTTAATAAGTATGATGTACATTTCACAAATTAAATTTCCCTACCTCCATAAAGTCGAAAACCACTTTATTTAGTAATTGACAACAGATTGACAGTATCTAAGCGTTATAAATTAGACTATTCTTCAAGATAACTTCATCTAACAGGAAATACGTGGAACAGTTCCCATTGTAAATTTGTTAATTTGATTAATTGTGTACGACAACACCAATCATTTCGAATAAACAATATTAACCAAGTCAAATTGTTATGCGTATGCTTTTTCATCAAAATGAGAACGATTAAGGGTCACAACTTAAATAACATGTTTCTGAGACCCCAGATAGAAATCAGCATCCATCAATCAGGCAGTAAAAAAAGGTTTAATGAGATGAGCACAGCCAGAGATTTAGAAATGTGACGAAACAGAAGTGCGAAGAGGCGGGTAAAATGCCAAAAACGAGTAGCGTCCAAATAAATACAGGCATAACATCATAAAACAACAGCACTAAGGCGCAATCAAAAAGTAAACAAACGTATAAATAATAAAAAGCGAGAGGAGCGGAGCACACAAGTTCCTCCACACGAGCAGCACACTCTCGGAATTTCGGTGGTCGTTCTCTTGCGACTCAAGAAATCTGATAATCATCAAGTTGACTTGGGGGGCAGCAGTTCGCATGCCAAATAAATCGAAAAGTATCTTTATTACCTCAATTAAGAAACAGCTTGATTGTAAGAAAAATCATAATTTAATTAATGGGCTGTCACAAAATTCTATTGGTTTTCAAATCTCCAACATTTTTCAAGTGATTCTGAAGAGTACAAAAAATATTAACAGATTTATTTCCACTATAATTATAGTTAAAATTGAAAATAATATTTTGGACATTTTTGTTACCTTAGAAATAGTTATAGCCTGATCATTATTTATAATAAAAACCAAATTTTATTATTTAGGTTCTCATTTAATATTATTTTTATAAAATTCTTCTTTATCTTTACGACCTAAATTATTTTCAACAACGATTTTGCTTTAATAATAATCATTTAAGTATTTTGTAATTCATTAAACTCAAAGTTACCCTCCTAAGAATTAAAATACCTTCTTCAGTCAAGTTTTTTAAGACTTAGTTTGATTATATAGTCAATGATTAGCTCACCTGCCGTACATTCCCTCTGTGATTTTGTTGCGCTTGATGGGCCGCCGCAGCTTGCCACAATCGGCGTTGCGTCGCTTCATCTTGGATGCGCGGCGTGTGTCGTCCTCCTCCCGAAATGCTCGATGATATCCCTGCTTCCCCTGGATAGTTTGCTCTGATCTCCTGCTCCCTGGCTATATATCCTATATCCTAAACTATGTCGACTTATTCAACTGCTTCGAACTTCGATTGGGTGCTGACTCCACTCCACTCTTCACTTGATAATCAGATGCTGCTGGGGCTCCTGGTATTTCCGGAGGCGATGTCGGCGTGGTTTTGCTTGCTGGTGCCTCTGCTGCCGGCGCGACGGCATCTCATTTACATCTGATGCGTTTGGAAAATGTTTTTCGCCTCCTGCTGAGCCGGCTTTTCTTCACTTTTCACACTGCGAACAGATGACACAAGAAAAAAACGAAATAAGAAAGGGGTTGAGAATGAGAGATGCGAAACAACCGAGAGAAAACGTGAGAAAATGCCACCAATCCAATCCCATCCCATACGATCCTCTTGGCATTGAATTCTCAGCCGAAATTGAACAAATGTCACTACTCCTATTTAAAATCATCAAGCATCTTATAATAAGTAAAAGCAAAAATGTTATTTTTAGGCCTGCCATTCTGTTAAATGCACTTTCGCTTTGTTACAAGTGCGGGCGTTTGAAATTTAGAGAGATATCCAAATTTCAACGCCCCAACTATTGCCAAAGAAAATTTAAGATAATGCCTAAGAAGCTGAGGAAATGAGCAAATTGACTCATCGGGATGTTAAGTAATCAATTTGCAATTTATCAAATGTCAGTCATTGCAAGAGCAGAGAATTTTAAATATTGTGAAATTATTTTGAAGTTCGCAATCTTCCAATTTGGCAATTATGAGTCATTTCGCAGGTCTGATTTTTAAACACATGGAGTGACTATTAAATGTAATAACAATACAATTATACTATAATCTACAATAGTATTTTAATTAAAATATGATTTTTGTTTCTGATGAAATTCCATAGCTATTCAAAACGACACCCAACTATGCAATGAAAATCGCATATCTCTGTAACTATTCTTGTACTTCGACGAGTAGCCTCTCAATAATAAATCGCTTATACATGGAGATATGCATGAGCTTCTGAGAGATTCGAAAAGCGTTAAAAGCACACCTGTGGGCCAGAGAAAATAAGATTATACTGGCGGTGTGTGTACTCAGATACGTGCCAATAAGGCGTTCTGCGAGTTGCTGGAGATTGGTGGAATTCGAGTATTTTTAATGACACTTAATGCACAGACAGTACTTAAATATATTAAATTAGCCATGGAATGAAATATAATCTCAAGAACATTTTTATACATTTTCCCAACGTGGTTCTTATTTTTCACACTAGCAAGTTATTATAAAGGACATCTTTTCATATTTTTCTTTTTGGTCAATCAGAAAGACGATTAAACTTAGTCTACAGATCCCATTAGTCTTACTGATTTTTACCAGCTTTTATATAACTTTCTAATAGCACTATTTTAAAAGAAATAACTTTTTCAATGGTAAAACCATTAAACAGGCCTAGCCGATTGAAAAACACTAAAATAAACTCTGGAAAAGGACTTGAAAAATACAAGTGCAGACGGAAGAGACGCACACTCACTCGCGAACACAAACAAATCAATGCAACGACGGGTAATTCGAGAGTGTGAGAGTTGAGTTGAGTTTCGGGACCTGGAAAGGGAACCCGGGAAGGGAAATGCGCTGTGCCCACTGCCTTTCAACATGTGGATGTGGATGCTGCCCGGTAAATTCGGTGGAACGTGAAACACAACACACACTCGCTGTTGCGCCAATACAAGATTTAATGGATATGATGAATGTGGGGATGTGGGGGTATGGCTAGAAAGCTACATGACGATATGGATATGGAACGGACGTGGCAATGCGGCTGCGCCAACTCAATCGGAAGCGGAACTATGCAGATTTCAAGGAAGCAGAGCAGAATCAGAAACAGATTCACTCGCCTGGCATCCTTGTGTGTATGTATACGGGTGAAAAGGTTTATAAATAGCATCCAAAAGTGGAGCGCATCCATCGCATGGCCACATGGCAGCAAAAGCAACAGAAGCTGAAGCAGAAACGGAGCAAGAGGAAGAGGAAGCTCCCTTAACCACCGATGACGTCTGGTGCTGTTGCTCGATTGTCCTGTTCCTGTTTCTGTTTCGGTTTCGGTATCTCGTCCTGTGATGGACCACAAATGGACACCTGAATGCTCAATGGGCTTCCTGCTCGCACCACTGTTCGGCTGGCTGAGTTCGTATCCGCCATTTTGTTATCCCCCCAGTCTGCATCGGCAATCAAATATACATAATTGCCAAAAGGGCTGTCTCAGATAAGGCCTAATGCTATCGAGTTTTACTTACTACTAGCTATATTTCGTTTCTAGCTACTGGAATATAAGTAAATCCTCGATACTTCTGTTAACGTCAACATCTGGTTTTTAATAGGTAAAAGCTTCTGTGACTAACCTATTTAAAAATAGGAAAGTAACTGTGTTTATTAAGCAACATTTAACCGTCGATAAATGTTTATTTCGAATTGTGGCCTGAGGCCCCGTTCACAAAAGAACTGGCGTCTTTATTGCCGCTTAAGCGAAACTAATTTTTTAACCCATTCATAAATCGGTAAGGTCTATTGACTAGTGAGTTGGCTTTTTTTAGGTATCACACATCATACTATTTATGAATCTGCCGTCCAAAATCCTTAATCTAGTCTTTTGAATTATGTTTTCTTCTTAAATAAAGCTGATTAACAGAATAACAATATTTTACTAAAACAACATATTTTTGCTTTACAATGATGAATCAACTGTAAACAATCTTTGTGAATGTAGTTTATCGCTTGGAATATGAAGCAATCTGTATAGTTCCTGAGATCTTGGTACTAAGAGGTCCTAAGAAGTCCTTAGTCCTCATTCACTGAGTAAACAGAGATTCCACGGCTACCAGATGATTAGGATCGTTTCTTGAGATGATATTTCTGTGGGCCGATATGATCGAGTATGTAACATTAAAATGACCCACAGTTTTCAACGGCTCATAAAGTGCACTGATTCTCTCTCGCCTGCTTTGTTTCGTTCGCTCTCCCTCTCTCTTTTGTTTCACACTTTCCCAATTGCATTTCGTTGGCCAAAAAGAGATCGCACTGACACACTCCCACGCACAGTGCACACACACACGTAAGCGCTCGTCGCATTTAGAAAAGCCACAAAAACAAAAACGAAAAACCAAAAGCGAATGGAAGAAAAACAACAACGTCAGGGCGACAAGATTCGACGCGCAACAAAAGGCTAAAGAACTTTGATAAAATGCGGTAATTTGGTTTCAGCTTTTGCATAACTTGAGCGAGTTTGGCGATAACAGCGCTCCAATAATGTTGTGGTTTGGCCTTTATCGGTAGGGTAGGGTGCTTATCAGATGGAAGTAGCAGCTTGGTAATAAATTAGACAAATAAATAACGGTGCCGGTTGTCTTGATCACCTTCGTTTTTTTCCGAAAATAGCTAGAATAAAACAAAACATCTGTGTGTGTGTGGGGGTATGCATGTTTGTGCAGGCAGAGGGCAGCAAAAACAAAAACAACAAAAGCGGCGGAAGGGACCAAGTGAAAAGTTGTTTTTCGCCGAGCTTTCGAACAGCATCCACATTTCTGGCCCAGGAAGCATCCTTTCGGCTCTCTCCTCTCATTTTCTCAGCCAGGAAGCATCCTTTTTGCACTCTCTCTGGCTGCTCTGCCAGCGTCGACTGCGGTTACGTATGCACGAGTGTGTGTGTGGTTTGTTGGCGGCTGGGCACACGGACAGGGACACCTATGTGTTTCTTTTTTCACACTCCTCACCTACACGAACACTACGATGTACACAGCCAAAAAGCACTGCAAAATTGCACACGTTTTTTCAGTATTTGGGGCCTGCCTTAGGCATTTTCATTCGCACTCAATGCCCCTTGGATTATTTCACTGCGTTTTTCACTGGCTTTGCTGCTGAATTTATTTACTTTCGAGCGGATTTCTAATACAATTTGCACATTTCCACCAAATGCGCTGTGTCTCTGAGCATGTGTATGTGCCTCGGCCTGCGTGCTGTGTGCGTGTGTGTACGGATGGATTCTTTGGCACCCGAAATTCGCTCCTCCTTTCTGTTCACTTTGACAACTCCTCCGATGCTTACACTCAATTAGCACTGCATTTTCTGTCCCCGTAACCGTTACCGTTGTGCACAAATATTCCGGTGATCGTATCGATTGACTTGCGTTTTGTATATTTTAACACGAAATCGAAAACTCGAACGCTTCGAAATTAGAGATGGAACTCAGCCGATGGTCATTGGGCCCCATCGATGTTTAGAGTATTTGCGATAAATCGATATTTTCTCTGCATCTATCGAATAGCGGACTGTTATTTTAATCGACTATTTACCAATTTAAAAAAACGTGTAAAAAAATAAAAAAGACGTAATAGTTGAAATTGCGACATTTACTAGGGGTAGCGATTTGGAAGTTTAAAAGTAATCTTTTAAACGGATTACTTTAGTATAAACTAACAAAAATGGTTAGTATAAGCTTTAAAATATTTAATTTACCTTATTTTTGATTTTTGATTTAGAGACCGCGATAAATAATAGACTGTTGAAAAATTGCCAAAAATAAACCAGGCGATAAATCGTCGTGTGGTGTAGAAATACGGTGGACACTAGCCGGTTCCCAAACCGATCTATGCATCCTAAACATTGGTTATTTTAAATGTTTTTTTTATATTAATTACTTAATAAAACAATAAAAAAAAGAAGATTCTACTAGTAAAACAAATTAAAAAAGAGTAAAAAAAATAAAAATAAACCTATTGACCCCGACGTGATTTGAACACGCAACCTTCCGATCTGGAGTCGGACGCGCTACCGTTGCGCCACGGAGTCAGATGCGGGGAGGGGTGTGAAATACCCAGAATGAGCAAAAGATCAGCAGAACCAGACTGTAAAATATCAAATCAGAATGGTTCTCCGCCTATTCAACAGCATCGGTGGTTCAGTGGAAGCAAGAATGTTTGTATTTAATGCAGAAGAGGAACCTAAAGAACCTGCCACCTGCGTGGCCATTTTAAAGTTACGTCGTGTACCATAATAAAGATACAGTCCAAACAAGCTAAGTTTGGAAAAAAAAATCCATGGTAAAAAGATTTTAGACTAATTTTTTTAATTTCCAAGGTTCTGGCCTTCCGCCAAACTTTTGAATTTCAGTATTGATCAACGATGTAATCAGTATTGTGCAACTGTTTTTTAACGTTGTTAGGGATATCGATAAAATACCAGATTAAAAAACATACAATATACCACCAACTGAAATTATTATCAGCTGGTTCTTAGTTTAATTATAAGGGGTCGTAAGAAAGTAAATATAATGTAAAGACGATTTCTAAGTCATAATTCAATTTCAGAACAATGGAGTCGCTAAAGTGCCGGGATCCACTGGAGGGATCTGATGCGAAATGTGATAGTCAGCACGTGGTTCGAGTTAAGGAAGAAGATCCCGATGATTTGGGAGACCAGGAGGAACCTCATGAGGACCTGTTGCTGGTGAAGAACGAGCCCCTGGAGAGGACGAGTTCGATGAAGAAAGCTGCCTGACATCAGACTGCGATATTGATCCGTCGCTGGACGAAGTAAAAATCGAGGTGGTCGAAAACGGTTTGCCAGAAGATGGAAATGATATTCCCAGTGAGCCCAGTGTGGATGATAGTAACTTGCATAAATGCTATGCCTGCCTAGAGATTTTCGAATGGAAGTTTCAACTAAAAGAGCACCTGCAAACCCACACAGAAGAGTCGCCCTTCCGTTGCGCACACTGCTCAAGGGTTTTCAAATACAATGTAGGGCTTAAGAAGCATTTGAAAAATCACAATTCCGAAGGACAGCACAAGTGTTTGTTCTGCGACGTTACTTTTCTTAGTAAAGGGCAACGTGCAACACACATGTATACACACACCTTGGGAAAAAAGTGTCCCTACTGCCCAAAAATTTTTCATAAAAATCAGGGAGTTATGAAACATATTAAATTTCATTTGGCCGGTAGGTCTACCGAGTGTTCGTATTGTGGCAAGACTTTTAAACAAGTCGCACAATTAAATCTTCACTTGCGAAAACACACAGGATATCGGCCGTCCAAATGCCCAAATTGCCCAGCTAGTTTTACGGATACTTCAGCTCTTAATAGACATCTAATTAGCCACCAGGTTTTACGTCCGTTCAAGTGTTCTCATACAGACTGCTCCGCGGCTTTCAAATCGAACCGAAATCTTCAGGACCACCTGCAGACGCACTCAGGAGAACGAGCAGCCAAGTGTCCCCAATGCCCAAAGACGTTCATCCAACACAAAAATCTTCAGAGACACCTAAAAACCCACTTTGAAGATCGGCCCTATAAGTGCTCCCACTGCCCAAAGGCCTACACCCAGAATACAAATCTTCAGATTCACCTGCGAAAGCATACAGGTGAACGACCGTTCAAGTGTTCCCACTGCTCAGAATGCTTTATGAGTAGACAAGAGCTAAGGATACATTTGAAGAAGCACGTATCAGAAAGCTGACCTTAATTTAGACGTAAGCCGATGTAATAAGAATATTGTGTGCATTTTTCAGTCAATGTATATGTTTATTTGTAAATATGAAAATATAGTCCTTAGGGAAATCATAAAACTAAAGAATTTATTTATAGAAAAACCAATCATTACTAATATTAGATTGAAAGCCCCGTATTGATGATATTGAAAATAAATGTCCCTAATTCAGTTTGCAGAAAAAACTGTATTATTCTATGAATCAATTAATCTCAAATATTTATTTAAATTTGCATAAAAAAATACAAATAAATATTATTATAAAATGTGTGGTTGGTCAATAGATTTTCGATCTAACGGAATTTGTTTTTTAAAGCCAGTCAGATTAAGCGGTTTTAGAGCTAGAATGGCATCACTGCCGCCGCTGTTATCGATAGACCGCCTGTCCAACGCACTTTCTGGCATTTCCAGAACTCACTGCGCGGTATTACTGCCTAAGATTTCTTTCGAACAACAATTCCTGCTGATTTTTATTGAACAGCGAAAAGTCTTCGGGAGCAGAGCTTCAATTGCGACGTGACAAATACAATCGGTTGACTTGCACTTTCGTGTACTTCAGGCCATTAAAAAAAGCGCAACAACAGTGGTAAAAACAGTTAATCTGCTACATTTCCTGCGACGCAGTTCCGAGTGGTAAGTTGAAAATATTATTCCCTGCAGTTCATTTTGCAAATAAACCTGCCCTGCATTAATGTCGGCTAAATATTTATATTGAAAGTAGCCGTTAGACTTGTTGAATTCAATTGCGTCATGCCTTTGTCTCGACTTATTTACACTTTAATTACACTTCAAGTCGGCATCTTCCTCTATTCCCATATTCTGTATTTCCCCATTCCCCTTTTTATCTCCTATTCTGTTGCGCTTCTTTGTTTAGATTTTACTGCTCTCCGCTTTGTGCTGACCCATTTTCTAGTCTTTGTTGGCTTTATCGCACCTGATACCAATATTCCCCTCGTAGATGAATCACCTTGAATTTCAAAACCCGTTTTCGCCCTCGAACTTGGCACAAATTGCAGGCCCATTTGCACAATAAATAAATAACAATTTTTATCAAATGCCTCTTACGTTTTCTCAAAATGGGCGCAAAAACAGTACAGTAAATAAAAAAAAACGCAAAAAATGGCAGACTTTTTGAAAAGCAATACGAAGCTATATAGCAAAGTGGAATGGCCGATAAGATAACGTACCTTTCGACTTCGAAAACAACAAACTAAACAATATCACAAAGCAAACGCCGATTTATACACATATAAACGCCCCGCAAATCGGTGGTCTTTATAAAACATCATAAAACGAAGCCATATGGCCCAGTTTTTTATTAAAGTTTAGAAAAATAGAAATTAGAAAATATATAATTTTAAAGTTTTTAGGAACGAACCCTAAAAGCTGAGAAATTTTTATATTTTTTTATTATAATACAATTTTTTTTTTAAATAAAATTAATTAACAAAATAATAATACCAATTATTTACCAATTTTATGGGTGTAAAATAAACCAGTTTTTACCGTAAACTACTTCTATATATTTTAAAAGATTATTTTTTAAAAATGCTTAAAAAGTTTAGAGCAAAGAACCAATAATTTTGTGACATATACTTTCTAATTACCATTAATAATGTTAATAAATTATAATTCCAGCTACTGAGTCATAGTTGAGATCAAAGAACCCAGTTTAAATAGGTTAGATTAAAAATGGCGAATGATTTCGAATTTTATACTAACTTTTTTATAAGCTTTGTCTACCTTTTATTACCCAAATCATTATATTATAGTTATAATTATCGGAAATCTGGTTTGTGGCTGGTCAAGCTTCACGTGACTGGGATTTTTGTACTAACTAACTTACTAATTGTGTGATTTTTTTTTACAGATTCTCCGACTCTTCAAAATGCGCACAGCTGTGTTGCTGCCTCTTTTGGCCCTGCTGGCGGTGGCCCAGGCCGTTTCCTTCGCCGACGTTATCAAGGAGGAATGGCATGCGTTCAAGGTGAGCTTCAACCGGGATGATCAATGGATAAACTTTCGATTTGTCACCCCAGGAAATCGGAGCACAACAAGTGTTCTCGGGTAACAAGGGCGATGATTAATGCCTGAATTGATTGTATTTTTGGGCCTTTGTCTTGCGCAGACTTTGTTTGCATAGTTGGACTGGCATTCTTCCGTTTGTGACGACGATTCTGATTCTTCTCGATTGAGTCATAATGTGAATGCACTGCATTGCAGCGGCTGCTTCAAAAAGAAGAAAGTCCAGATAAGTCCACAGTCTAGGCTGAGCAGTCACATGCCGGCTCACATGACCATTGTCCGGGCTTAGCCCATCCGTAAACATCGCTTGGATGGACGGGGACAATCGTGGGTCAGTCAGTCGGCCAGCTGATAAGCCGTGCAAGACTCGAACTGGTCCACTGATAAGCAAGTCACATTTTTCGCAAGCAATTGTTTCCTAATTCAGTCTTTGATTCTTGCCCCCTTCTGCAGATTGCACATTTTATTGCCTGTAGCCGTAGTTTCATTGATTAATCGCCCATTGTCTCGCAACTCTGTGTGCCCATTTGATGGATTCTCTATTAACTAGTTGAATGTACCCATAGTGCCGTCCATTTCTTATCGGGGCGAGTGAAAGGTCGGGATTTATTCCATTATTTTGCTGAATAGTTGTTTTCCAAAGTGCCGTGCCAAGCGGCACTAATCACAAATGGGGGCGTACAAACAACAATTAGCTGTGCAGATCCCGTGTGATAAAAAATATTCATATATTTATTTGAATTGCTTTGGATTTCCCCTTTAATGGTGTATCTTTCATTTGGAAATGTAATTCCAAATGCCACCCGCATTCTTTTTTGATAAGTTCTTGAATGTGGGGATTTTTCATTTAACTTCCTTTCATTTTTTAAGGAACATTAAATTTTATGACACATCATTTTTTTATTTAAATTCTTTTTTTTGCCAAATCAACATAACAAATGAATAAAAGTACTTATAAAAACAAAATTTATTGGCAAATTTTGCAAATCGAGACTGGAATATTTCCTAGGAAATTGCTATTAAAGCGTTGTGTTTTATGATTTTTAGGACTATCTTTTAAATCGTGTTTAGCCTGCAAATAAACTTTGATTTTTAAAGCCATAAAAAAAAACAATTTAGCAACTACATTGATAGAAATTCTATGATAGAATAACATCTACATTATATTAATTAGCTTAAGTATTAAATTTACACAAAATAAAATCGAAATCAAAGTAAAGGTATTAAAATCTTAATTTATATGTTCCGCCAAATAACTAGGTTCCTTAATTTTACAGAAACCAGCTATTCACTTTGCAATCAAAAGAAATGCGAGCTTAACTGACGAAAAAATCTCACCAATATTTTATTTAAAATCACTGATTAAAATCACTAATTTTATTTAATGTTGTAATTACTTTGCTTACTTTACTTTTTCAAATTAAGCGTCCGTTAAGTATTGTGTAAAATATCAAAAACAGTCAGCATGGTCACACTGCCAAAACAATGCTGCCCATGCCTGCTCTCAAAAGAATAGGCGCGCAATTCAAATTTGATTTCCAGCCGACTTATCTGCTAGTCTCACTCAAGCGAGCGAAAAGCCATCTTCTGTAATCTGTGTGCAGTCCAAAGTGCCAGAGTTGCGCTTGCAAATGCACAGCTGCAAAAGTCACCAGCGCACAATGGCGTACACTACTGATAAGCACTAAAATTTCACATAAATGCGTTTCAGTTTCCGATAATGGGCAAATATTTTGAAAAACATTATCGGGCGACGGGGGGTCGCGAGCGTTTTGGAAATGACGCGTGACGAAAGATCGCGAGGGGCTTATCAGAATTGGCATTTTGTTGGTATTTCCGAGAGCCGCGAAAGCTCCCTAGCGCGAAATCCGAACGGCAAGTGCACAAACAAATAGGCAGCCGTAAATAAATAAATAATGGGGAAAAATTTGGCTGACTTGCAAAAGTCTCTTTCTTTCTTTATTATTATGGATTTTTTTCTTATTTTTTTTCGACACAACCGAACCGGTTGGCGCAAACATATTTGAATATACCCACCTCTCTCGCCTGAAATCCTTATAAATCATGCGATTCGAAAACCGGTTCGTTTTGAAAAACTGCCCACAATGCGCGCGCGTTGCAAAAAAAGAAACCAAACGAAAAAAAAATAAGAAGAAATCAAGAAATATATAGAGTACGCCGCTTCCTCCTCGCAATCCCAAATAGTTTGCCTACGTAGGTTGGCCTCTCATTTCGGCGATACGAAGTGCAGAGTGTTCGAACTCGGCTCTTTTTTTCCCACCCGAACGAGAGCCACCACCAAAGCAGAAGTAGTATTTTTGTTATTTCCCTGCCGACGCTCCAAGCAAACGGAACGCTGCGGAGAGCCAGCGAGCCAGTAAAGAATATATATAGAAATTTGAGAGAAAAGAAATAAAAGGAGCCAGCTAGAAGCAGCCCCCCAAGAAAAGCACGCGCGTCATCGTAAAAACGTGCTGCGAGAAATCCAAGAAAAACCAAAGTAATAGCGGGGTAATTACATAAAACCCAGAACGATGACCGATGCCAGTGCAAATAGTCTGGATGTCTCCGTGGACGTCGTGTGGCCCACCATCATCGTCCTGGCCATGCTGGTGATAAACGGCTTCGTCTTCGCCTACATCATGCGAAAGCGGCGGGAGTACAAGAGCCAGGAGGAGCAACAACCTGTTCCACAGGCCACCTACTCGGCCACCAGCGAAGTGGCCACCGCACCCACGGATCAGGAGGAGGATGATAGCTGTGCCATCGAGATGGAGCGCCTGTAGGATCTAAAATCGTATTAGCTATCAGCCTGTATAGCTCGCAGATACTCACTGTACCCCCTATAACGTCCAAGCTCTCAACTGCAACGAAGTTTCCTAAGCTAAAAGATATATCTAGAGGTCTAGAAATAGAACCTAGAGATATTCCAAGATATACAGTACGTATACGTCGAGTGCCTGGATCGCACGTGCATTTAATTACGGTTTTTAAGTTGTTAAAAAAGTATACAAATAAAAGATGTGTGAATATTTTATCATGCCATATCGAGGAGAACCCAAGGAAAATCAATAGGTCAGTGTGCTTTTCTCACCCAAGTGGAAACGGGGCGGTGTTTTTCTGTTCTTTTTGGATGCATGTCTCCATAAATTCGAATCAATTATGTCAATTATACGAGTCTGCCGTGGACCGGGCACCCCATCCGGTCCATTTGGGGCGACAATTGCTGATCTGCTGCTCCGCTTTGATGTCCAAAATAATTACATATGCATGTTTCTCACATGACAGCGCCACTCGGTTATTCAGTTCATTGTGACGAGTACCCTAGAATATCTCTGTGAGCCATTCAAAACCACTAAAAAAGCAATCAACTTGAGGATAAGTTCGGTGAATCTACATAGATACTTGCCTTTTCGTCGAGTGTGCATTCTGTTTATATACTATTCTCAAAAACATGGCACTTAACACCTTCTAGTGAATGAGATAAACCATTATAGCACTTAACACTTTGAGGAAATGCAATTTCATTTTAATATACTCTAAATTCAGCTAGGAAATAATAAGTTTCAGTCAAAAAATATATATAAAAGTCTTTGTTCGATGATTGATATATATGGAAGCTGTGGTTTTAACAGCTTGGGTCGTTAAATCTATAATTAATTTTCTGATAAATCTTTATGGGTTTTAAATTACATGAAAAGACGTCCGTGGTTATAAAAATATAATTACTAATCCCATTTTGGGTTTGAAAAGAAACGGATTGCTTAAATTCCTTTTAAAATAAAATCGATAATAAATAATCAAGACTCATATCCATTGAAGAATATTTTTCAAGATATACCGGCTTTGTAAACCCACCCCTATAAAATATATCATTGAACATAATGGATAGCAGAGCAGTCGACTTCTTGCTTGGGCCTTCCAATTCTCTTTATAGCTATCATTTGTTTGGTGTTCTTGCTATTTCCGTGCTGTGTAAATATGCGGGTCGAACAAACAACCCCGAACTGGAGAGGAGGGAGGTCTCTAATCCGGGGGACCAATGCAGCGAGATACAGCCTGCATTTTCCGCTTTTACCTGCCATGAAATTCTTTGTTTACTACCTGGAGCATTAACACCAAGTTTCCCAGTTGCCCGTTGTTGGGCAATCGTTAAAACTATTGGCCATGCTAGATTTATAGGCTGTGCTACTGTGGCCGCGAACTAATAGAGCGATTCGCTCGTGCCAGGTTGACGGGGCTGTGATAAGGTTATCTCGAGATTAAGAACTTTTGCCTCCGCGATCGTAAATCCAGTTTACGTAAAACAAGATTTTCAAATATGTTCGAACAGCTAACATTTCAATTTGGCTCTACTTTTATTTCTATCTAATCTTAGTACAAGTACAAAAAAGTCAATTGATAAGCCAGTCTACCTTTGATAAGAGTGCACTATCTAAAGGAGAACCTTTTCTTTTTTATGCAGTTGGAGCACCGCAAGAACTTCTGGCTTCCGCCTCAAGTTTAATATATTCTAAATTAAGCTATTTCGTGTGAGGAAAATGTAATTTTCAGCCAAAAATATATACAAAAGTCTTTGTTCGATGATTGATATTTATGAAAGCTGTGGTTTTAACAGCTTAGGCAGTTAAATCTATAATTAATTCTCTGATAAATCTTTATGTGTTTTAAATAACATGAAAAGACGTCCGATTTTATTATTTTTAGAAAATGTTTCGGTTTTGAGAAGAAACAGATTGCTTAAATTCCGCTTTAAAAATAAATTGATAATAAATAATAAGCCATGATAAAAGTGCACTATCTAAAGGAGAACTTTTTCTTTTTTATGCAGTTGGAGCACCGCAAGAACTACAATGACGAGACCGAGGAACGCTTCCGCCTGAAGATCTTCAATGAGAACAAGCACAAGATCGCCCGGCACAACCAGCTGTTTGCCCAGGGAAAGGTGAGCTTCAAGGTGGCGGTCAACAAGTACGCCGATATGCTGCACCACGAGTTCCGCTCGGTAATGAACGGCTTCAACTACACGCTGCACAAGGAGCTGCGGTAAATTAAGATTAGAAAAGATAACCACCCAAGAACTCGGCTTAATTATCCCCTTCATTACAGCGCCGCTGATGAAAGCTTCAAGGGAGTGACCTTCATCTCGCCCGCCCATGTCACGCTGCCCAAATCCGTGGACTGGCGCACAAAGGGCGCTGTGACCGCAGTTAAGGATCAGGGACACTGCGGCAGCTGCTGGGCCTTCTCCAGCACGGGCTCGCTGGAGGGTCAGCATTACCGCAAGGCCGGAGTGCTGGTCTCGCTCTCCGAGCAGAACCTCGTCGACTGCTCCACCAAGTATGGAAACAATGGATGCAACGGCGGTCTCATGGACAATGCCTTCCGTTACATCAAGGACAATGGCGGCATCGATACCGAGAAGTCGTACGCCTACGAGGCCATCGATGATTCGTGCCACTTCAACAAGGCCACCATCGGAGCCACCGACCGCGGATTCGTCGACATTCCCCAGGGCGATGAGAAGAAGATGGCGGAGGCTGTGGCCACCATCGGACCCGTTTCCGTGGCCATCGATGCCTCCCACGAGTCCTTCCAGTTCTACTCCGAGGGCGTCTACAACGAGCCCGCCTGCGACTCCCAGAACCTCGACCACGGCGTCCTGGTTGTTGGCTTCGGCACCGAGGAGACTGGCGAGGACTACTGGCTGGTGAAGAACTCGTGGGGCACCACCTGGGGCGACAAGGGCTTCATCAAGATGCTGCGCAACAAGGAGAACCAGTGCGGCATCGCCAGCGCCTCCAGCTATCCGCTGGTCTAATCCGGAACTGATGTATTTTAGCCACAGCCTTCATATGATATGATATACAAACAAAAACACACCAACGCAAGCATCTCAAAAAGGAACTTTAATAATTTAGCCCAACCTCATATCTTAATTTCGTATTGGGTCCATTTAAATCATGTATCTCTGCCATCATGTACGATATAGATGAATAACTGATATGTTGATGTTTGTAGAAAAATAAATAAAAAGTATATAATTTTAACAAGTCTGTGAAGTCTTTGGGATAAAGATATGATCTGGAATACAAAGTTATTTGGGTAAATGGAAATTATAAAGGGAGTAAAGGTTTTACTCAGTCGTTAATAATAAATGTATTATTACTAGACATCGGATTTTAATTGAAATCTTTATTTTTAAATATGATTTAAAACCACATTTGATTGGTTAAAATTTTTTTTACAAAAACCTCAATTAAGTTTGGCCTAAATCAGCGGTCGGCACACACATACGTTGACATTTTGTTTTATATTTGTGTGAGTAATTTGCACTGGGCAGCTCATCGATGTGTGTGTGCAGACCGCTGTTCTACGTTATATGTGTGCGAGCAGCGCGCCGGCAGAACAAAACCCTATGCTCACTTAATAGGACGCTGCCGACCGCTGGCCTAAATCAAGCTTTAAATCGAATATAAAATAAACGATTTCACCTCAAAGCCGATGTCTAATTATTACTTTCAATTTTCATGAAATTTACACAAAATAATTATTATTTTGTTTTAATTTCTGCAAATAATAAAATACATTTTAAAAAACTGTTTTTAAAAATAATCGCTTAAAGTTTAAACTTGTATACTAGTGCTATCGATAGCCCCAAGAACCAATCATCGATACACATCCAGAATCGATAGACCACCCGATGGGTTCAGTTTTCATAACGTAAAATGAGATAAGTTAATTTATTGGAGCCGAAATCAATAAAGATGCTGTTGACACTCCGCGTGCAGGGAACGCGGCACTGGGCGCAGTGCACCCGGAGCCTGGCCAGCAGCGCGGCGCCGGAGAAGTCGCCCTCGCCAGCGGCCCCGCCGCAGCTGGAGGTCAATGGGAGCACGTACGCCACCGACGGCTGGACGAACGTGACGCCCAAGATCCTCTCCTATTTGGGAGCCAACAAGCACCTGCAGACGGACCACCCGCTGTCCATCATCCGCCAGCGGATCGTGAACTACTTCTATGGGGCGTATCGCAACCAAAGGGGTAATCCCCTGTTCTCCGTCTACGACAAACTCAATCCCGTGGTCACGGTGCAGCAGAACTTTGACAATCTGCTGATACCCTCGGACCATGTGAGTCGCCAGAAGTCCGACTGCTACTACGTCAACCAGCAGCACCTGCTGCGCGCCCACACCACCGCCCACCAGGTGGAGCTGATCTCGGGCGGGCTGGACAACTTCCTGGTGGTGGGCGAGGTGTACCGGCGGGACGAGATCGACAGCACCCACTACCCGGTGTTCCACCAGGCGGACGCCGTGCGTCTGGTGACCAAGGACAAGCTCTTCGAGCGCAATCCCGGCCTGGAACTCTTCGAGGAGACGTGGTCTGGCTCGGTGGCTGATCCCAAGCTCATCCTGCCCTCGGCCAAGTTCATGGACCAGACCAAGCAGCCCTGCCACACGCTGGAGGCCGTCAAGCTGATGGAGCACGAGATGAAGCACGTGCTGGTGGGCCTGACGAAGGATTTGTTTGGGCCGCGCATCAAGTACCGCTGGGTGGACACCTACTTCCCCTTCACGCAGCCCTCGTGGGAGCTGGAGATCCACTTTAAGGACACCTGGCTGGAGGTGCTGGGCTGCGGCATCATGCGCCACGAAATACTGCAGCGATCCGGCGTCCATCAGTCAATGGGCTATGCCTTTGGTGTCGGATTGGAGCGCCTGGCCATGGTGCTGTTCGACATACCGGACATCCGGCTCTTCTGGTCCAACGACAGCGGCTTCCTGTCGCAGTTCAGCGAGAAGGACCTGCACAATCTGCCCAAGTACAAACCCATCTCCCACTACCCGCAGTGCACGAACGATTTGTCCTTTTGGCTGCCCGAGGACATCGAGGTGGACGCCGGCTTCTCGCCGAATGATTTCTACGATCTGGTGCGCTCGGTGGCCGGGGATATGGTGGAACAGGTACGTGGCAGCTAGAGCCCTGCATGAATCGAATCAATGAATTATTCTGAATTTTTTGTTTTATATGAATGAATTAATTAGAATTTTGAGTTTAATAGAATTGAATCAATTTCTTTTGAAGAAGAAAGGCCCATAATTTTGTGATTAAATCTGCCTGAATTTTATTTACTAAGCAGTTAACATTGATTTGTTAAAAATTTTCCACTTATTGTTCTCAACAGAAAACACAAAAAAATCTGGCAAATTCAAAAAATTCATAAAAAATTATTCATTCATTCAATTTATTTTACATAGAATTGAATTAAACAAATCATAAATTTCATGAAATATTGCTCTACTAGCAGCTTTTCCCAATCGTACTTCTATTATTATAACTTCTGATTACTTAATTTACAGATCAGCCTGGTGGACAAGTTTAAGCACCCGAAGACGGGCAAGTCGAGTGTCTGCTTCCGCATCGTCTACCGCCACATGGAGCGCACCCTCACCCAGGCGGAGGTCAACGAGGTGCACAAGCAGATCGCCAGCGCCAGCGTGGATAGTTTCAATGTGCAAATACGTTAGTCATAGTCTAGTTCTGTTTCAATTTAAACCAAAAAGCGACACCAGTAAAGTTAGTCATGTATTTTATATGGTCTTGAAGCACTTAACGTTCTGTTCCACCCACTCGTTGGCGCTTTGTAACAGCTTGGGATTCTCGACGAACTCCTGCTGCGGCTGGCGTTCCGTTTTGGCTCCACTGCGTACGAATCCGGCTTCTCCCTTGTTTAGGATTCCCACGGAGGCCATTTCGTGCATGTTTACAGACTTGTTCTCCCGAAAACTCTTAATGCTCAGGTGATCGAGTAGCCCATCGAGATCCTCCGGCTTCACTGGGCTCTCCAGGAAGTTGGCTATGCTGTGAACGGCGCCTGGCAGATCCACCAACATGTCTTCGTAGCGCAGGAAGAGCACATTCTCCAGATGGGCAAGCTGGCGAGCCTCCTTTACATGACTATAGTAAGGGAGCCAGGGATCTGTAAGAGGGATTATTTATGACATGCCAGCCATTGCAAATGTAAACTCACTTAATCCTCGTTGAAAGTAGCGCCAGTAGCGCTCAAAATCTCCAACGTAGCCCTGAGTGCGGAAGAGCCTGTTCAAATGGTAATAGGAAACCGCCACATCCTTGGGATCGCGTACCACATAGATCACCTAAAGAGGAGCTATAGTTTTTATATTCTTACTTAAATTTATTTAATTTAATACACGCACCTTGCATTTATTTTCCAGCACACTGGGCGGCATCAAAGAAAAAGGAAAATGCGTTTTGATAAATCGCCTTTGGGAGCGGGGCAGCTCGCTTAGAACCTCGTAACCCGGTCGGGAAATTTTCTCAATGAACTCCAGGGCCTCAGATGAATTGCTGTTCTCCTCCTGCAGCTCCTCTTTGACTTTGGGATGCACAAAAAGAGGAAATCTTGGAAAGAAGATTTCTTTAAATAAGATATAAGATCAAATAACTCGTCAAGAACTCACTCTAAGAAAGGAAAGCGTTCAGTTAAAGGCCTTTGCTGAGCCTGCTCGTAATCTAGCCCATTGGCCACCAGCCAAATGAGCTCCTGCGTCCAAGTGGTCCCCGATCTGGGCACCGTGGCTATCCAGACATCATCCGGACGTGCCTCAAAGTTGTAATACCTCTCGGCCTCCTCCTTGTACTTGTGGGGAAAGAAATATCCCTCTGAACCAACCTGAACGAAGCCAGTTCGCTCGCCTTTATAAAAGAGACTTGAAGGATTAACTTGTATAGAAGTTCTAAATCTAGAAACCCACCATGGAAGTAGTTTAATAACTCCGCATTGGTGGCCTCATCCACATCGCGAATTTTGTGAGGAAACTCGAGAGGCGTCTTTTCCATTGCTCGCGCGTTCAGTTGCCAGCGTTGACTGAGGAACCGCCCGTTGGGAAAGCGTTTTGACCCCGCTTTCGGGCCTGAGAGAAAGTGCCAGCTGCTTCTGGCCTGGCTAGTCAAGCACTCTGCGGCTGGCTGCTTGGCTAAGCGCAATTTAAATAACTCGGTACTTGTTGCTTCACTTTTATCGTATGTACTTGCTGGACAATCACGCTGACGCTGGAGTTTTCAGAAAGGTGTGCCCCAGTCGAAGCTTTATGACCAACGTAAGATTTTATTGGGACTTGAAAGGAGGTTGCACCTTTTTTCAAGCGATATTCGGCCTAAAAGTCAAGTCTTAAAATAGACCCAACGATGCTCTTAAATTAACTAATTTATGTATTGGCGTTAAAGAGCTTTCGCTGAATCTGAAATTAGTATAAATAACTATATATATATTTTAAATATTTTGGTATATCTTTTGGTAAGTCTGCTAACCATCTAATATCCAAACTTATTATTAGCAAGCTTAACTAATCGCAATCAAATTTGAGAGTACTTGTACTTGTTCTTTCAATTTTGGAAAAAATTATCTGGTATCGTAATTTGTAAATAATTATTAAATAAAATTCTTACTAATTTGTTGTACCTTTTTTCAAGGCGAAACTCGGTCTAAAAGTTGCGTCTTAAAATAGACCCAACGATGCTCTTAAATTGACTAATTTATTGGCGTGAAAGAGCTTTTGCTGTATCTGAAACTTAGCATAAATATCTAATCATAATATCAGTATGCTTAAACACTAATAACAATCAAATTTCGATTTCAATTTAATTATTTACTGAACTTTTGGTTATTGTTAATTTGATCTTGGAAAAAATATTCTAGTAGCCTAGTTTTCAAATACTTATTTATTCAAAATTCTTACGAAATCTGAATTTGTTAAATAATTTGTGATTTCGGTAGGTATATTATATATTATACCATTTTTACAAATTCATCTTTTCGTAAAAGTATATCTTCTAAATATAAGGAATTAATTTTTCGAACTGCTGTCAATTCGAAAAACCTTTAAAGATAATATAATCCAATAACAGAGACTTTACTAACTTTTTAAAATGGAAAATCTTTCATTCACCAGTACGACACAATTAATTTGAAATATCATTCTTAGTTAATTTAATTCGTTTCCGGTTCACTCGTTCAGGTCGACGTTGTCGAAGAGGCTCAGCAGCTCCTGCTCCTTGCGCTTGATCCGCTCCTGGATGTTGGTCACGGACTCCGACTTGGGCACCGACGACTGCACCCGGCTGAAGAAATCGTCCATGGACTTGAAGACGTTCTGGTACTGGTTGTCATAGGGGGCGTACTGGATGGGCGGCGGCTTCTTGGGCGTCCGCTTGGTCACGGCATTGCGCAGGGAGAACTCCTTCAGCTCGTCCAGATGCAGTTCCTCCTGCTGTTCGTAGTCTGCGAACCGGCGCGTCGACTGTCGCTCCCTCTTGGCCTTCACTTCTTTCCGCTCCCGATCAATTTGCTCTACCAACTGCGCTGAGGGGCAAACTATCCTTACTCCGCCGAGGACTAGTTTATGGTCCAGGATCTCCGCCTCGTTGGTCTGGATGCCCGTCTCCAGGAGCTCCTGCGGCTTGGACTTTTCAGCCTGTGCCTCCTCCAGCATGGACTCGTAATCCACCAAAGGACTGGGTTCCTCCAGGGGTTTAGTCTTGCGCAGATTCGAGGCGAAACCTCCGCCTCCCACCGGTTTGGTTGGCCAGAGACGGGCCCGTGCCGCCTGCTTGGCCGCTGGGGTCATGACCCGCTGCTTGGGCTGCTTCTTGACCTCCGTTTCCATGGTCTTCGGAGGTGGACCTTCAGGTTTTACAGCCTTTTGCTCGAACTGCTGCTTGGCCGTCTGCCTGTTGGCGGTGGCCCTCAGCGATGAGGCTATGGTGGGCTGGACCAGCCGAGAAGGTGGACCAAGTCGACGGCCGGGCTGCTTCCAAGCCGCATCGGTTCCTCCATCGCCCGCTCCGCCGTGAACAGTTTTGCGTGTTCCCGTCGTCTGCGTCGTTGGAGGCGCCGCTAACTTGGATCGCACTGTGACCCCGGAATTGCTGTTGCCACCTCGACCACTCGGTCCACTAGGCTTGCCAAAAGAACTCATTTTCACGGGTTACTCTAATGCGGAATCTCACAGTCTTGGTTCCACTGTAATTTTTGGTAAGTTTAGAAAGTTTTAATTTTCTATTTCAACTGGTTGGAAGCGTTAACGAAAAATATATGCTCTAAACAGTGGAGTTGTTGACCCCTGAAAATGGGTTTATTTGAAAGGCCTACTGGGATTCAAAGAAAGGCGAACCTTTTTAAATAAATTTAAACTGATATTTGTCCAAACGCTTTGTAACAACTATCAGATTGTATCTCTATTTACATATAATTATAATCAAAGAAAAGGAGCTTCAAAGGAACTTGTTCAACTCATCTCTTCATTTCAAATTTATAATATCATATTATATGAAAATAGTTAAGCGATTAGGATATGGAATCTGCTTAATGAGCTTAGTTGCTCTTAAAAAAAGTAAAGTATCGTGCGTTTGGACTCTCCATAGTGACCTCAACAGTCAGGTATTAGATTATATCATGATCATTAGATCATTATAATAAACCGAAAAATGCGAATATTTATTGGTAGATTGGGTTACGTTTATTCAAATTAGACATATTAATTGCCATAAAAAAATAAACCGTGGAATACATTAAGCATTGTTCCTGAACTTGTATGAATGGATAAAAAAACAGAATACACATGAGTGACGTTTATATTAAAAGTTTTTAGTCTTACATAGATATGGAACGGTTACAGGAATTCAATGGCGCGGTTTACATACTTATTTTTGTGGGGATCCAGTTTTATACTGATCCCCTCTCTGTAAATTATTATATATTTTAAAACACCCAAAGTCAAACCTAAAGACTGAATGGCTCGCAAGATTTGCGGCTTATACTACGAAATCAGAAATCCAAGATCATAGGATAAATCGAAAAAACTCGGGCCGTTACAACCGAAAAGTGTTCACTTTGAGGGCTCCATGTCTATGCTCGAATCAATTACATTCGCAAAGGATGCGACCCAGCGGGAAAAACAGGACAAAAGTTTTCTTTTGAACCTGCTCTTCCAGCAGGCGCACATCAGATGCGAATCTATTTGGTAAGTTGTTTTGCTACTTGGCGCATGGATGATCGCAGATCGCACAAATGCCAATAGCAAAGTCAAAAAGGGGCCCACACGGCGGTCACTTGTTAGGCCAAGCAACCCCGCTGTCCCCGTAGATAGGAAGCAGTGCCTCCACAGAGGCTACTGCAATTATGAAATGATGCATGTCTTCTTCTGCCTGGGCGGTGGTGTTGGTGACGGAGGAGGCGACCAACCGAAGTTGTTCCAGTTGCCGTGGGGCTCGTTGAAGGGCGGCTGGCGCCGGTACTCCACCGGCGTGGGACGCAGGTTCTCGAACCGGTGATGGCCACTGGGAATGTGGCTGTAGGTCGTAGACCTGGTCTTTGGCGGCGACAATGGCGGAGCGCTGGGCAACTCAATGCCACAAGGCACTCCATTAATGTATTGTTGAGTTCCACGTGGATCTGACATCTGGGTTTCCGGTCGCTTGAAAGGCGGAATAACCAATGGTTCAGATGCCTTGACCACCGGACGTCTGGAAGACGTGGGGATCTGGGGCTCTGAAGGACGTGGAACTGCCTTTGGTGCAGCAACAGGTCGTGGAGCTGGCTTTGGTGTAACAAGGGGTCGTGGAGCTGGCTTGATTTCCAAATTCAAATCCTTCAGTTGGGCCTCTATTGAACGAACCGCATCCGAATCATGATTCACATAGCGTGGAACCTTGGGCAACTCCTCAAATAGTTTGTCCACCTCCGATTTCTGGGGCTTGCACTCGATACCCAGCTTGAGCAGTTCTTCCTTGTTGTAAAAGAGCTTAGCGGCCTGAGCTGGATTCTTTGTGTGGGCAGCTGAATTGAAAAAGATTTGGGGGTTAGAGGTTTCAAATAACTTTTTAACTGAGCTAGAGCTTAAAAGATATCGATATTTTCGATATTTTGATAATATTGTTTCGATAATACAGATAATCAGAAAAACATCGATCTTTTGAAATATATCGAAAATATTGATATTTTAAGCTCCTTTCTGCGGGCCAGAGAAACAAGCAATCGGTGATTTAAGAACTATGACCGTATAGCTGCCGATTTATTATGCAATTAGAGCAGAGTCATCGACAATAGTTGGATTTGGATTGGTACTTCTTAGCTCACGATTTGTTTCTCTGACGCACTTTAAATGGATAAGGATTTTTACTTCGCTTTAGGGGTTGTCCCAAACCGGATGCAGGCTGCTTCACAGCTGGTCCTCCGTTTTCCTTATTCGCATTGACTTCCTCGCGATAGTACGGGCATCCAACCAAAGTTTTGCGATCGCGACACATTTCGATTATCCGCCGGAAATCATTATTCTGGCTAAGCGTTCGTGGATTCCCGATAAGAATAAGCAGCGACATTGGACGCGAAAGCAGGACATTCAGACGCTAAATGATCAAAATATATTATTAGTTCAAGAGGTTTCTCCGGGTCTTTGGTTTCTCGCATTTTCAAACTTATTTCTCTACAACATCTTATATACACTTACCCTTTCATTGTTCAAGAAGCCCAGTTTGGGAGTAAAGGATCGCACGAAGGACACTATGATCACCTGCTTCTCCTTGCCCTGGAACAACTCCACAGATCCGCAATCTATCTGCGACCAGTTGCGCATGTTCAGCTGCTCCTGGATGCGTTGGTACTGGTTCTTGTACGGCGATATGATGCCGATGTCCGTCTGCAAGACCTTCTCGCCATTCAGACCAAAGTACATGAGATCCTTGACGTAGTCCATTACGGCGTCGATCTCCTTATTGTTGCACAGGCTGGTAAATGGTATATTATAAATATAAGGATAACAATCGTAAAAAATATAACTGGAATTATATCTATAATCCATTCCAAATATCCCAATTTATAGTGATTTTTGTTCAAAGAAACCTATTTATAGAATATCATGATAATCTTATAATCTTATGATAATCTTATAATAGTTTTGTTCCAGATTGTTTAAAATCGGATGTTTAGAAAATGTTTTTCAATTTGTTTTCTATTTACAATGTATTTACTAGGTTTTCCGATTCCTTTTCTTCCTTAAAACTCTCGTCATCGCAAAATTTTAACTATTTTCTATATTATAATTTTTAGATTTTTCGTATTAACCAGTTATTATTCTTATTTCCCCTTGATTATCCACTCACCTCACAGAGCTCTTGGTGTTCATGGTGGTGCCAAATACCGAATGGAACATGATGGGAAAGTCAGCATTCGGCATGTGAAACCAGTTTTGAAAACGGCAAACACTTTCTGCAGAGCAATATAATATATAGTATTATGATCCCGGGAGTTAGTTAAACCATCTACTCACCCATGGGCGCCTGAGCCCTGAGTTTTCCCTCGTAGTAGAGCTCGTTGTACAAGGAAACAATCTCCGGATGGGAGCGATAGTTGCGGATGAGGCGAGTCTGCACAGCCGGATTGTAGTTGCCGTCCTCGTCTATTTGGTAGCACTTCCTCTGGATGAGTCTCTCGAACAGCGACAATCCCAATCCCCATTCGTTGGCCCTCTGCGACTGAAGGACCGGTCCCAGCTGCTTGTGATCCCCGGATAGGATCAGATTCGAAGTAGGCGACAGGGTGCAGGTGATGCCCATCAAGGCCTCCGCCTCCGTGGATGCCGCTGCCTCATCTACAAACACATGCGAGAACAAACCGCCCTTGGCAAATCCTCCAGTGGACAACTTGCCGGCCAAACTGAGGGTGCAGACGACAATGCGGTACTGGTGCACCGCCTGGACGGCCGGATAAAAGTGCAGGGCGTACATGTTGGAGTACTCCAGCAGCAAATCGTCGATGTTGTCGATGCGCCGATCGCAGCTGGCGGCGAAGATGCGGGTCAGCGGTCGCGGCTGACTCTCCGGAGCCTTTGCAATGGCCTTCAAGAGCCGCAGAGCCACTTCATCGCAGGCGGTATTCGAACCAGCCAGCACCAGGATATGAGTTTCAGGACGACGCACATACAGCTGGTAGATGGCCTCGCAAATGGTCGCCGTTTTCCCAGTTCCCGGAGGACCAAAAACGATATACGGAGCTGGAAGCTTCTCGCTCAGCGCTATCTGCTGAACCGCCTGCATCTGCTCGGGATTACTCGAAATCCTCCGGTTGCTCAGCTGCAAGGCGCCGCGAGCAATCGAATCCCGCGGGATCTCACCGGGAAACAGAATCCGCTGGACATCCGAGTGCCTGGTGAGGGACAACTGCTGGAGGGCCCGGTACTGATACCGCATCACCGCCCGCAGCGGCCGGAAGATCAGGGTGTAGGTGGTGTTGTCCGGCAACTGGCGCTCGCAAGTGATGTTCACCCGCTGCGTGGAGACGCCCAGGATGCGGGCAAAGTAAACCCGCGGCTGCTTGTCCAGCGATCCGAACCTCTCGTCCACACTGCGAGCCCACTTTAATATGGAATCGAAATCCTTGAGGGCCAGTTCCAGCACCTGGTTGTTGTCCTCCAGCAGCTGGCGAACTCCCGTGCTCGGACTGCCCTTCTCGTTGATGATCAGCACATCGTCGCCGGGCGAGAGGACATCCTCTACGCTCATATTGTTGCCGCCCAGTCGCAGCTTCACCGACAATTCCCTTCCGAACTGATGCAGCTCCATCTTGGACTGCTTGAGGCCCAGGTAATGCTGCAATCGTTCGATGTCCTCCACCTGGAGCAGGGTGCGCAGCGTGCCGCTGAGATTCTCCTGGGTGATCTCCCTGCCCAGCTCACAGTAGTTGCGATAGTGCTGGTCAAAGTCCGCCAGCCGCACCTGGGCATCCTCGTGCTTCAAAGCACTAGCCACCTGGGTGGGCGGATTGGCCGGCGGAAGACCCAAGCTCTTGAAGGTCTCGTTGCTGGACAGCCGATACGGATTGATATTGAAGCTAGCCTTGGGCAGCGCCTCCGTTCGCATGAAGTGGTGCTGCTCCACGAATCTCTTGCCCTGGCTGGTGAACCCAATCACGATGGGCTGCTCCCGGAGGATCATGAAGACGTGCGAGTCCACGAAGAAGACAAGCTCCCCGCTGGATGGGACCTCCAATGGCATCAGCGCATTGTAGACGTAGTAGAACTGACGCGACTGCACTATGATGAACTTGTTCACTATCAGATCCTTGCTGTCCGTCTTCAAAGTGAAGCCAAAGTAGTGGCTGTCCACGCAGGTCTGGTACGAGAGGGTCAGCCTGGGCGAAGAGCTGTGAAGAAAAGAGAAAAAATTAATATAATACAATATAATACATATAATAGTATAAGTTAGAAATTAAGGGATTTTATAATAAAAGTAGATAACGGATTAATGCTTAAATAATATACGAATACACCGAAAGAAAACATCGATATGAAACGTAGATCGATTTTACATTATTTAAGATAATTTTAAATTGATATGTGGCTAGGTAAATTTGATGTGTGGCCAGGTAAATAGAATAAAATAAGTTTGAGATTACTTTTAGAAATCAAGGGATTTTATAATACAAGTCGATAACGGAGTAATGCTTAAATAATATATGAATACACCCAACAAAAATCTAAATGAAACGTAGATCGATTTAACAGTATTTAAGATCAATTTTAAATTGATATGTGGCCAGGTAAATTTGACCTGGTCGAAAAGGGTATTTCATGTAAAAACGATATGGTTTTTTCAAGACCGGAAACTTACATGGCCATATCGGTTTTACGAGAACATATATTACTTTCAGAAAATATGCCTATTAATAAAGAGATTTTATAATACAAGTAGAAACGGATACGAATATCATTAAACTTATCTTTTCTTAATTTTAACATTCAGCTAATTTAAAGGAGGTTTTACTATAATTAATTACTATAAAATAATGTTATATATTTCCATCGAAACTTACAATTTCTCCATCTTTTCGAGTGACTTGAAATCGGATTCGTCGCCATGGTACTCCACATGCTCCTCATACTTCTCAATTGTATCGAAGTTCACCTGGCAAATATAGCAACCCAGAGAGGTAAGATCGAAATCTTTCACCGGTTTTTGCAATTGCGTCTTTTGGTATTTTAGAAGCGTAGCCGTGGCCTTCGTATCGAGTTTATATTCTGATAAAACAAAGCACTCATGCAGTTAGGAACTCTTTAGAACTTATAGATAGACTACCTTCGATCAAGGGCTTGTTGCCCTCCACAGCAGCTCCAGGAACCAGACCCTGAACAACGGTACCCTTCAAGCGATGCTTTTCATCCATCAAATTGAACTTCTCCTTACGAAAGTCCATCAAGGAGAAGCTCTTGATGCGATAATTATTATTTCCCCGCGGCGTGTTGATCAGAAAGTTGGTCCTATGCAGCAGAGATCCAATCTGTTGAGATCGTGAGAAAAACGAAACATTGCATTTTATTTCAATTGTTATTGCTTACACCCATGCAGTTCAGTTATTGATAGCCTTATTCGCTATATCTGTGTGGCCAACAATCTGCAATGGCGTAATTTGAGTCTACTATATAAAGTCAAGTGCAGGCTACGTGGCCATTGTTTGCATATCAGTAAAAACGGGGAATCACATGATTCGGTCGACATTATTTCACAAGACTTGGGACAGTTTTCTAGTCCCCAAGCTAAATTTTCAACTCTAAATTCTTATACATTTTCAAGATTCAAATTTAACAAGCGGGAAAGAATTTTCTTATAAAATGGAAATTCTAATAGGGAAATATCTAAACATTTAAGAAGGTAATAAAAAAGTATTTTTATCCCTCTTCCCTTGACAGCGAAAAATCCCCTTAAAATATGGAAATATGATCTATGTAGGCATTTATATTACTTTGTTTGTATAATGAAGCATGTTAATTGAATGTACACAAAAATCCACTTGAGCCATACACTTAAATTGTTGTTTATGACCATATTTATCCAATTTCTTCAACTATTTTTTTCGGTCCCTTTGACCAGAATTTCAGACCATAGGATCGGTTTTATTTTTCCTATGCAATCGACTTTTACGCCTAAACAGTAGTTACCCCTAAAGATCTCAATAGTTTGTTCTATATAGTTCTAATGTCAACTATAATAGTACACCTAATATAACTTTTAATTAAAAAATAATTTAAAAATAGCATTTTTATTTATAACCAACGTAACATGACAAGTGCCTGGATTTCTGAACAGATTGCAACAATGTACTTTTTTCCTAATAACCAGTAGTTAATTGCCGGTGTAGAATCCGACCTGTACTCTTAATACGCTGCAATCAGTGATCGCTACCACCTGGGACTCCCCGGAACAAGTATTTACCCTCTGTATAACCATTTGATTTCCCTAAATATTGATTGATTTTCCTAAATAAAAATTTGATTTCCCTAAATAAAGTCTAAGTCTGGTCTATCAGCAAACATTCTAGTAGATTACGTTCATTATAATCGGACTTCCTATTAACTTTGGACAATTGGCGGCTATTTTTAAGGAAGAGAACACGTAGTAAAGCTTCTTGTCCAAGTTGAGTTATTGTATAGAAAGGTTACGCTATAGGGTATACGAATTCGGACCATCACAAGATGGATCTGGTGGGGCAAACCCGCAACTAAGTGACTCATGTGCTTGAGCGGGTTATAGACGCCGTCTATTTAGTCACAACGTCGATCGGATGTGAAGGTGTTTGTGATTTGTGTTGATAATACAGAGCGAATGTTTGGGCTGTCAGAAAACAAAGGAAAGCAATGCAAAATACATTCTTATCGCGGGTGGGCTTGCGAATCGGTAAGCATTCTAGAACTTTGCTGACACTGGGAAATATTTATAATTTGTTTGAACTTATACATATGTATAAAAGAACTTTGCCAAAGTAAAGAATTTTTTATCGTTTTAGGTAAGATAATAAAAACAATATCAAAGTTAATTTACATTTCAAATAGGAATATTGCTTTAATAGCAAAAATACCAATACATACAAATTTTAAAAAATCAAAAGAATTCGTTCTGTATATGATAAAATTGGTAATTGTTAAAGCAAATTAAAATACTTGTACTGAAGTACATACGTTGTAGACACAGTGCGCTCTCGATATAGTAAAAAAATTATTTTTTAGTGCACATTTAAAAAGGCAAAGAACGATTTTCTTTTTAAATAATTAATAAATATTTTACAAATTATAACAGCCGAAATTTGAAAATAGTGAGTGGTAAATATAACGTTCATTATCCCTTTCAGTCTAAAAATGTTGTATCGTAAGTTCCGGGAGTTCTTACATAAGTGTTCACTGTGCATGTGTCTGGACAGAGGAAGTGAAAAGCCTGATAGTGTATTATCAAGTCTGGGGTACTCACATTCCAGGCTCCCTGGATGGAGAGCAGCACTCGCACTTCACTGCTATTGGGCAGGCTGCCCAAATGGGCATCGAACATCTGGCGCATCTTCATCTTGTCCACATACCACTCCGTCTGGGCACTGATCACCTGTTTCAGGGCCATCTCAAGTAGAAAAGTTCCGATGAATTCGCGTTCTGTAGGAGGAAAAATAATCGTTCGGATGTTTTGGTATTGCAAAAATAGGTTCTGTAATATATGTATAACTTACCCCACGGCACCGGCGGCTTTCGTGGCATTCCATTGGCGTAGGTACCGGTACCTGATCCCGTACCTGTACCTGGGGGGACTTTGATACCGTTATTGGCCGGCGGCGTTGCCGGCGGTGTCAACATATCGGGCGGAGTACCGGTGCCATTGTTGTTATTGTTATTGCTTCTTGCACCGGCCGCCTTCTTTTTTTGATTTTTGTTTTTTGTCATTTTGTCCAGAAGTTCGTTTTCTTGGTCTTTTTGTTCTGTATTTTTTGTTGTTTTACTGCACTCACTCACACAAAGGCTAGGATCGATAATCGTTTTGCGAAATGTTTCTATTTCCTAAAGCACGATCGCAATTAAATGTTAGTTATTTGCGAACACAAAGCCCAGACACAGACACACACACACACGGATCTTTATAGACTATATAGATATAGTATAGCGTTAGGAATTGCAGCTGACGAATCGAAGTGCACGGCGCGACGTTCAGTGAACGAATGACGCGAATGATGCGCCAGCGGTTTTTTATATGGAAGTGCAGGGGCTTACGAGGGGGGATTACTGGGAAAAATAGGTACGTACAACAAATTAATTATATTAATAATAATAATTAAAGGGGTTTTTCAAGAACCCTTTTTCACAACTTAAACCCCCCTTCCGCCGTCCCTGTGTTTGCTATCTGGGCTGTGTGCAGCTGAGAGCCCTTTCAAATAACGGGGATCAGTTCACTGGAACTGGAGCTTTAAGCGAAATCCACAAGCCTTCCTTCCAATGCTGGAACTTACATATCACTGCAAATTTTGTTTATTATCTAATGATATTCTTTTTCTGGCCCATCCTAACCTTTTAAATGTTTATTCCTTTGTGTGTGCGTGTGTATTTTTGTATTGGAATTTTAGCGTGTAGCACTTTTTATAAAATCAAACTAAACGAAAACATGAAATTTGACTTGAAATTCGGGGTAAGTCCCGAACTCGGTGTTTGTTTGTGGCACGATCGGGCTTTTCGGTATTTTTTGGGATTTTTCTTGGGATTTAAAATACTAAACGGTAAGATCAGTTGGGGTATTCTACTTTTCTCAACCAGTGGATTTTAAAAAACAATAGTGAACTCAAGATAATTCTAAAATTTACCACCAGAAAGCTCGAATTTCTTATCCTCAGGAATTAAATTAATTTTGTTAAATTTCTCAAACTTTTTTGACCTAACATTCTCTAAACCTTATTTCTTTTTATACAAATTATAATTTATTTCTATTTTAAATTCAAATTGAAAATATGTGACAAAACAAATCTTCTTAAAAATAAAATAAGCTGGATATGGATTAATTATGTTTTTTAAAATATGAGCCTTAAACCTACTTAATCTAAAAATAAACTATTTCTTGGCGAGCTTCAGCTTCTCGGATCCGAAGATCACTCCAGTGTCGCCTAGTTTGCGCTTCATGGCGAACGGATTGACCGAGTTCAGGGGAGTCCTGTGCTCGGGGGTTTTGCCCATGGGAACCTCTGACTCCGATTCGCCGAAAATGTTCTCCTGGGTGTCCAGCGGAGAGGGAGTAATGTCCGGAGTCGAGGGACGAGATGCCGCTGCCTTGAACATATTCGGTGAGTTGGCCAATCTCTTCAAGGTGCCCCTTTTAGCCGAGCTCAGCTCGATGGCCTTGGGCTTGGGACCGCTCTGCGATCCAGAAGTGGGCGTCATGGGCAGGACAATGGTGGCAGCGATGCCGCTGGCGCCCAGCAAAGTCTGCTGCTTGCGGGCCTCCTGGACGGCCTCCAATTGGGGCAGCAACTCGCACAGGCGATCCGAGAGGTGGATGCGCCCGCGTTTGGTGGCGTACTTCACGGCCAGCTGCAGCAGATCAGTGCAGGCAATCGACTCTATCAGCTCCCTGGCCCTCGTCTCGCACTCGCTGCTGCAGGCCAAAGCAAACAGCTTGATGGCCGTCTCCTTCTGCAGCTTCTCGGCGCCCTCCACCTGCATCAGACTCGAGCGCAGCAGGGCATCCTCCAGCTCGGACTTCTCCAGCTCAATGTCGCACAGCGGGATCTGCAGGCGCAGCTCCTGGAGCATCGGGCGGGGATTCGTCATGGGGTAGGAGGTGCCGCGGCACAGGACGGCCTGGACGATCTGCCGACGCTCGGAAACGGCCACCACGAAGAAGTGGTGGGCCACGCTGCTGCTCTGCTTCATGGTGTCGCAGATGGGGAACCAGGCGTTGCTGCTGCGGCGGTAAAGCTGCAGGAGACCCATGTTGTCGGCGAAGCTCGGCGATCCCGTGTCGCTGTAGCCCAGCCAGACGAGTTGTCTGCCTGGCGTCAAGGGAACAGGCAGGTGTTCCTGCCGCAAACTCAGTCCATTTATGTTGACCAGCATGGCGGCGAGGTGCTGCTGCTTTTGGCTGGGCGCCGAGCTGTGGTAAACCACCATTAGGCTGTGCTCGTGCCCAGCAATGGCCACCACTGGTCCCGGAATGCTGAGCACCTCGCGCTGCGTGCCCATCACGCTGAAGATGCGCAGGAAGCTGGAGCTGGTGGCCACGGCCACTAGATGACTGGTGGCCACCAAAGCCTCCACACTCTCGCAGTCCGGCAGGCTGAGCGACCACTCCTTGTTCCCGGCGGCGGCCAGGGCAATCACCACCAGCTTACTCGACTCATTGGAGGCCAGGGCCAAGGCGCCACTGCTCAAGCTAGCCAAATTGTGCTGGCTGTAGTTGCTGATGTGCAGCGCATGGTGGATGCTGGCGTCGTGGAACTCCACGTCGATGGAGCCGTCGCCCGAGGGCTCTAAATGCGCGGTGACAATGCCCACATCGTTCCAGGCCATGTAGCGGTGCTCCAGATCGCTGGGCGTGGCACTCGGCTGGAAGGCCGCCTGCTGCTTGAAGAGCTTGATCTGCGGAGCAGCGGGTGGAGGAGCAGGGGCGGATCGGCTGCTGCTGGCCAGGGATTGGTTGGACGTGTCATCATAGTTCATCACCTTGCGCTTGAGCTGCTCCAGGCTAACACCATCGCCGTCATCCGCTGCGGTATCCAGGTCATCGCCACCCTCGAATTCATAGTCATCACCTAGAAGCTCCGCCTGGTCATCCTCCAGACCCTCGCCGCCGCCAGCCTCGTCGGCATCGCTGAGAAAGACGGTGCCCAGCTGTCCCGTGGCATCGCAGAAGGCCACCTCCTCCTCCCCAGAACGATTCCAGGCCAAACAAGTGATGGCATTGCAGTCATTGGGCGGCGTTTCCACCGCCAAAGCCTTCCTCTTCTTCACATCGAAGATGCTCACCTCGCCCTTGGTTGTTCCTGCCGCCAGGCGTTCTCCATTCGGCGAGAACTGGCAGCAGCTGTAGTTACTGGACACGGAGTCATCACGGAGTTTAAAGGCCACCTCCCAGTTGGCCGTGTTGAGCACCACAATCTCGTTGTCCGCCGCGTAGGCCAGTAGCTCGCCGGTCTGTGGCTCAAAGTGGGGCGTTCCGTAGAGACTGGCGTTCTCGAAGCTGTTCACCTTGGGCAGGCCATCGATGCTCTTCAGCTCCTTGGCCTCCTCAAAGTTCCAGACCTTCAGCTGACCATCGCCGGCGATGGAAACGAGCAGTTTTCGCTCCGCAAACAAATCCAGGGCGAGGATCGGACCCGTGTGCCCCTCCAGAACGGTTTCCTGGCCAGCCGTGTCTCCCTTGAGCACCTTAATGGTGGTATCCTCGCTGCCGGCGGCGGTGTATCCGCCGGAGACCCGGAGGCAGGTAGCCGGAGCCGTGAACCGCATGAGGATGCCATCGCTGTCCATCTCCGGGAAGGTGTAGGCATGCACCGTGTTGCGATCGGTGGAGGCCAGCAGGCGGCTGCCCGTGTGGGCGATGCACATGACGAACTCGCCCAGGCAGCTGGACCGCGGATCGTCGTCGCTGATGCAGGTCCAGTGGCGAATGTCGCCGTCGGTGCCGCAGGTGATGATGAACTCGCCGCGCGGCGTGTAGAGGAGACCCGTGTAGCCATTGGTGTGCGCGTAGCGCAGGGCACTGCGCGAGAAGCTCATTATTAGGTTTTAAATGTTACAATTAAAGTAAATTATTCGCGCTGATCTCCGCCACTTTTGGCGCCAAAAGAAAACACTTCCGAATAGTGTTGGATAACGACTTTATGAGGATGTTTTGGAGTCGCTCGCTTACAACACTGTTCAATCAGCTGTTTTACAAATACCCTACCCTTTCTCTCAGGGCATTTCCGTTTCGACATCCATTTTGTCACATTTAGTAATATATTTATTTGTTGTATTTAAAAGTATGTATATTTACCTAAATAAATACAACTTTATTTACGTATTTTATTTTATTGTCAAAATAATGCAATTGGAAACTAAAATATGCAACTAAATATTAGTTTTAATGCTAAAATTTAACAATAATATTTAAGGTAAGCTTTAACCCCTTTTTTTATTATCTCTTAATTTAAACGTAATAACCTTAAAATAAAATAGTTCATATAAAAATTGTAAGGTATACGCAATTCGACTTGAGTATCTAAATAACACAATATTTCCATTTTGTCATAGCCGGTTGCTTATTACAGCATTGCTTTAATTCAATCCCGGATAATGTTAAGAAAACTGACTAAACTATCGACCTTAAAGGTCAGATGTGAGCTGCGTTCCCTCTCCTCGCTCAGCCAAAGTCCACAGAACATATTCGACCGGAATGCCAAGAGATTGCAAAAGGAACGAGCCGCCCTCAGGTGAAATTTAAACCCAAAGTAGCACCAAACCCAGCTAAACCCTAAAATCCTCCCACAGCGAAGATGTAGGCCTATACGATTACCTCAAGGAGGAGGTGGGCTTCCGCCTGGCGGACAGGGTGTTCGACATCAAGCGGGAATTCAAGGCAGCGGCGGACATTGGCTGCAGTCGCGGGTATCTCTCCCGGCACATCCTGGCGGAGAGCGTGGAGCAGCTCACTCTAACAGACACCAGTGCCACGATGCTGGAGCAGGCGCAGGGCACTCCAGGTCTCAAGATGCTGAAGCTAGTCAAGGATGAGGAGCAACTGGATGTGGGTAATTAGATCCCTTACCCCAGAGAATCCATTATAAACCAAACTTCCCTTCAGTTTGAGGAGAACTCCCTGGATCTGGTCATCTCCAGCCTGAGCCTGCACTGGGTGAACGATCTGCCCGGCTGCTTTGCCCGGATCAAGCGCAGCCTGAAGCCGGATGGCGTCTTCATAGCCTCCATGTTCGGCGGCGACACCCTCTACGAGCTGCGCTCCTCGCTCCAACTGGCCGAGCTGGAGAGGAAGGGCGGCATTTCCCCGCACATCTCGCCCTTTACCCAGATCCGCGACATTGGCTCCCTGCTGAATCGCGCTGGATTCACTATGCTCACGATCGACACCGATGAACTGGTCATCGGATATCCCAGCATGTTCGAGCTGATGTGGGATCTCAAGGGAATGGCCGAGAACAATGCGGCCTTCAATCGGCCGGCGCATCTCAGTCGGGAGACGATGCTGGCCGCCAGTGCCATCTACCAGGAGCTGTATGCCAAGCCCAACGAGCAGGGAGTGCCGGCCACCTTCCAAATCATCTACTTTGTGGGCTGGAAGCCGGGGCCCAACCAACCGCAGCCCCTGGAACGCGGAACCGGAGAGGTTTCGCTCAAGGATCTGGGCTCCATTATCGAAAAGGGCGGCAAACTGGAGACCAAGGCGGGCGATTAGCTTCAGTTGACAGTTTTATTTCGGAAACTCGCTTGAACATAATTTAATAACTTAAATAAACATAATTCCTTCTTTGCTGAGAAACTTAAACTAGTGATTCATGTGTAAAGGTTAGTCATGAAATTATAAATACTCAATTCATTTGTCAGTTTGTTCTGGCTATGCTGGTTTAACTATACATATATCATATATCTAGCGTAATCATTCGATTCTTCTTAATATTTGGTTGCCTTTCGCCTTTACATTCGTTTGCATTCCATGGACGTAACTTTTTAACGTTGCTTTGTATTTTGCTCGGTACGTATATACAAGTACAATTTACAACAATTTCTATAATATATGTGTTGAGTTGAATTCAATATGCAATTAATTAATAACCGCTTTTCAGTTGTATTAGATACGATTTGCTCTTGCTTAAATATTGTTCCATTAGCATTTGTGTATGTAATTCTCGATTGCTTGCTTTATCAATTGTTTAACTCGTAACTGTTGTAAATTTAATTTGGCGCATCTAGTCCCAGCAACGGGCTTCACTCCAACTACCAACTCCCAAGGCCCCAGGCTTCCCGCGGCTTATGTACAAAGTGTGTGACCTCAGACTCCCGAAGGAGCTGGAGGTTGGCTAATGCTGCTCCCGGAGGAAGTCCCAGTTTCAGCGGTGGCAGGGCTAGAAGACTTAAGGCTAGGCAAAGGCAGACGGCGGCGAGCACCGGGAACTAGGTGATCCCACTCCGATTGGCCGCCGCCTTTTGCTTTGCTAGTCACCCCAGCGCCAAAGGAGATCTCGGCGGCACGGGCGGCGGTGTGGGCGTGGCCCTGGGCGAGGATGTGGGGCTCACGCCCGAGGCTCCGGCCACTGCCAGTTGTCCCGTGGAGCTGGTGGCTGTGAGTGTGGTGAGTGTGTTGTGGCGACTCTCTGCAGCTGCCTGCGACGAGGAGGAGGACGCAGGCGGCAGCTGACGTCAGGTGCCCAGAAGCATCTCGCGCTGCGGAGTGTTCTGCAGCATGTTGGCGGTCCTCAGGTGAATACTGCAAGGGAATGGAAAAGAAATAATTAACAGTCTAAATTATGTATGTATTATGTCTATTTGAACGGCTTGTAAACGATGCAGCAGCCGACTTGACAGCCGCTTCATCGTATACAATTTGTATTTTGCAAAGTATGAATCATTATTTTGACTAAAACATAAAAAGAGTATTAGTCAAAATATTAAAAAAAATTCTATCAATTGGAACGGCTTTTGTAAACGATGCAGCAGCCTCCTCATCGTTTACAGCTTAAATTTTGCAATATTATGATTTTAACTGAAACATAAAAAAGTAACAATCAAAATTATGTATAAATTATATTCATTTTTTAAAGGCTTGTAAACGATGCAGTAGTAAACGATGCAGTACTTTAAACATTATTTTAACTGAAACTTGAATTGACTAACAGTCAAAATTCTGTAAACGGTGCAGCAGCCGAATTGGCATCCGCTTCATCGTTTACAGCTTGTATTTTGCAATATTTAAATCATTATTTTAAGTAAAATATGAAAAAAGTAATAGTCAAAAAAATGTTTAAAGTCTATACGTTTTATAAAGGCTTGTAAACGATGCAGCAGTCGACTTGTCAGCCGCTTCATCGTTTACAGCTTGTATTTTGGAATATATTCAACTCATTATTTGGACTGCAACTTAAAACGATGCAGTATCCCACTTTACAGCATCTGCATCGTTTACGTCTTGTTTGTTTTAATATATATAATTATTTTAACTGAATCTGACTGCTTTATATAAATAAATAAATGAACTGACTGCAAACTACTCACTTATTGTCCTCCAGCGACATGGTCTCCGACGAGCCGTGCGAGGCAACTGAGGTACCTGCAAGCGAACTTCGTATTGAGTGCGAGTCCTCGGGAACAGTAAGCGTAACTAATAAATTGCGTTTATGGGTTAACGTTTTCGAGTTTTTTTTCGTATTTTTTCGATTTCGGTTTGACCAATAATCCCAGTTCGTCGTGTTGCCAATGCGTTGGAAAGAAGTTTGGTTTTTGGAAAATTGCATTTAGTTTTCGGTTGTGGTTGTGATTGTGGCAATGTGAAATTTTGGTTAGCGGTGTTAGTGTTGTTTGGTTGTTTGTGAGGTGCAAATCGAGTCGAATCGAATGGAATACTTCGGATAAATACTGGAAACCTGAAACGGCTCTATAAGGCTGACTGGGGAATTAACCATGCTGCGAGTGTTTGGTTTCTTTCAGTACAAAATCATATTTATTTGTGTGGTACGCTTCGCTATATGTATAATCATATAATTATTGGCTAATCAGATTACAACTACCATTTCAATTTGGCTTTGACATAAACTAAAGTTGAGTTCTTTCGCAACGAAAACATATAAAGTAAATGCAAGAACAAGGCTTAAAGTACGTAATAAGTAGAGTAATTAGTAGTGGGCGTGTAAAGAAGTGTGGCAAAGTAGTAAGGCGGATAACAATAAATATTAATCGTTGTACGTAGTTTCAAACGGAATCGTTGGAGTCTTAGGAGTTATCAGTTTTTGGAATATTAAGTTGAGACTCTCGGTTGGGTAATATCGGAGAGAGGGCGATAAGGAGTGTGGGAAGAACACTAAATACAAACATCGATGAATGCAGCTATTGTCGCTTCGACAGTACAAAAATTAAAGCTAAGTACGTTTTGGGGATATAACTAGCGAATGTTCGGGGTTCAAGGAAAATAGTAAGGAGGCAAAACATTAACTACATAAAGAAAGATTACGCATTACGAATCAACTAAAATTAGAGGCGCGTGTTCTCCACGCTCAGCGCATCATCGTCGTCGTCGTCATTCGCAGCTCCACTTCCATTTCCGTTTCCGTTCTGCATGATATATGATGATACCACCTGGCTGCTCGGGGTCTTCGGGTGCGGATGCGGTTGCAGGGGAAGCTGCTGTCGCTGGAGCACCTCCAGTGCCTGATCCAGATCCAGCCTATTGCGACTGTCGCTATCGCTGCTGAAGCTGTGCCGCATGTGCTGCAGCTGCAGCCCATTACGATGCACTGGCAGGTAGCTGAGATTGTGGATGCTCTGGCTGCGGGCCGGGTCTTGGCCACTGTCCACTGTGGTCACTACAAATCCGTTGCTGTACAGCGAGTAGCTACTGTTCGCCGGCGAGGTGGCTAAGCTAGTGATACTCTCAAACGTTTTCATTGAGTATCCGTCACCTAGGAACAGAATTACAGAAGCGATTGCGGATTAGGTCAAGTCTTTCGGTTCATTTCAGGCATCTCCGATTGTAGTAGAAGCGGTGGTGGTGATCGAAAACGGATTTATATGTACACGCAGCGGACAATGTTAGACAAATGGTTACAGAAATGGATCAACCGATTACATGAACGTCGAGGGGCGTATTTAATAAGCATGAACTGGTTTTGTGGTTGCCCCTTGGTTATTCTCCCTTAGAAGCTAATTACATATACAGTTAGTGCCCATTACAGGTAAGGGGTATCTCCTATTCCAGCCAGAAACCATCACTTTACACAGATCAGAATGCCCATCAAAAAAGGCAACAGGTCAATATTAGCATATTATTCAATTAGTTTAATGCTTCGGCCGGCGAGATGATGACGCACTTCGGCTGGACAGCCAACGATGACCCGCTGAAAGTGGCTACGATCTTAAAACTCAAAAGGGAAGACTATACATCGCTAGGCAAATATACAACACATCGTTTTCATACTCTAAGACTAAACAATACTTTGTACATGGGATCTAGTTTCGTGTTTCTGTTTACACATAAATGATATATACAATTTGTGATAAACTTGCACCACACAATACAAAATAAGGGGGAATTTTCGATTAAAATTGCAGATTATAGTTACAGTCAGGTGGTAAGTGGGTTGTTTCAAAGCAAGCATTAGTATTAGTAGATAAGAACAGTGTAAGAACAGTGTGTGTTGCTCAGGACTCACCAGTGGCGCACTCGGAAGTCTCGTAGGAGACCGTGGATTGAACCTCAATCGCGTTTTGTTCTTGTCTGCAAGACAAATAGTTGTTATCTAAAGTAGTTTCCATTATCTTCCTAATCTCTAACCTTGATATCACATCTGTTATGACTTGCTTCTCCGCGTCCGTGTAATCGTTGCGTCTGCGACCGATCTTCTTCTCCATGTCGGCCTCCACAAAGTCGCCCAGCTTGCGGCTGGGGAACTCGTTCGACTTGGCTGGCGGTGGGACGTCCAGTTTCAGGTCCTTCAGCTTCTTCATCACGCGCTCCAAGGCCTGAATGGCGTCGTCGTCGCTGTAGCCAAAGTTCTTGTGCAGCCGCACCTGCAGATACTCGATGATGGCGTCCATGTCCTTGAGGCGCAGCAGGTCGTCCTTGTGGAGGTACAGAATGGTGATGGCCATGGACAGGATGACGCGATCGCCGTCCAGCATGAAAATGTCCCACACGCGCAGGCTCAAACTGAAGGGGACCTGAAAAATAGCACTTTTTAAGTATTTTGGCTGATAAATCTTCTACATTTTACTGACCCTCTCCACGAAGACGACGAAGAACCACTTGATGGCGTACAGCAGGGCGTCCACGTTGTGTTTGGTAAAGTGCTTGTGTAGCTTGCGCATTATTTTCGACATGATGCGGTCATGGTGGTCAATGAATCGCGTCAGCTTGGGAAAGCCCTCGATGAACAGCCCGTGCATGCCGTATTTTTGGTCTGTGATCAGGCTGTTCAGCGCCCAGAAGGTCTCCTCCTCGTGCAGGTAGAGCAGCAGCACGCCGGCCACGCAGGCCATGCCCTGGCAGTAGCCCAGCTCCGAGTTGTAGATGCTGTAGGCGTTGAGCACGTTGAACAGCGAGCACTGCTTCACGCTGTAGCGCTCGCGGAAGGCGATGTTGTCGCGGAACTGGCGATTCACGTCCGCATCGATCTGCCGCGTCTCCGTGGAGTACTTCCTGGCCAGCTGGAGCATGCGGGCATAGACGCCAGGGTTCTTCTCCATCGACTGGTGGATATTGAGCAGGTTCATCCAGACCTCCGCCTTCACGCGGTCCGGCACGCCCTTGTAGATGCGCTTGTGCAGCTTGTCCGGGGGCGGCGGCCACTGCTTCAGCATCTTCACCCACTTTCTGACGCGCTCAACCTCGACGTTGTTGCGGTGCGTCTCCTGGGCGTCGCGCGTCGTGGGCAGGCGCTCGTCGTGCAGGAAGCCATATCTGTAAGGGAATAGGAGGGATTAGATTTGGTACGGGTGATTTATAGTCATCTGTTTGGGTGAAATCTTTTTTTTAAAATACTTTTCTCCGCCCAAATTTGATGGGTTACAAATTTTTAACAAAAAACCGAAATTAGGTTGGGTTTAGAACTAATTTTGAATTACAGTAAAAAAAATTGTAGCACATCAAATAAGGCTGGAAATGGGATTTCATAGATTTATAGTCATTTTACTAAGTGAAATCGTTTTTATTTAAATACTTTTTTCCAGCTACATTTGATGGGTTACAAATTTTTAACAAAAAACCGAAATTAAGTTGAATTTAGAACTAATTTTGAATTTAAGTAAAAAAATTATAGCCCATCAAATGTGGCTGGAAATAGGATTACAAATTTTTTACAAAAAACCGAAATTAAGTTGGGTTTGGAACTAATTTTGATTTTATGTAAAACAATTTTAGCACATCAATTAAGGCTGGAAATGGGATTTTAAAAAATAATTATTTCACCTAAAATTAGGTAGTCACTCACCTGTCTGTTTTCATGTAGACCTCGAAGGAGGGATTCTCCCAGGAGTCGACCACATTGCTGGGATCGAGGCCCAGTTCGTAGCGCCGGAAGATGTCCTCGCGCTCGTCCTCGGCCCGCTTGACCAGCGCCTCCTGCTGCTCGCCGTCCGTCATTTGGCGGCGGATGTGGATTCGGCTAGGATGGGTGGCCCGATCCGGAGGAGCAAGTGGCCAGAGCGGGATTCTCCGTGCTCTCAGTTGGGGAGCGGCTGCTACTCAGAGGGCGATAGCGCGAAACTTTGATAAAAGCGAGGAACGAGAATAACAAACAAAGCATTAACATGCTATAACTACGAATGACGCATGTCTATTATTTAAATGCAGTTGAATCTGTGTCTTTTTTTTTTGGATTAGCGTGGCATAAATGACGTGATGTTTGGGATTTACTTAAAATTCAATGCATTTAAGCCAGCTAACAAAACCTGTCACCATAAACGCCCCCTGATCTGGATCTCAATCTGAATCTGCGGTTGAATGTGAGTGGGCAAGCCACATACATATATTTAGAGATATTTCAGTTTTGTCGCCTATTTCGATGCGGAATGTGTGCAATCTTTATGTTTTATCGTTCACACACTTCCTGTTTTCGCTGCGATTTGTTGTATTTTGTCAACACAGACGAACGCACACACACACACACGCACACGGGCAGGCGAGAGAGTGTTCTGGCTTTCACTCGCCCCGCTCTCTCCGCTCCCTGCGTTTAGCCACGCCGTCTAATGTTTGTTTACCATTTAATTTAGTACTGCCAATTCTTATTATCCACGCCGATCGGTTGTGTTTGCTAGCTAGTTTTTACTATTTTATTTCGGCTGCATGTTTCCGATACATTTGGTGGCGAATGTGTGTGAGTAACGTCAGGGTTGCCAGATGAACATTTTGCTTTGCCCCTAAAAAATCTCCAACAGTCGATATTTCTCCCTAAAAAATCCAGTTTTCCTCCTAAATTCAAAAAATTAGTTCATTTCGAACATGTATAAGAAAGTAGTAATATATAGATCGGGGGTCTCACAGAAATCTCTTCCAACCAAAATTCCGTCGAAAAGCAAATCTCGGTGTCACAGAAACCATTTGAAAATGAAGTACACACAGTACACAACCAACTGAATAGTAGGCCTTGAAGCAAAGGGTAAAAGGGTATTTTAACGTTTTTTCCAAACACTTGCGAAGAAAACCTATAAAAATTTCACAAATTTCTGGGAACACTGAGTAACGTAACACGGAACCAGGGATGGCACAAGAAACAGTTACAATTTGGTAGGTGTCTTTGGTAATATCGGTGGGTGTCCTGGCTATGGAGGTGGGGGAAATATCGATGGTAGGAAATCGCTAGGGCTATCGATGTTTCCATCGACTTTCAGCCACCTCTAGCCTCAACCCAAAACAAAAAAAAAACAGCGCGAGTCGGACGCGGTTTTTGTCGTCGAGCGCGGTTTCTTTGTTTTAGCCGGAAAAAATCTCGTAAAAAATACACTCTAACTAAAAACTGAAAGTGCAAACCAAGTGAACTTGAGATACAAGTTGAAACACAAAAATACAAATACATAAAAGTGGGAAAAACAAAACAAACGAATTTGTGAGCGGCGTTTTTTATTTTTGTGTTTGATTTTTCCGGCTCCGATGCCAAACTGAGAAAACAGTGAATGATTTTCAACAGTGTAGTGTGAGATAAAAGTAAGCAAATAATAATTATTATTTTTAACATCAAAATGCAACCCTCAACAGCGTCCTTTGCATAGGTGTGCGCCTATATACATGTGTGTGCGTCCGTGTGTTTGCGTGTGATTGTGTTGCAAGGGAAAATTGCCGCCTGTAAATTGTTTATGTTTAATTGGAGACGAAAAGAGAGTCTGTAAATTGCAGCACTAGCACTTACCGTTAGGGCGAGAGTAAACACATTCAACATGTTGCAGTCACTAAAAAAACAAACTAAAACAAAAGCAAAGCGGATCGGATCTCTCTTTCTGGCGCTCTCTCTCTCTCTTTGAGTTTTGTGAGCGTTCCCGAGTGTTTTTGCCGTGTTTTGTTTTGATTTTCTTTTCACGCAGAGCAAACTCAACGAGAGAGAGGGAGAGCGGGAGAGAAGAGCGTGTTGTTGTTGCATTTGACCATCTAATAAATTGTGCCGTTCTTGTTGTTGTTGCAGTTGGATTAAAAGTCAAAGCATTTATCAGTGCTAAATAGAAATAAAACGCAAATAAAAGCCAATCAAAGGAAATCAAAATCAAATTGGATTATCACCACCACAGCTTCTGGGTAAGTAATTTTACACTCTTATCGCCAAATTAAAAGCGATTCATTTGTGTGTGGGTGGTTTTTGCAAACCAGTTTTATTTCGGGTTTTATTTTTTTCTCGGCTTTTGATAAGACCTTGAAGCGCTTTTCGTGTAGAACTTCGTTTGATTGATGTTTTTTATGCTCGAAGCCCCGAAGCTTGGCTTTTAAAAATAGATCAAGACCAGTTTTTCGAGGCTTTGAAATTGCCAAATAATTTCCTAAGCCTAAACTGCAGTTTGTTGTTGTTGTTATTCTTGCTTTTGCCTGCATCGCCTAGAAAATGATGGATGTACAATGGCGCTATCTCGCTCTCGCCACGCCTGCCTTCCCTCTCGTGGTTTTTAGGCCGTCTCTTTTGTCTTTTCATTTATTTGCCTTTGTCTTTGGCCCGATGACTTTGTTTTTGTTTTTGCCCTGTCTTTGGTGTCTCTCACTGCCTCTCATTTTCATCGACGATCCTTTGATTTGATTTGATCCTTGTAGGTAGAAGAAGCAGAGTAGTGGGAGAGAGAGAGTTATTCTGCTGATTTCAATCCGCAAGATTTTCGAATCTTCAGCTTTAAAACCAATTCGATAAATACGTTGTCTTAGAATTTCACGAGCGCAAGTAATAAAAATAACTTGAATTATAATTTGTAATTATGGAGAAAAGATTTTAATCAATACAAAATACCGTTGAGAAGAGTTTTATTTTAAAAATATATTTATTTCCATTAATCTTTAAATTTTGTACTGGCGTTAATGTTCATATTTTGAGTAATTCCTCGATTGAAGTAAACATACAAAAAAATGTCCTTAGAATTATTTAAATAACATTTCCTCTTCTTTTTAATGCTTATTTTGTTATTCTGCAAAAATTAGAGGTAAATAGAATACTTAATCTCGATAGCCCTGAAAAATAATCTTAAATATTAACTAAAAAATTTTGCGTATTTTTTCGTCAATTTCATATGAAGAAAGTTCGAATACCTTTCAAGGTTTTTACTCTCGAAATGTTCCCTCACCAATATAAGCTGCATTCCATTGGAATACCGATGAAGGGCATGCATTTAGGCACCATACCTGGCATACTCGACATTTTAAATACTTTTCTTCACTTGATAAACATTATTATTTGTCCGGGCTGTTAAATGACTTTTTTTCTCTTATATGTACCCTCTGTTCTCCGCCGTTTGTTGTGCCCCCGTCTTCGCATATGTACGTCTTCGAGTGGTCTAACATGTAATGTATGCCTCGCCTTTGGTTTCTTGCTCGTTTGAGACACCGGAAGTTGTTGCTAGGCTGAAAAAGTTGTGTGTTTTTCAGTTCCAGCGGTGTCTCCATCTCCATCTGTATCTTTATCTCTCTCTGGAGCCGTATATCCATCTCTATCGGCGGGCAAGTGGCGCGTGTGAATGACCCAATTAAGCTGAAGATAACCCGGCCTAAGCTTCGACTTCGTAGGTGGCTTAAAACAACTCGGATGGCCAAGAAGCAGAAGAAGCGGCCCCAGAACCTGCCAGACGAACATGGCTCAGAAAAAGAAAAAGACAACAAAAAAGAGTTCACATCGAATATATCGAATGCGAAGTTTGAACTGTAAACAGGTTTGCTTGGCCTCACCTCGCTTCGTCTGCTGCAGTTGGCTGCTACAGGTGAAATTCCGTAACGCGAACTGGCTAAAAGGTATTTGATTAGGATATTGGATGTACTTATCTGTATTATTCGGGGGTCTCGAACTGTTTCTAACTATCTTACTACTATCTTATGTAACGGAAAATCTCACAAATAATCCAATATTCTGAGCTGAAATATAAACTTATTATACTTTTGTTTTTAATTTAAAATAAATGAATTAAAAATATTTTAATATTAATAAATAAATATACTAAACATTTTGATCAAATTAAAACTTTTAACTTAAATTCAAACTTTTATACATGATCTTTTGATCTATTATTCCATTTTTACTATATAGTCAAATATATAGGCAAAATAGTCTAGTATGCAATGAAAGTTTTGATTTAATAGTATTTAATATTATCTAATATATGTAGGATCCCAAATTATAACAGAGAATTTGTTTCCCTTAAGCACCTTCCACTGTATTGGGTTTTGTGAGTTGCTTTATTTTGTCAGGCCAAACTCCTTTTCAGCATTTTTGTATTAAATATTTCGCACCATGTTCTGCATTTATTCGGATACGAAAGATCTCCCGAGGCTCGAGGCTCCAGTCTCCGGTCTCCAACTCCACTTCGATCGCCATCTCTTTCGCACTCCGCTGTTGCCGTCCTTTTCTCTGGCATATTTTGTCGTTGAGTCAGTTGGGGTCAATGCTGCTGCTGCTGCTGCTGCTCAACTTAACTCTTTGCTCACTCAACTCACTTTGCTCGGTAGCCTGGCCAAAACAGGTTTCCCGCCTTGGCTGAGCTTTTGTTGTACGCTTTTTCGGGTTTTTCTCCTCCTGTGCAGCGTAGCGGCCTCACCCACAGTCTGCTTTTTGGTTTTTTGTTTTGTTTTTCGGGGTCCCAATACCAATATATATACTATCTGGATTCCCAACCCCCGAGAGAGACATCATCCCTGCCGCTTGGCCAACAAAACAGCCCTCGAAAGCGGGCGAAATGGCAGTGGCAACCTGAGACACTGGGAATGTGCGAGTGCAGATGGAACTTGGGAATCGCAATGGGACTTTTTTGGGGGGGAAAGAGGGGATAGGTTATCCCGAAGGTGGATGCCCCATTCCAGGTGTTCGGTCGCTGCATTGTAACAGGCGCTCAGCTGCATTCAGCAGCAACAATGGTCGCATGTTGCAAGTTGCTGCACCACCAACACAACAACGAATCTTTCGCGAAAGGCGGAGACGCAGACAGACGATTTCTGCACCGGTTTTCCAGCCATTTTCCCCCATTCGAATTGCCCATCGGCCGTCGCCGTGCTTTCTTCCTTATCGCCTGTTTCGCTGCTGCCGCAACTTGCTGCTGTTGCCGCTGTACATGTTGCTGCTGTGCATGTTGCCGCTGTTGCTTCTACTGCTCTGCGGATGTTGCTGCTGTTGCGGCAGCAGCTGCACTTGCTGGCGGCTCCAAAGATGCGGATATCAGTTTACCTAAACATTTCGGACTTATAATACTGAAAGTTTTATTTGGAAAGTGATAACCGGGGAAATACGATTCTTATTAAAAACATTATTGTTTTTATTTCCTTTTAAAGTTAGTAACAAGACCAAATTAAACAGTTTGTATAAGACCTGTAGGTGCTTTAAAATATTTTGATTAATTTTTAAAACGGATATGTGATATTTTGCATATTTGATACAGATTCATATTACTGAAAGTATTAATTTAAAGTATTATTTCAATTTAAATATTTATCATATAAACCTTGGTTTTTTTTTGTAATCTTCGTAGCAATCAAATCTAAATTTAATATGATTAAAATATTGTTAAAAATAAAATTCTAAAATATATGTCTTGTTTATATTAATACTTTAAATTAAATGTTTGGAAAATTTGAAATTAAATACATCCATAAAATAAATGAAAATAAAATTTTATAATAATTTTCAGAATTTATATAAAT